TTTGACTGCGAATTAAGGCAGGGGCGAAAGGAACAGGACCAGGACCAGGACGAGGACGAGGCCGGCTCTCTGGGCCACAATTTGTTTTGGCCCGTTTTTATTTGCCTGTCTGAGGCTGGCGCTGCGAAGAAAAAAAACATTTAGGCAACTTGGCCCTTTGAAGGCTCGTGGTCATAAATTCCGTTCTCACCACATTCTCCCTCCAGCCCATTCCATTGCCGCACTTCCTGCGAGTCCTGCGAGTCCTGCGTTTTTCATTTATTCGTTTTCCCTGCCGCTTTTTTGTTTGCCATTGGCAAGGGGCCGGTACAAACATTTTCGTCTGCCAAGGTGCAAAAAACTGTGGCGGCATCAAAAGTCAGCCAAGGCAGCTAAAAATTAAATTCCTTTAAGCCGAAGTCGAGCATTTAATGCTCTGTAATGTAAAAGGATCAGTTAAGGAGTAAAAACCTCGACCAAAATATTTAGCATTTCTTTTTCTTTTAGGAAAAAACAGTTTGCCAAAATATATTTACAAGAAACTCTTGTGATTTAAAATTTCCAAAAATATGCTGCATTATTTTGAACTTATCTAAGATTTTGTAAAACACACACAGTAAGCAAGTAAAGTGTTATAACTTGTTTTGGAAACTCTTCTTAAAAGAGTTATTGGTAGTTATATTTTGACTTTTAATACTCTTGCTCAAATCAATAGATTTGCCTAAAGCAAATCAGCAATACCGCGCTGCTATACCGCGCTGCTATATTGCCACAGACTGCATATTTTTGTTAAGAAGCTTCATTTTAGACGGCATGTCCTGGCAGAGAAAAGCCAAACAAAGCATATTTCTGGCATTGCCTTCTGACTTGACTTTGGCTTGGTCCTTCCTTTGGTTTTGGCCCCGTTTCTGGTCGCTTTTTTTGGGCCGGAGAAAGAGAGTGCGATAGAGGGAAATAAGGAATCTAAAATGATAATAAAATATTCATATTAATCTGCTTGGCTCATAAAATATTCAGCTGCGTAATTGTTGGCATTACGTTCGAGTCGAGATCCGGGGCAGCCAGCTATGACGACAGTCGTGCCGGGAGTGCCATCATCATCATCTCCCCGCCCGCAGAGGAAATGCCAAGCAAAATCTTACAAGTTTTGTAATTTACACCTGGCTGCCCACCTCATACTTTCCCCTTACAGACAACACAAAAAAACATCTCCGAAAATCAGCTTTAAGGGAAAAATCAGTGGGGAAAATGTGTCAAATGTGTGGGCAAAATAAACAAAGGGAATAATTCAACATGTTCTATTTTAATTCAAGGAAGAACGTTTATAGGTAAACTCTTATACGAAAATGACTACTATTAGTTGTTAGAAAAAAACACAATTATTATAGCACCTACTTGAAAGGCTGATAAAATATTTGGAATTATCAAAGAATAAAAGTTGTATACTAAGCCATTAATAATTTTATTCCTATAAAATAATATAGAATACATTAAGTTCCAAATGTTTTATATTAAAAATTAAAATTACAAATTACAAAGTTAATAGCTCTCAAAAATGTTAAATAATCAAATCTTAAATAATCAAATGTTAAATAATCAAAGAAATAAGAAATGTTTCAGGTTCTTTTATTTGCTACAAAAGATACAATTGTTTGCAGGTGCTTACACAATAAAAGCACATTTAAAAGCGGCTTTAAGGATAAACTCAGGGGATGGGATGAATAAGCAAAGGAAAAACGAGTAAGCCAAACCAATGCCAGTCATTGGCAATCCCATTAAGCTATTCATAATTGCTCATAATTTTGGTTGATTTCATTAGCATATGTAACATTTTAATTTGATGTGGGAAGCCGCCAGTCTCCCGCCCCGCCCCCTTTCACCTGTCCTTCCCCCAACACTCACACTCACACACACACACCCACCCACACACACATTCCGCACCCGCAAAACTCATATGCATAATCAATGGAGCCTCATTAACCTGTCGCTGTCTGGTGTGTTATTGTTGTTGCCTGTTAATTACGCAACCCATAAAATATATATTGCTTCTCATCGCGCTTTACATCAGAATGACGTCGATTAACACCTCATAAATGCGTGTGTGTCTGTGTAAGTGTGTGTAAAACCTGTTAATTGGTTTAACGTTATAAAATTGAAACCGCCGACGTTGTTGTCGGAAGTCGGAAGCCCATGTGGCGTATGCGTAATATATTTCTGAAACGCCGGAAACAGGTGACTTTCCCCACTATCTATCGAAATGGAAAACGTCCATGTTCCCAGCCCTGAAAACGTTTTAAATAAACCAAATATTTTTAAGGCACTTAAGGATGTATTAACAGTTTTTGTGAGGAAATTTTTTAAATCGACCTAAAAGGTATCACAAAAATAAAATAATAATATTCATTATAATATAAAGCTGTAAATGTTTACCAACTAATAATAAAACTAATTTACAGAAATACCTTATACCTGTTTTGATAAATAAAAAACCAATACCTATAAAACCTCCTCATATTTTTCAATGAGATTTCATTTAGTGGAACATAGCTGACCATTAATATTAATATGTTACCAATAATGGCAACACAATATAACACAGGCAGAGGCAAAAGGACCGCACAAATGCATTTAGTGGTTTGTGTTAATTATGACATTTACCCTGCAATTTTGCTATTCCCGCCCTTAGAACTCAGTCAATATTAATTTATATCGCTTTCGAAACGGATACGGATACCAATATACGAAAACTGGCCCAGATGTGGCTTTAATTTGATCTGATTCCGACAATAATTCATAATTGACTTAATAATGGACTCGATATTAATGTTAATTAAGCCCGAACGCACGCCAATTAGTTTTGGGCCCAGAAACTGGCAGCTTTGCCAATTGAAACCAAGACTAAGCACCAAGTTATCCAGGCAAATAAATGTATGACTTTGTTCAGCATTTCCGCTACGCATAGACACAGATGAACAAAAATTGAAACATGAAATTGTTGAGCCTGAGACTTCGGCAAGATGTGCGAGGGTTGTGCGACAACATTGGCAACTTTAGTACAAATTATTATCCCTTTATTTATTTTCATAAAATTAGAGGAGAGATTGTTGTGTGAAATACGAATTTTGAACGTTTTTTGGTTTTAATTTGCCCAAAAGGCACCCACAACTAAAAGACTGCTTGGCTGAGTTAAAAATAAAATAAAGATTTAAGCTAATTGTTGCACTTTTGAAAATGAGACAAAAATTAGTATGGACTAAAGACCATTTAATTGGAAATTGAATAACAAGTTCAACGAACCTCAATATTTTAACCATTATATCCCAAGGCATTGGTCAAAGATGCACAACAAAATTGTGGGTCCCAGTTGAAAAATGGACTGTTAAAAAGCACAACCAAATAGTCTGGATTAGGCCCTCGCTTTTCGACTGACCATCTGACTCTGTCAAAACTGGCCGCCCAAAATGCCGCCTCCTTTATCCCAGTCATCGTATCTTTATGAAGCTGAAGACAAAATTGTGTTGCATCGTTAGTCTAATTGCATTTTGCCAGGCGACAGTAACAACAGATTCGTGTTCTGTTCAACAGTTGCCCCGACACACATGAGGACATATGCATATCGAATATATATGTACATATATATATCCAAATATATATATACAGCTATGCAGGCATGCGTGAATGTTGCAAGAATCAAGGCAGCCTGGCAGCAGGACACGTATTTCTCGTCCTGCGAAGGCTGATGGCATTTTTTGGTTATTAAGACGATACGACTTGGATTCACTGCACTGTCATCGTCACACACACACATACACACACTGGAACACCAAAAGCCACACACACATACTCACGTAATAACTAGTAATTTTGCAACGTTTATGGAAGATGGAGGAGGTCCAACTTTTGACTCTTGATTTCTCTGGCCCAAATGAACCTGACCAACTCACAACAGCAACAACCGAGCATAACTGGCATTTAGAAAATCGATTAGGACTTGTCAATCGACAAAGGGATACCCTGTGAGAGGATCATTCAGAGATCTTCATTTGATATCTATATTGTATTGAAAAAAAATCTATATGTATAACAATTTTTAATTTTCATAAACAATTTAAGCTCTTTTATACTTAATTCTATATTCAATTCTCTGGTAGATCAGCCTAAATTCAGTTGATTTTACGATTAGATATTTTGGAATTTAATGAAAACTTAGGGTTACTTGAAGAGCCCCCAGAATCTGATTTTAAAACTGTGTCTTGCTTTCAGAGAATCCATCTTCCAAATGCTACCCTTTTGCCAACCGAAGTGTGGCCCGCAAATGTGTCGCATTCAAATGAACCAAAACTGAATTGTGTCTGAGCCATAGCCCCCCGCACCTCTGTCACCACGCCCCCTTTTTTGCACCGCCCCCTTTCCGCACGCCACTGGCCACTGAAATCCTGTTGGCACATTTCGTTGTAGATTTTTGATATTTTCATTACGTGCATCTGCCAGTTACGCCTCATTGTGTGGGTGTACAACTACCAGTGTATATTTGTATACATGGGTCGGGGGTTAAGGAGTGCATAGATTGTCGTACTTGTGTCCTGGCCTTGGTTAGTTCCATTCTAGCCGGATTTCAGTCGCTTAATCTCTGCTGACATTTGGTGAAACAGCAGCAGCAGTGAAAAGAGACATCTAAAGAGCGGCCCTGCTGTTTTACAAGCTTATGAATGCGAAAACAACAAGAGGATGTGCACATCTACAACTCAACTGGGCTCCTTTCTTCTGCAAGACATCCTCATCATCCGCATCCATCTGAGCTCTCATAGGCCAAATATGTGGGGTTCAACAATTGCACTGAAAGTCCCTATTCAGCTATTTCCCTAATATGTACTCACTGCTATATTAACATTGAATTATGCAAATTCAATATAGTCCAAAAGCAATTCAACTAACTAACTGACAGCTCAACCTGCAACGGAGTTTCTTCTCCAAAACACAAACGAAAAGGTTCCTTTTACGGAATTTATTACTTCCACCGTTCTAAATCACAATTATAGAATAACGACAAATTTCTCTCGACATTTTATCGAAAGTTTAGCAATCGAGCAGCACATGATCGATGATCGTCTTGGGTGCTGTAGTTTCTGCTCTCCGTTCTCCAGTCTCTGCCTCATTATTTGCCACATATATTTTTTTCACTTCACTTCACCTCTTGCAATCGCCACCACTCCACAACCATTCTTATTATTATCTTGACTATTTCTTTCCTTTCATATCTTGAAAGGAAAACGTTTAAAATTCTTTATCATTATTTATTTGTTGTATTATTTCCTATTTTCCGTTTTTTTTAGACTAGAAAAGAATTCCCCCTTCTGCAGGATCTTTAATTGTAAAACTCCAATTTCTTCACTCTCCAGCTATTTCACTTTTCAGTATTTTTACTCTAAATTTTCTTCACTTACAAGTATTTCGAAATTTTCTTAACTGTACATACTCTTTAATTTTAAGCATCAGCACTCTACAGTTTAATCTTCTTTCAGTTTTTTCACTCCTTAATATCATCCTCTTTAGTTCCTTTAGTCTTCAGTTCATCAGTTGACTACTTTCTACCCTCCTCAGTTTCTTCACTCCTACCTTTCTTCCTTCTTCAGTGTTCTGCTATCCACATTCTTCCTTCTTAAGATGCTTTACTCTCCACTTTTTTCCCTATTCAGTTGCTTCACTCTCCACTTTCTTGCCTTTTCAGTTTCTTCACTCTTCAATTTCCGTACTTTCTCTTTACTTCACATTACTCTTTTCGCTCCACTTCAAACTCTCCTCCTTTCAATTTCCGTATCTTGTACCTTCGATTTCTGAGCTCTTTGTCTCCACTCCTCAACTCTTCATTCTCTTAGCTTCTCGACTCTCTTTTTTTATACCTCCCCCCTCCTTTGCTCCTCCAAAGTTCATAGCATTAGGCCATCCTGACGTCGCCGCAACTGGATCCTGGGCACCGTGCGCCAGAAGAGAATGGCCCCCCGATTGTGGCCCCCGCGGGCGTAGAGATCCGTGAGGCAGTCGGCCCAGTGGTTGTAGAGCGGCATGCTCGGCGGCTCGCAGGCGGCGAGTGGTGCTCCCGTGACCGCCATGCAGGCGGAGGTCACCTCCAGGGGATACATCAGCAGGCTGGCCAGCATCTGGATGATCACGGCATTGTACTGCTGCTGGTTCCGGCTCATCGGCAGGAGTCGCTGGCACAGGTGGCTCACACAGCTAGTAACGGCCAGGACGGCCCACTCGCCCAGGAGGCGTGGCACAATGCCAGCGAACAGTCCCGCATATCCTTCGCTCTTCAACAGCACCATCAGGCTGGCCAGGACTCCCTCGTAGACGCGTTCGCGACCCACAAACTGGGCTATCTGGCGCACCATCACCACATAAAAGGGTTGCGACAGCGCCACTGCGGTGGCCAAGCGGATGCTGTCCCTCGTCAGGTTCCACCAGAACTCCTTCAGGCTGAGCTCCTCCTTGGCACCCCGCTTGTAGGGACCGAAGTGCAGGACGGCCAGCAGGACATCGCCGAGCAGGAAGTCCACCGTGCAGGCGGCCAGGCGAGCGGTTAGGCCACGATACGCGCCCAAATAGCCATCCACCTGCTGGATGTGCTGCACATACCGGTGGACGCCGGGCAGGAAGAGGCGGGGTCGTCGATGGAACAGCGCCAGGTGGAAGGGCCGCGCCTGGAGCGGCTCGTGGCCAAGCTGGATCAGGACCTTGGCAAACTCGTAGGGATACAGGAGAGCATTGTAGCCCAGGCGCAGGCAAAAGCGCACCACTTGATTGGGTCTCCCGTGATCGGTGGATTTCGATAGCGATGTGGATGTGGTTGTAGTTGTAGATGTGGCCAGGGATAAGGAAGGCGATCCCCGGCAGTGGACCACCCGATCCCGACCAGCTTGCTGCTGGCTAGGAGGCCTCATCGAGCGGGGTGACTCCACGGGTGACTCAGCCACCGGTTCGGTCCTCTGACCTTGACGTTGCACCACCACGGTGGGGCGACGCATCAGGGCACTATTGTCCGCATCGCCACCACCCAATCCCAATCTGAATCCCGCTGCCTGGGCATCGCGACGATTGTACTCCATGTGGGCCATTGTCGATTCCTTTCCGCTATGTCCTCTGTCACTTCGCCAAAAGCCAACAAAACTCGAATTTAGTCGAACGAATGGATGATCTAACCGAATTCCCTTTTAGTTGGAAAAATAATGCTTATCGATGAGCGAACTTTGGCATATAGGCGTTACATTTGAAATTTATGTCGAGGTCTGCTGGATTTTCATATATTTAATAATAGCAAACTATAATTCCAAATATTGAAGTCTCAAAAGAACATAATAATTAAAAAGCAAACTTTTGACTAAAATGATGGTACCCTCTGCAAGTGTATTAAAATGACAAAAATCAACCCAAAAATACATACCATGATTTAAACGCAGATTTTTAGAGACCCAATTAATTAGAAGAAAAGTTATGGGCTTAGAAGTACAGGTTTTAGGTAACTTTTCTCCAACGCCAATTTTTCGAAATTTGAAAAGGTTTAAATTCAGAAGTTTAGAGAATTAAACCACAATCATTTAAATCGGAAAGCAAAGTATATAAATACTTTATAGGGCCGGAATTGTGCCCTCCAATGCGTTGCTAAACTCTCGAGTGAAATTATAATACCATATGCAAGAGTATACAAAATTATAAATCAAAATGAAAATAATACGTTTCAGGATTTATTCGAAAATTACTCATACGACAAGTAATCCCCTGCTGAAATGTTTGTTCTACAAAAATAAAAAACTGTGCAATACAATTAATATGTAGCCAAAAAATATTTTAAAAATTGAATAAACTAAAAAGAATTAAATAATAGTTAGCAAAAAGCATTTTAAAAAATTTAAATGATACATTTATTACATATTGATAAAAGTTATAGTAAAATTACTTGTACGACATGTGTTCCACATTTCTTATACAAATGTGTGGCGCATGTTTATTTATAGTACAAGTGCGAATAACTATTGATAATATTAACTTATGTATTTGCAAGTAGTTACAATAGAAAGTGTCTTTATTTTTGTTTTATCCTAATGTTAGCCATTAAACTTTAATATTACACATTTCTTTTAAAGAAGACCTTAAAAAAGGAATTAAAATGAACTCATTAGCGATGCTTTATTGGATTCCATTCCCTCGATTCGTACCCCAACTTGCCCCAACTTCTTCTCCACTTGATAACAAATCCGGAAAATGGCAGCCCACTCCCTTTTTGAAGGGGGAAGCCCCTGCCGACGGCTCTCACTTACTTTTGCAACATGAAATTTCAATTAGGCTGACCCCGCAGCCGTTTTCTGTTTTTCTGGTCAATTAAATGCAACCATATTGGCGACTCCTGCACTCCGCATCCCAATCTCCAATTGATTGCATTTTATTTTTTCGAAATCCCTTAAATTCTAGTACCGAAGTCGAGAAAATACACACACATGTTGAAAATCAGAGAAGAGAGGCTATTAGCATCAATATTAATAACTGGCAATTAAAAGAAGCTTTGCAACAATAAGGCAGAAAATCGCTTTACAAATATTAAAAGGAATTATATCTTTGGACAATCATATTCATTTTTAAAATTTAAAAAGCATTTCTACCCTAAAGTTCAAACAGTTTTTTTTTACCCATCAAACGACCTTGAATTCGGCCAAGAGTAATTACCCCACTGCATATCATTATTTGATGACCCACAGCAATTTTCCACTTACTTAGATAGTCCGGAGCTCTGTTGAGTCAGTTGGGTTCCGTCTCTGGAGCATGGAAACCAATCACACAACCCAGTGCCCAATCGCACCCCCACCCTTAACCCATTCCCAGCCTTAACCCCCCAATGGCAATCGCATGCAATCCATTCTGACCAAGCGACCGAAAGCAAATGCAACTTATGCGACACGCACAGTTGATTAACAATGTCGCAATTTTTGAACCGAACCAACGTCGAAAATCTCTCCGACCCATGGCTAAAATACACGTAGAAAAAAACAAACACATATCAATTGCAATTAGTAATTTCAATCTTTCATTATCATCCGATAAAATTGAAAATTTTATTTATTAAAATGTAAGACAGTAATAAACAGTAATAACAATACCAATAATAAACTTGCTAATTAAATTAAATATTTTCATTAATAAATTAAAATGTATTTTGGAGAATTTGTGTTTTTAAAGCAATCATTTTTGGAAACTAATATATCAAAATTGTAAGTATTATTTCCTGTGTAGCCCCACCCACTGAACCACTAGATTACCCCCCGGCCCCCCTCCACCTATCCGCCACACACACTGGCACGATTATTGCACATCACTAATTAGTGATGTGTGCGACGCATCGCGCCTAAAATTTCTGACCATCAAAGGGGGGAGTAGGGGAAGTGGGTGGCAAAGGGATGGGGATCCAAGGTGGGTGGTGGGTGGTGGGCGGTGTATGCCTGGGGGTGGACTGGCCGTTGGCAGAGCGAGACCTGACGTTGACATTCCTCTAACAGTGAAATTGTTTTCCAAATCCTAAGCTTGCATGCTAGCCACAAGCAACAACAGCAAGCATCATCGCAAAGGGAGTGGTGGTGGTGGAGGCGGTGGTGCCAGTGGGTGGATGAGTGGGTGCCGAGTGGGTGGTTGTATAGATGAATGGGTGGTGGGGTAACCACCAACGGCAGCAGCGAATGAATGGCAATGAATGCGACACTGGACGGCAGACAGCAGGCAGGAGCATTTTCAGCACCATGGCCATGGCCATGCTTCACCGATGGCCACCACCCACTCACCACCCACTCACCCACCGCCCACTTACCAACACTACCGCGCTGCAGAGGATCCCACGTTGCGCGTGTGGTAAATAGTGAACTGTTCGCATTTTCCCTGACTCCCTCGCTTTGGTTGCTGCAGTTCTCTAACAGAAAGGGAACATCTCCAAATATAATTTGAAAATTTTAATTTTGGAAAAAAAGTAATTTAATTACATACATTACAAAATTAATAATTTACATGTTTAAGTACAAAATTTGGCATTTTAGGAATAATTAGCTTACTAGGAATATTAAGAGGCTAACAAGCTGATTTCCACAAGCTAATTTTATTTCACAAGTAATATAAAACTATTATTTACTTATAATTGTAAAATAGCAATTATAATTTTTTTATTTTTAAAAAATCTAGCAACACTTTAAAAAAACCCATACGATATATTAATTGAAAACTTTTTTAAATATATATTTATAATCGAATCGATAGAAAATCTATCAAAATACATTTATTTAATTCAAAACACAGTGAATTAGACAGTTCTACTTGCTGTCCAACAATTTGACAACTTCTTGTTGCATTTGCACTTAAACCATTTTTTTGGAAGAGTAGTGGACAACGCTGCTGTCTGGGGATTAATACTGCCGGATGCAGTGCGGAAATCAAAATGCTATGGCGGCCAGCCATCGGACACAAATGACGAGCGGATGGAGCCCGCTACCGAGTGCCATTCCCGAAAAAAAACACACACCCGGAAAAAACCCCAAACGATTCGGAATCAAAATGGAACTGGGAATGGGAATCGGAATCGGACGAGGTTTCGGGGGCGGTAACAGCAGTTTAAATGGCAACTAATCGCAAAAGGCAGTTGCTCCAAGCTCTTGTGCAGGGGAAAAAATACTTTAGTGTCTAGGTCTACTTTGAAAATATTCTTAATATTATTTTGTATGAAAATGTGAATTTTTTATCCACATTATTTTGACACCAACATTTACCAGAAAAATGTCTTTATTATATTTAAACTTATAAAATGTTTTTTTTATATTATAACTAACTTGACTTTCAAAAAATTAATTGGTGCAATTTTTCAATAAAATAATTGGATCGGATTTTTCTTAAATTTCTACAATTTGGTTGAAAGAGATTTCGGTGTTAAAAAAAAAGCATGTTCAAGTACAGATTTTTTTTTTCGTGTGGCAGAGCGCATCGGACATTGCCACGTTTGGATAGCTATGTGGAGGTGTTTGCATAATGAATGAGCCCCAACCAGCGGCAACAACAGCCGCTGACCATCAACTGCGGCTCTCGAATTGGAAAAGCGGGTGGAAAATGGGGGAAAATGGGGAGAGAGCAGACTTGGTCTCACGCACAAGACAATGAAATCAAACGACAAACGCAAATGTGATCAATTACAGTTTGTGAATTTTAACAGCAAATGGCCAGAATACCATTGTTGTGCATTTGCGGTGGGGATGGTGACTCTGGCCAGCCAGAGTTGCCAGCTCTATCTTTGCAGCCGCATGGAAATGTGCCCGGAGTTCCGGCCAACCCAGTGAAGGGCACGGCAACAAGTCATTATTGTAATTATGTTAATATTCACCAGTCCTTATCCACTCGCAGGACATCCCGGGGAGAGCGTACGTGTCCCGGGAAAATAAGACTGTGACAGCCAGGCGACTGGAGACTAGACTGCTTGATGGCCTGGCCATAAGGGCGGAAGTCAGTCAATTTGCGTATAATTTGTTTATGAGCTTCGCACACACACACACACGCACCGGCAAAAACGCCTCCAGAACGGATACGGAAGCTGGAAATCTGAGCAAGGAAACGTTTTGATTTCATTCATTCTACAAGAACAGCGCTGGTCAGAGTAATAGTAAAATATTTGAACATATAATTAAGAATGAGTTTAATAATTACTTTCCAATTTGAAGCGATACCTATTTATTTTTTTATTAACTTTTTACTCCTTTCTTAAATAATCAAAGTTAATGGTCTTAAAATAGAAATCAATAAATTAGCTATTGAGCTCCCGAATAAACTCTTTTAAAAATGTTACGAATTGGTATAAATTGAATTATATTATTAGTTTCTATTTGTTATCCTATTCATATAATTGAAGAAACGATTTATTGACAAAGGTGGTTATTTTCTTGACCGCAGCTGTGCAGTTCTGAGCTTTTGACACAGTCATTGCTTGGAATTTTTAAACACTTGACTGAGTCTGGAGTTTATCAAGTTTGGTGCCATGTGGAAAAGTGTATTAAAAATGAAAACATCAGTTTAGGCATTTAAATCAAACCAAATACAGTCCAAACTGAAAAGCTTTAATAACAATTTATACGAATTCAAGAGAGAAAAGCTTAGAATATTTGGTTAAATGGAAATTGAGAGCTCTCAAAAACTATATTATTTGCATAAAGTGAATAAATTTTTGATAAAATGTGGTAAGACATAAGCAAATATATTGGAAATCAATAGATATATTTAAAGATATAGATATTCAAAATGTGTGTCAATTTTAAGAAGGAAAATACCAAAAGAAATTTTTTGGAAAAAATGCATTTTAAAGCTTTAAATTATACCACGAATAATTTAATCTTTATTATATTATTATTAACTATCTTGTATCTTGTTAAAAGGTAAGTAAGAGTAAGGTTTTTTTCCAAAGTACATATTTTCTCACATAGCTTTTGAATGTCAGTCATATTTGGAAGTAGCTGTCGAGTGGATTCCTATTTCTATTTCTTATTATGTTCAGGTTCTGATTTCGGAGATCTTTACACAATTGCGAGCAAAATTTCATATAGGCAAGCAGGCAATGGCAAGGTACCTAGCACAGATCATTTACTTGGGAGCCCAGGTGGTTGGGCGGGCGCTGGTGAAGACGATGCGCCAGGAGATCGAGGCCTGCCAGGAGGCGGCCCGGCTCCAGGAGACACTCCGGGCCAACGAGCCCAGCGGCAGGGATGTGGCGGTCAAGGGGATGACCCTGCTGGAGGCCCAGCAGATCCTCAATGTGAAGGATCTGAGTGACCGCCAGGCGATCGAGGCCCACTACCAGCATTTGTTCCGGGCGAACGAGAAACCCTCCGGCGGCACCTTCTACATCCAGTCGAAGGTCTTTCGGGCCAAGGAGCGGATCGACCAGGAGCTGGCCAAGCTGGAGGAACGGACCCGTTCCGCATCACCTACAGCCCGATTGCAGTCCCAATTCCAGACCAAAGAGCCAGACCACAAGTGCCGGTGATCATTCCCAGTCATATTTCCGGCCTGGCTTCTTCATGGTGTGCAATCGATCTGTCCTGTGATGTTAGTTAATAAATTCTCTTCGAATCCCTAATACATGTATATATTTAAATTGTAAAATAACTATATTAAATGAGCAACATAACAGCCTACAATTGTTTGATCTATTATTGATTATTAAATGGGAAACAGGTTAGCAACAATTTTTGAACTTTTAACTATTATTATTATTTTACTTATCCGCTGGTAATATTTTTAATCTTACCACTTACCACTCAAAAATAATATTTATTTGTTCTTTCAAACCGCATATTATCTAAACTTGCCATTAATATTAATGTTTTTTTAAACATGCTATTAATATTTATTTGTACTTTCCACCCACTTATTAATTCAAGCTTGCTATTATTATATATTATTTCCATAAGTTACCTGATTTCAATAGTAATTATGATCATTTTTAAACATTAACCCATTCGTCATCTTAAACTTGCCGTTGATATTTATCTGCACTTTCCACCTACTTATTATCTTAAGCTTTCCATTAATATTTATTAAGTCTTTTAATTAACTGATTTAAATTGTATAGGTGAAAAACAGGTAAGTCTAGTGAGCCATGAAAATCCCCAAGTTGGCCATGACATAAGCTGTCATATCGAATTTTTTGATTTTGATCGACCTAAGGGCCTGAGCCCCAAATATTTTTAGTTTCGCTTGTAGTCTCATCGGGGTAACAGCTCTCGGCCTAAGGTAAAAATTCAAATTTTCATTCAAATTTTTTTTGTGATTTACGGGTAAGAATAAACCGTTCACTTTTTGTAAGTTCTGGTCTAACACAAAATAAGTATTTTAGAAATGTTTTTAGGGTCGGCAAAACGCATTTACCTGTAGAATAGCCCCTGGATTTAATGTAACGAGTCCTAAGCTAAATTCTAATACACAGTGAAAATAGACAACACTACACTAAAAAAAAATGTAAAAAAAAAACGACACGCACGCAGACACATTATACAACTACATACCTACAAGAAACACTAACGAATTTATAGGCGGCCATAACTCAAGATACCGATTGATGATGAGTAAATGCACGAATCGTTTACTATGACTTTATTCAAATTAATATACTGACGTGGGAACTGTAACATACACATACACAAGTTGGATATGCTATTTTAACACAAAACAAGTAATCGCTTCATGACATATCGCCAATTCAAATTACAATTAAGGATACAACAACTCGGAGACGCGCAACATTAATCGCATTGTAACAGTAAGTTATCCGTTTTAACAACGATATTGACCAACGATATATATTTTTGATCTTCTTTCCAGCTTCGGAATAGATGTCAACAGATTTAGGACTTCGTTCGTTATCCAGAGGAATGGGTTGGTATTACGCTGCATGAATCTGGCAAGAATTGCTCTGAAATACCCTCACTTTGCAGCTATTCCAGGTATTTCACTCTCTACTGGGGGCTGCGCGATTGTGGTTGGTGTATTTACAGGAGATTCATAACGTTAATGACTAGATGTGTGGTAGTTCAACAGAATACTCTATTGTACACGATTTTACTTGGAAAAATGTTGGTCTATGTTGTCCATAGAAAGAAGAAAATAAACTTATAGAAACTTTTTTTAAATTAAATATGGTTTTGTTATTTTATTTACTTTCATGCTTAGCTTATACATAGTTTAGCATACATAAGCAACAACACAAAATAAATGCCATTTTTGGGCAATGTAACATTTATCAAGCTGCTTACCACAACTACTAAGTGCTCGTAATTCCCTGGCTCTACTTTAAACATAATTTCATATTTAAATATTTATTTTTACTATTTTCCTACGCATTTAAAAATCAAAAGAGCAACAATTTACATTCAAATGGCGTTTAATATCTGTTCGGGACATGTCATTGATCTCTATAATGAGGCACGTTTTACCAAAGCAAAAGTTCGCCCATTCACACACATGCATATTGTATTATGGCAATTTTCAATTTGTGTGTGCATTTAAAATGCAATTTTCCCAGCCAAAGCGAGAGGTGTGGCTCAATAAAATTCAAGTGATTTATTTATACGCATTGTTGGACGAGCGGCGAGGGGGACGAAGGGCGGCGGTTCAGCTGGCCAACTCTTAATAAAAACAATTAAGCCAAATTGGCCACAATTGTAGTCAAAAATGAAATAAAAACCCAAATAAATTGAAACCGAAAACGGAAACGGAAAACAGCTGAATAAAAAAGAACGAACACACAAGTTGATCAAGATGGCGGAAAATGAGTGGTGCAAGTGGAAAAGTGTGTGATGGTGCAAAAAAGGCGAGCACTTAAGTGGAAATGCAGTCGAGTGTCGTCATCATCATCAAGGGGCATCGCAGCAAACTTTCACACAAGTGCGGAAAATCGAGAAGGGTGACACTTCTACAGGTAGAAAAAATATGGAACAAAGAATCGTATTAGCCTTAAATATTTCGTAGAGTGTCCATTAAAATTGATAATTGAATGCTTAGTTATTAGTCGGTCTCTTGAAATAAAGAATAATATCGTACATTTCCCACCGATCTTATATACATATTTATTTTAGAGCACTAAAGGTGTTACTTTCAAAAGAATTACATTTTTGGATTACTTATTTAGAGTTATAAATTTTAATTTTATAATCATTACTCTTTTTATAAAAAGAACACACTTTTATTTAACTTTTATATATTATTTAATAAATATTTTAAAATGCTTAATACTATGATTTTCTTTCTCTGCACTTGCAGATATTGGCAGCAGTGCAGCAACAAATGATGAGCAGCAAAGTCGACGATGCGATTTGCGTTCGTCTTAGCCGCTCTTGTGTTTTTTATGCGCTCTTTTTAACTTCTTAGTATGGAAAAACTATTCAAGTCTAATGGCACGAAAGAGAATAATGACGCACAATACACTTCGACAGTTTAAGCGGATTCACATGATTACAACCAAGTGGAGAGAGGAGAAAGTCGAGCGGAGAAAGCCGAGAAAGGAGTGCGAGCCGTAAGTAATGATGTCTGTCGATGTTTGCAGAAACTTGTTAACCATTTGAAGGCGACAAATGTCGAAAGCATTAGACATAGTTATAAGGGAACAGTGGGAGAGGCTTAAAAGCCGCTCACTAAATTATATAAAAGACCTTACCGATGTAAATTTCCCCAATGACATACAAAGTTTTAACTGTTTTGAAATTAACGATTGTATAAAGTTTAAAATAACTAAATAAAAAATACTTTATAAAAGTAATTTCATTACTTCTATTATAAGAGTTTTAAAAACATCAAAAATCACGTTCAATTTAAAAATCCCAATACATATGTTACTTTCTAATTGAAAAACTATGTTATTACAATAAAATTGAATTAAATATTTCTCATTCATGATTTAAAAATAAAACTTGTAACTGTTACGTTCCGTGAAAAATTAGCCAAATATCAGCTTATTCTTGGTTTTGATAAACAAAAAATATCTTCCAAAATTTGTTTTACTTTTTTTAAAACCAATTAGGGCGAAAGGAGCGTGCTTAAAAATTCAAAATTGAGAAAAAATTAGTTTACTCTTAATATTTTGTACTTTAAAAGCATAACGCGATTTGAACTTAAACTAAACTGCAATAGAGAACAATATGAATCCCCTTTTCTTGTAAGGAAATTATTTTTAATACATTATCTCTGTTCGCCAAACGTCTATCTGTACCCACTGTGCCTGTCCTTAGATTCAGGATCCAGGCTGCAGGATCTGGCTCAACTTAAGCTGCCGTGGAGCAGTTGAACAAATGGCCAAAGATAATGCATCCCCGGAGGGGCGTGGCAGGTGCCCATGGGAGTTGCTAGTTTTCCCAAATTTATGGCTTTTAATTGCGTATATTTGACAGGAGGTGAGAGGCGCATTCATGGGCGATAAGTCAGAACACAATTCGATTGCCCAATAAAGTTGCTGGTTAGGTGGGAAAATAAAAATGTCGGGAAGTGAATACATACGAATATTGCATTGCGGCTTGAGGGCGGGATAAAAATGCCAGGCATGTACAATATGTGTCTCTCTGATTTCCTAATTCAATTATTATTCAAATCATATAATTTCATCTTTATGGCACGCACCAACTGTGCTGGCGGTGGCGGTGGCAACCCTGGCAGCATGCAATAATCACATTACGTATACGACCGCAGGACCGTGCATATAAACTACATGGCGAAGTGGGGAATGTCTGGAGTGGGCCAAATCCAATTTCCCGCTGCGCAAATGAAAGTTGTCAGCTTCATTCCTTTATTATGCCATTTCTTCGCGACGCTTTGTCTACGGCTTATCCTTCATTTGCCTGCATTTATTTTATTTTGCATATTAATATTGTTAAAAGCGAGCCGCCCGTTGAGCTCCACAAAATTAGCCCGCCATTCATGCCGCATTCCGGCCATGTTCATGCCATCTTGTGTGGTTGTGAATGTGGATGGGCAGCGTCTGTCGGTCGGTGAAAGTGGGAGTGGGAGTGGGAGTGGGAGAAAGCAGGAGAAAGCGGGCACGGAGGCCATATCAATTTACCCACCGGAAGGCACGCAGCAGCAACATCAGTGGCAACAAAAGAATGCGACCCGATTCTCGGCGGGAGTTCAAAAATCGTAAACATATCCCACCGTGGGTGTGGATATCCCATGAATACATTACAGGAAAAGCTCACAAATTGCAGACTATTCAAACATTACAACAAATTATTACCCCACTTTGGTAAGACTCAACAGTATCCAAATATATTTTAGGTTTACAACGAATGTTCTTTATCTTAAAAGTTTAATACTTTTAGAAGTAAATTTTAATTGAAATTTATAGGAATGTGTATATATAATTATAAAACATAAACATAACAGTTCTATAACGTGTTTTGCTTACTTTATTATAAATATTATTTTGAAAAATGTTCTTCCTTTGTGTTCATATTGTTAAAAACTATTGCATTTTCTTTATTCCAAATATTTATTCGTCTGCCAGTTATTTATTTTCGGTGGATATTTATTTTAAAAGTTGTAATGAGCTGTAAATTTCACTGTAGCTATATAATATGAATGCGTTTGTCCGTTTGTATGCACTTATTAATGCGTATTCATTGTCACATCCGGCACGAGGAAATTATATTCCTCACCGGTCGTCTGATCCTGGCGGCCCCAACCTTCGCGTTTAAACCCCCCCTCCCCCCTCACACACACACACACAGGCACACACACACAATCATCGACTCATTCGACGGACTTGCCTTGCCTTGCGGAGAGCAGACGCTTTTCTTTTGTCGATTTAATTGAAATAATTGCAAAAATGCAAATTGAATGGACAACAGTTGACACAGGATATTAACCATGGACGATGGCCAGCAGCGCAGGAGTCGGAGCAGGATCCGGCGAAGGACATGCTCCCGCCGCGCAAGGAGCCTTAATGAGCTAACGAATGTACGCCGGATAATTGAGTGGAGACCACATGTGCAGCTGGCCGGGCGACCAGGTCGGGATCATTGACCTCCCTCGCGGATCGGGGCTGCACTCCTCCGGGGACTGACATTTAAATATATGTCGGGGCCGGGGCATAATACCTGCAAATTATGGCACTAGTTTGTAACGCAAAATGGGGTTGGTAGTAGTAGAAGTTTTCTACATTTTTATTTCATTGGCCTTGCTGCGTTTCCTGCCGACCTTCCTTTCAATTAATAGAAGAACCCATCAATATATAGTTATTTGTATTGCTTTCAACGGAAATCAAATGCTCTTTGGTAATCGTAAGGTTTAAAGTTTCTTCATATAATTACATTTGTGTAGCAAATATATTTTAAAATGCTTAAAATCAGACACTTAAGGCAGGAAAGTCAGGAAATACTTTTGTTTATAAGGGATGACTTTTAAATTTAAAAAGGTTTATTCTGGATATTTTTCATTTCCTATATGATATTTGATAATTAATAACCAGCTAGTTAAGGATTTAAGTCCTGAATGGAATGAATAAATATATAGGAATATAGTACTCTCATAAAAATACCAATATTGTTAAGATAATACTTACTTGTTAGACTTATTTGAAAATAATGTTATAGTCCTTATTTGTATTTTGAACTTTGTTTTTTGAGTGGAGTAACGATCTGCTGTATTTAAAGCTCAGCTAAATCCAGGGACTCCAGTGGCACCTCGGCAATCCGTAATGAGTGGCCAACATTGGCCACATTGTGCGGCAGTGGCTCCCGCTGCCCGTGGGCGTATCGTTCAGGGGGGCGTGTCCGGATGTGGCGGCTGTGGAATGAACTCTGTCCTAAGCCGCGTCCTCATCGAATGTTGCCGATGTCGATGTCGATGTCGATGATGTTGCTGTGTCTGGGCAACTTCCGTTGCAGCAACAATCCCTAAATGTGCGCGGGAGTCCCTTTATCCCGTCGGTGTATATGCGCCGTTGTCCTTTTATCCTTTGCGTGGGCGAGGCCGCAGGTTGCACCATAATTGTGTTGATTAGCTAATTAGATGTAATTTCGCGGCCGGAAATTGGCAGTTGCTGTAGTCGGGTAGCCATTAGTAGGACAATTTCTATTTCTAGAGCCCCTTCCATGCTAATTTTTAAGTGCAGCAGCAGCAGCAGCAGCAGCAGTTTGAGTGCGAGAGGATAATATCGTCATGAATATGTTTGTTTAGCGCGCAGCCATGTCTCGCCTTGAAGGGTTCCGCTCCATCAGATTCAGACTAGTCCGCCCAAGGGCGGTTGGGGGAGCCACGCCCCTGTCCCATCCATGATGGTGACGTAAAAGTCGCGCCATAAAAATTCATTGCCAAACGAGCCAAAGTATTGCCGCAGTGGATGAGGATGAGGATGTGGCAGTGGCAGTGGCAGTGGCAATTGCCCAGAGTAGTCCAGACTGAGCTGCAAAAAGCTGGGTAACGGATCTGAAAGTTGAGCTGAACCGCAAGACGCGACATTGGACGGTACCGCCATCGAGGCATCATTTATTTCGGCTTACATGGCGTATGAGTGATTTTTTATTGAAAAGTTCAGATTTTATATTTTTATTATTATTAATAATAGTTGTCTTAACATTTTAACAGGTCTTCTTGTCTTGTAAATCAATTGTTTAAGAAACATTTAAAATAAAAAGTAAAACAATATTTTAGGATTTTTTTTTTGGATGTAGTTTAGTTAACACGCTTTCAGCCCTTCAACAAAATTATGTTTATGTTGTAAACATTTTGCATGTAATTGTTTTCCACCAAACTGTAAATGTTCTTTGTAGAAATTTTATCTAAGCCTCTTTGTATTTTAAGAAAAAGACCGGCATGTGAATGATGCATAAAACCAAAAATAGGAAACATTTTATAAAAAAGGAATTGCACAAAGTTTTCTTCCCTTTTTCTTGCCTTTCTCCTGAACAGCGCAGCGTATTAAAGAGGTTTGGGGTGTGTGGAAAACGGAAAATGGAAAATGGAGATGGGGGAGTGGGAGGGGGAGGGCAGAAGCTAGATGGGATGTATCGCCTTCGACGCTGACTGCGACTGCTTCGAAAACGACATCGCAGGCAATGAGCTTAAGTTCAATACATTTACTTGAATTTCCAGCAAACGACAAGGACGAAGACGATGTCGTTGACTAGTTGGCTCCCAAGGATGAGTTGGAAAAGTGGAGGGCGCAGGATTGGGTGGCTGGAAAAGCTAGGACGTTGGCGAACAACACGGAGAGCAACAGTTTTTGTTATCAATTTAATTTAGTTTTTTAATATCATTGTAGTTTAGTTAAAATCACATCATAAAAACCATATAGTCTTCTAATAAACGGATAATGCATAAAACTATGCACTTACTCACCTTGGAATTATTTTATAGTTATCAATTAGTTTGATATTTATTTTTAATACTTTGTAAAAATATCCTGATATTCATTTTAATTTATAATTTTTTTTAATTCAAGCTTAAAATTGCAGACAATCTATGATTAATTACCACATCACATTTATGACAAATATAAATATTTATTTGGTATATATGTACATATTAATTTTTGACAGTGTAAAAAGCCATAGCCGAGTAACGTTGTGCCCATTACAGACAGTTTTTGTGGCGAGAAATTTCAAAAAGCTCAAATGTGCGAGGCGATAAGCAAAGCAGCAAGAGATTGGCAAGAATGGGTGTGTGGGTGGGTTGGTGAGGGGTCTGCAATGGGCCAGGGGCAGGGGCAGGGGTAAGGGGTAAGGGGTTCAGGGGGCAATGGCAGCACTTACATGTAACCAGTCGATGGCGACAACGGCAGCCGCAAATGTTGCAAGGATTGCCGGCAAGAAGCACACACAAAATTGATGTCTATGTGTGCGGTGGATGGTTTTGGGTGAGTGAGGAGGGGGAAGAGGGATGGGTGGGGGAGGACTGTGGACCGCTGAAGGATAACTATTCAACGGGGGAGGGGCAGGGGGTGGCTGATCGGTGGGGGCTGATTCGCCAGCGCAAGTTTTGGTTTTCAAAATTTATCGCTTTTAGATAAAACGTTTTGCGTTTTTACGATACGAGCAGCGAACACTTTGGCCAACTATCCTGGAGGCCATCCTCCTCGCAGCTGGAGGGGATGTCCTTTGTTGTGGATGGGGAGGGTGGTGGTGGAAGTGGAAGTGACTCCCGCCGTTTCTGTGGATTATGAAGTAATTTAATTAAAACGCCTGGCCCGCAAATAAATCCGGCATTATTTATGCCGCCTCGCAGGAGAAACGTGACATCTCCGGACCGGGTTATTAGTATTATTTCCTCAGATTGTTCGAAAAAAACCTTAAGTTTTAAGGAATTTATTTAAGTCACTTTACACAAGACAATAGGGAAATGTTAACATTTTATTTTTCTAATTCTTTAATTTAAGTGTTAATGGTTTTAACATAAAAACTTTTGGTAGCGACCCACATTGTAATAAACTTAAATTTCTCAAATAAAATGAGAACCAAAAATAAGGTCAAATCCTGAAGAGCAGTGCGAATAATAATGTTATACCTTTACCAAATTGGGTATTCATTTTCTATTCATAGCCATTTTGGTTACCCTTTTGCCAAGTTTTATCCTGGGCAGCAGCACCTCCACGACGAAGACCACCACCGCCCCCAGATTGGCCCAGAGGATGAGCCAAAAGAGGGCGGCCAGTTCCCGCATGGAGAGCACATTCTGGCGCACGGGCGCCACCTGCTGCTCCTCCGCCTCCGAAAGCCGGGGATCGCCATCGATCCCGTCCAGGGTGCTGTACGAAGTGGAGGCGATCCTGGTCACACTCTCGTCCGCCTCATCCACGGCACTCACATACTGCCGCGTCCAGTGCTCCAGGAATCCATGGGAGTGGGCGTGCTGGATCTGCTTGTCCAGCACACCCACCAGATGCGAGTGGCGCCGCACATAGAAGGCCAGCTGCTGGGTGTAGATGCGTTCCCGCACCAGGTGCAGCCTCCTGCTCATCGGATGCACCTTCCTGAAGTAACCGAAGTACTCGTATGGCGTCAGGATGGCCACACGCTCCGAGGAGCCACTTCGCCGGGCCAAAGCTGGGAAGGATTGCAGCTCGCTGCCCTCCAGGTGCACCAGTTGCTCGGGCCGCAGCTCGGGCAGACTGGCCAGGATCCTGGCCTCGTTCACCTCCGCCAGCTGAATGGTGAACCGCTGGGCCAGCACCTCGGTGATGGCTTGTGGCGGATTCCTTTGGGTGTCCTGCCGCAGCAGCTGGTACATCCCCGACTGGTAGCCACTCCTCAGGACCAAGGTGCCGAACAGCCAGGTGAGCAGCACCAGGCGACCAAAGAACCCGCCCGGCAGGCATCGATCCTCCAGATTGCCACCCATTGTCAGCACCAACAGCTCGTAGTAGGGATTCCTTGGCAACTGATGGCCACGCCACCATCGCTTCACCATCACCAGGAGCAGGCAGGCCAGGATTAGGACCAGGCCAATGGCTCGCCACAGGAGCGGACTGAAGGGAAAGGCCAGCTTCTCGTACGCGGAGTAGGCACTCTGCAGATTGGTCACCAACATGATGTGGCTCATGAAGTAATAGGTGGACTGTGAGTAGGGAATCTCGTTTCCAGCACTTGGCTTGAAATGGAAGCCACCCAGGGAAAACTCCGCATGGTGGCCAAAGATCTGAATGAACCAGTAAACATCATAAAGCTGGATATAAGATGAAAGACCCACCTCGTCGAATATCCTGCCCGACTCATCGAATGTGGCCAGCACCTCCTCCTTGTTCATCCAGTAGAGACCCACGCTGAAGTTCAGATTGTGGGCCATGAACTGGAGCAGAGCACCCTCGATGCCCACGAAGGATCCGCTGCCGTCGCGACGCAGGACCAGGTATGGCATGTCCTCCCAGGTGGCGCAGGTCAACAGACAGCCATAGAAATTGCCCAGCTTGGCGGGGAAATACTCCTGGCTAGCCCATTGTCCCGAGGACAGTTGGTAGCGATTCACCACTTGGGCCGAGATCACCTGACAGCCGTGTGTGGCACTGAATGGGAAGTAGCTGACCATGAGGAGTTGCTCACCCGGCGGACGCAGTACCACGCCCACATTCAGCACACTGAGACGCCAGAGGAGTCGAAGGACCAGCTGAATCTCCTCGCCGTACGCATCCGTGGGCAGGGACATGTATATCAGGGTGTACGACAGGTCCTGGGTGGCTCGGATGTGTTCGTAAATCGCCGAGAGGGCCGGAAGATCGTCCACCAGAGCCAGGACAGCATGCACATATGGCTGGAACTCCATGGACTGCTGGCGGAAGAGCCTCCTCGCCTGCGTAATGGATGGCAGAGTCACCAGCAACTGGGTGAGCAGCTCCTCCAAGTGGCCACCAGTCGACCGGGAACTGGCGTGGGTGTAAATGTGCCACGTCTTTAGACGTCCCATTTCCGAGTTAACCATCACTTGGACCAGAGCATCCACCAATTCCAAATCCGATCCGGATGCCATTGTGTTGGCCACCAAGGAGCAGCAAAGAAGTAAATGTAAAATGTACTTCATAGTTAAAGAGTTGCCAAAGGAATGTGGAAATGAAAGTACTTTGCTCGTAGGTTTTCAGATCCCTGGGGAAATCTTGGGAATGGCCTTGGCCAATCGCGTTAATCATATCACATTAATGGGGATTCCCCTGAGTGAATGGGTAGGCCATTACTGATTAATATAATAATTAGCTTATAGGCATCTCATGTGCTGTTAACAACTGGTAACATTGGTAGTTAGGTAATATAAAAGCTTATAATAGAATATATTACAAAACTTTCTATTAAAGGTTCCTTTGTTCATCCTAAGACAATTGCAATTTAAAATTTTATAATAATTTTCTATTCATAAGTAAAAGTCTGAAATAAAACTCTTTTTACTCTCACAAGTGAATAAAAATCAGATAAAAAATCCAGAAAATCGAAAAACAAATAAAACCTTGTTTTGCCCACTAAGTGTATAAAATTCAGGAAAATTGGAAAACATGAAGTTCAGAATTCCAGTAGTCGAAGTATCAAAAACGATTATGTTAATTTTTCGCATAATTATTATTTAATAATTATTTTTATTGACATTATTATTAAAAGTCTAATCATCAACATCATCGTCATCGAAGTTGAAGTAGTCGATGTCGTTGTCATCCCGTTCTTTTCTGCTGCTGCTGTCCTTGGGCTCACTGCTCTCCTGGGGCTCCTCAATGTCCCGGTCATCCGCCTCATCCGGCTCGGGTTCGGGCTCCTTCTCCAGAGGATCGTTGGCATCGTCCTCGAAAAGGCTACGCTCGGCGGCACCCAGTTCGAAGACAGGCTCATCCGGCTCAACCTCTTCCCTGGACTTCGCCGTTGGTTCGGATATCTTGCCCAAAACAGGAGGCTCCACCTCCACCCGGGTGAGATTGGTGTGGTGATTCAGCATGCCCTTGTAGAGATGGGGAAACCTGCGCTGGAAATCCATTTTGATCCGTAGCAGCCTGTCCAACATGCCGGGCGTTAGGATGCCGAGCTGTGACCCCTGACCCATGATGTGCGTATCCCGGCGCCGACGACCGTCCTTCAGATAGGCATCATAGCTGCCTCCGCCGGTGTAGAGGGCATGGTGCGGATCGTAGGCCTTCTGGTTCCAGGGATCATCGGGTCTGGCCACCGGCAGCAGGCCCATGAACGGATGCAACAGTCCCTCGTCGAAGGTGAAAATGGAGCCCACTTGGGGGTCATGTGATGGGGGTGCGCTTTCGGATTCGGATGGTGCTGATGATGGACTGGCGATATGGACGATGGACGATGCATATGCGAATGAGAGATGGACATGAAGGGTTTACGGTTGATTAGTGGACATGCTACTAGAATATTTATCCTATGATTGTGGTTAGTTTTAGGTCATGGTTAGTGGGTTGCATGGATTAGGGTCTTATGCCTTAGATGGGATGGAACTTCTGATGGTGGTGGCAGTGGGTTTGTGTTGTCTTCTGCGCAACCGCTTTCGCTTGGTGAGTTTGATGGGTTTGATGGATTTCGGGGCTTTCGAGAGGGTGTTGCTCTGTGATCGCACAAAGCCGGACTTTTTCTCTTTCTCGATTTGCAGTCGCAGCAGATCCTTGAGCACGTCCACCAGACTATCTAGCTTAGTGCTGCTCACGCTGGCCTGTGTGATGTCCTGCCGGCTGACCTTTTTGACCTTTTTGACCAGGAACGCGGCCTTCTTGGGTCGCTCTGGCTTTCCCACTTGGCGAGCTGATCGCACCCAGCCCTCGTCACTGTCCTTCGGGATTTTCGGGCTGGGAGTCCTGCTCGCCGTGCTCCTCCTGCTCACAAACTTCCCCCTCATCGCATAGGTAGTGGGTGTGGTGGGGGCATCACTAGAATCACTGCCACTATCGTTCAGAGCCGCATTGAGCAGCTGCGCCTGCTGCTTCACACTCAAGGCTCTTTTGGTCTTGACCTCCGTATCGGAGCTGGGCTCATCCGCCTGGAACTCCGGATAGGGCGAGTACTCCTGGCTGCCGGTGCCGTCATAGTTGAGGGTCTTCGGCATCTCCAGATTCTGATCTTGGATGAACTGACGTTCATGGTTTTTGGTCAGGAAATCCGTATCATAGCCCCGATTGGCCAGAATGCGCTGCCAATTCCGATCGTCTTCGTAGTCCAGTTTATTGGGGGATTCATTTTGGTCAGCCACACTGGCCTTGGCTTGGGCCACAAAGGTTTTGATTACAGGTCTTGGGGAGTGATAACCACTTGGGATTGGAGTCTCTGTGGTCGTGGTGGAGATGCCCGTGCTCTCGACGTCCTCGTCCTCTGCCTCCTCCTCCTCCTGCTCCACTGTGGTTTGCTCCTCCGCCTTCTCTGGCTTTTGTACCTTCTCCGCCTTGGATTGCACCTCCGCCTTGGATTGCTCCTCTGCCTTGGATTGCTCCTCCACCTTGGATTGCTCCTCCACCTTGGATTGCCCCTCCACCTTGGGTGCTTTTCCTTCTGTAACTGACTCTTCTTTTCCTACTTTGTCTGATATCATATTGTTCCATCGGTCGTTCAGCTTGAGGATCTCCCCTTTTAGCTGATCCACAACAATGTGTAGCTGATGGATCTCCTCCTCCTGCTTGGATATCGACTTGGTCACATGGGAACTCTCAGCCGTCGAGTCCTGTTGCATTTCGTTGTCCTCATCTCTGGGGCTTTCTGTGGCCTCTGCGGCAGTACTTTCTGTTGTGGTTGGTGTCTCTGAAGTGGAGTCACTGCCTCCTGGAATTGTCATTTCAATGGTGGTTGTCGATGGAGCTGCCGTGGAAGTGGTTAGGCGCACGAAGTCCTGGTGATTATACTGGTGCTGGGCGGTGGGATCATGCTGCACTTGCTCCTCCTCCATGGGCTCTTGTTGAGTGCCCTCGTCATACTGGTCTCCCCCGATTTCCAGGGGTTCCATACTGGCCCTCTCCAGAGCTTCCCGAATGGAGGCCGCATTGTAGCGCATCAGGGCCTCGGCGGGATCCTCATCGGGACTCAGGGTGATCTCTTTCAGACCCAGCTTGTATTCCCGGCGAAGTTCGTTGAGGGAACCCTCGTCGATGGTCTCCAGGGTGCCGTACTCGGCACTGCGTCTGCTCCGACGAGCAGAGGCCCGGCACTGGCAGGACTCTGAACCCAATCCTCTCCTGGCTGCACCCGATCCTCTGCCGCACTGACAACTCCTGCCACACAGACAGTCCAACCTGCCGCATCCGCAACCCTTGGACCCCTCACTTATTTTCCCCCGGCCCAACCTGTGGAAAGTGGCTAACCTTTTGTGGACTCGATGCTGCTGCAGTTGCTCCGGAGGAGCTGCTCCAGTCGTCGTCGCTGGAGGAGCAGAGCTGCTCTGCTGCCTCGCCACTCCGCCGACTTCTCCTGGTTGCTTGGGATTTATTGTCTGAAATGCGTCGCCTGTTTAATGCCATGAGAAGAAGGCGAATGAATCGTATGAAATGGATCAAATGCAGGCAACTTTCTACGTGTTCCAGTGTGAATGTGGTGTGTGCTGTGTGCTGTGTGGTGCTCAATGTGGTGTGGTCTCAGTGGTACCCAGTGGCTCTGGTGGTTCTACATAGCTCACAACTTACCCGGCCCATCGTCTGGTCCTCGCGCAGCATCTCGTCCACCTCATCGTTGCCGAGTGCCGTCCGATATCCCTGACTTTGGTAGGAGTTGACGGGGCGTGCGACTCCATAGGCATTCGATCCGTGGCCACCGCCGCCGTAACTAGTTCCGTAACTGCCGCCGTAACTTGGGGCAGGAGCGTAACTTGGGGCAGGGCCGTAACTTGGGGCAGGGCCGTAACTTGGAGCTGGGCCATAACTTGGGGCAGCCGGACGCTGGGGAGGTGCCTGGTAGTAATAGTTGATCACCGCGTGCGAATGCGATTTGGACTTCTTTCGCTTGTTTCCGCCGAGTCCCAAGGAATCCACTGTGGGGGAGTTAGATGGCACTGAGTCAGGATTGCGGAACACACCAAAGAGATTACCTTTGTGCCGGGCGGTTCCTTCGTTCTCCGGCATCTGGGGACTCGCCTCGCCGAGTATTGCCTCATGCTGGATCGCCTCGGACTTCTCGTTGGCCCACCTTAGGGCTGCCCGATCCTCATCCTCCCATCGTGGCTGCTGTTGCTGCATCATCATGCGATTCTGTTGGGCCATCTGTTGGGCCTGATGGATTTGTTTGATCATCAGTGGATCCGCCATCATCTGTCTCGGCTGCTGCTGCATCATCATGGCATTCTGCTGGGCTATCAGCTGTTCCTGCCGCATACTGGTCTGATCCTCTGCCAACTGCCTTTGCTGCATCTGCTGAACCTTCTGTGCATCCTCCGACCACTGTCTTTGCTGCATCATTATGGGATTTTGTGGGATCATTTGCCGCTGCTGCATCTGCTGCATCTGCTGCATCATTTGTGGATCCCCGGCCATTTGTCGCTGCTGCTGCATCTGCTGGACTTGCTGCTGTTGCTGTTGGATCTTGGCCTGCTCCTCTAACCACTGTCTTTGCTGCATCGTTTGTGGATTCTCCGCCATCTGCCTCTGCTGCATCATCATGGGATTCTCCCGGGCCATCTGGTGAGCCATCTTGGCCTGCTCAGCGGACATCTCTTGCTGTTGCATCATTTGTGGATTATCGGCCATTTGTCGCTGCTGCATCTGTTGCATCATTTGTGGATCCTCGGCCATTTGTCGCTGCTGCATCTGTTGCATCATTTGTGGATTCTCGGCCATTTGTGGCTGCTGCATCTGTTGCATCATTTGTGGATTATCGGCCATTTGTCGCTGCTGCATCTGTTGCATCATTTGTGGATCCACGTCCCTTTGTGGCTGCTGCTTCTCTGGCAATTGTGGATCCGCGACCATTTGTCGTTGCTGCATCTGTTGCATCATTTCTGGATCCACGGCCATTTGTGGCTGCTGCATCTGTTGCATCATTTGTGGATTATCGGCCATTTGTCGCTGCTGCTGCATCTGCTGGACCTGCTGCTGATTCTGTTGGATCTTGGTCTGATCCTCGGACCACAGTTTTTGCTGATTCGGCATAATCCCCGCCTGACCCTCATCTTGTCCAGTTGTCCTGAAGGCCGCGTAAGCCTTATCCTTCTTGCCCTTCTCAGTCTGCTCGCTGGCCATGCGATAGGCGTAGGCCATAATCTGGACGATGTCCTCCTTGGACAGGTTCTGATCCGAATCAATTGTCTGACGCTTAAGCCCGCCTGCCTTCCGGCTGCTCTGACCCGTAATCCTGGTCTTGCGCTGCGCCTCCTTGGTGACCAATCGCCGGACGTAGTCGTCGCGGAGGGCCTGCTCGATATCAGCCCGCGTGATCTTGTGGACGGGGGTGCGGCTCAGGGGATAGCTGATCCTGTAGGGGGAGTCGGCCGCCAGCGAGGCACTGGACCTCATCTCCTTGGCCATCAGCTCGATCTTCTGCAGCATTTTCAGTTCGGCGATCACCTGGCGTTCGAAGGCCTTCAGCTTGGCCTCCACGCGAAGGTCCTCCAGTGGCCTTTCCTCCCTCATATCCCTTTGGCCCTGGGTGGTGGGCATTCGGAACCAGAGGAGCGGCACTCGGTCCTGCTCTTGCTCCTGCTCCAGCTTCTCCTGCTCCCTTTCCAGCGCCGACTTGATCTTCAGCTGGGCCATCTCAGCCTGTGGCGAGTAGGCAGTCTCGGGACGCACCCTCACCTCGGAAATGTCGGAGGCCTGGGCATCCGTGCCAACGGGAGCTGCCTGTTGGAGCCCTGGAAGTCCCTGGAAGAGCTGCTTCTGTATTTGGCCGAAGAAATCTGTATTGGGTGGAGGCAAATTAGCAGTTTGAGCCTGACCCAGCAGATTGATGGGATCAAAGTTCGCCGGATTCAGTGAGGTGAAGGCGTTCTGAAGCGATTGACCCAGCATGTCAGCAGGAAAAGGACGAGGAACTCCTCCTGCTGCTGGTGGATCAGCAGCTGGTGCCGGAGGAGCAGGCTGCGCAGGAACAGGAGCAGAAGCAGGAGCAGGAGCTGGAACCGGAGCAGCTGCACCCAGGAGGCTAGGCATCGGCTGAAATTGGGCCAAAAACGAACCGACCTGGGGTCCCAAGTCCATGGTCGGAAGTGCAAAGTTCTGTGGCCAGCTCATCATCTGGCCGAGAGCACTGGCCGGATCATTCTGACGGGCCACTCGCGTCCTGGCCGTGGCATCATCGGCCAGGACGAGCACCACCTTCGAGGCGGCGGCCGAGGGTTGCAGGGTGTCGGGAATGGCGCCCAGGATGGAGTAGGCCGGGAAGAGGCTGCCCCAGCGGAGGAGGCCGCCCAGAGCTGGGAACAGCAAGTAGAAGGCGTCCAGCTGGGGATTGCCAGTGCGGATGGGGCTGATTAGCGGCATCTGGCCCAGGATCTGGAAGGCAAATCATTTCGGGTTTAATACAAGAGTTAGCCATTTTCATTGGGGAATCATTGTGCCTGCCTTAAACGTTTCATTTAATGTTCATGGATAGATATTTAAATTATTTATTTATTCAAATTAACATATTTTATATAAATGTATAAAAAGTTTTGATACATCCATAAATATTTAAAGGGCACTGAGTAATTTTAGTAAAGGGAATGGCCAGATATTTATGTAAAATAATTATTTAATTATAGTTGAACTATCTAGAGAGCTTAGATCACCTCAGTAGCTCATATCCTTAAAACCCTAAGTTGTCACTGGCAGGAATCGAACTCACCTCGTCCCGGTTGGGAATCCTTGTTCTGGTGATCGTGGAAGAGTTGGCCGGTGATCCGCCATCCGGCGCAGGATCTTCGGAGGCGACGTTGGCCTGGCCAGTGTTCTGGCCAGCAACTTGGACGCCGAGGAGCGCCAGGAGCGGCAGGAGCGGTAGCAGGCTGTGCAATCTCATCCTGCGGGAGGGCAAAAGTCTGCTCAAGATTGGTTAACGGAGATCGGTGTTCGCCGGAGCTCGTTGGCCGACTGACTGCTGACTGCCGCCGGTCGGTGGTCCAAATAGTTTTTTTGCCACCGCGTCGGCGGTGCAGAAACGCAGACGTAGTCGAATTCGTGACCCGGAGCCGGGTCCACCACACGCACCGGAGAACGGGGAGCGTTTCCGTGTGTGTGCCCCCAATCGAAATTCGGACCGCAGCAGCCGCCGCAGCTGCAACTGCTGCAAAAAACCTTGCCCAACTATTCTGCTCGCCAGCTTTTTCCACGAAATCAGCGCAAATGATGCATGCTAAACAGTACGAAAAAGAACAGGTCCGCAAATGGGCCAGAAGTTGAATCATTTATTAATGAAACACCGATAAAACATGCTGATAGCATGGGCTATCTGCACATGGCACTTTTGAAAGTGTTTACTTAATTTTTTGAAGTTTTAAAAAATGTTTTTTGCGAGCTAAAAAAAAAAAAAGTTTTTAAAAACCAACTATTCATTTAAGGTCTTTTCTCTTTAGGATTTAACTAATGCAAATGTATTTTTTAAATATGTATTTATTTAGATATTGTATGAGGTTTTAAAAGTGTTATTCTAAAAATCAACATTGTTGAAGCCTTATTACTATAGAATTTTATAAGGCATTTACAGCGACAGTTATTCGACTATTATTTTAAATACCCATCTTTTCTTTTTAAGAAAAAAAAAAAAAGTAAACAAAAAGGTTTCTGTGTCTAAAATCGAATCATAAACTAAATCTTTAGTAATGTGTATGGTAAAATGAATAGAGATAGCAATAGTATATTTGTATCATAATCTTTTGTATCCATAACCCATGGACTTGAACATTTTGGAATACAAAATAACTACAAATACAAATAACAATTAAAAATGCATTCAAATGGGCCGAATCCGCCCCTGATTTTTATAGAGGGCCGTGGTGGGGCTGCCCTTCAAGCGTCGATCCATGAAATTCTTGCGATCGTCTGATGGTTTGTGTGTCACCAGAAGCACCACAATTACCGCCGGCACCACCACCACCACGAGGTTTGCTGAGGTCAGCGGTGGTGCAGCTTGTAGCGACACGAAAAACAAAAGTTTTTGTCATCGCAGCGGGTGGTTTTGCAGAGGTCAGCGAAAAGTGCGAAAAGAAAGAGCCAGCGCATTTCTTCAACTCGGTACAGCGACCTTTGTTGGTTCACATTCAGATTAACCAGACTCTGATCATTATTAAATTACTCACGACCCAAAGCTATCTACATTTAATCACGACTATTGCGGCTGAAATGCGTAAGCAGACCAGTTAAAAAATTGATTCAATAAAAAACCCATAGATTATGTGATTCAAGAAAAGTTAAAAGTAACTAAAGTTCGGTATATATGTACATGGATATCTTTATAAAGTTTGAGTAGTTAAAACATCTGTTACAATTTAAAGAAATTAAAAAGCTATTTAAGAAACACATTTGTTCAAACTAAAGGCTTATTATTCTTATAAAGACAAGTTCACTTAATAATATTTGGTAATATATTCTGCAGATATAAAGACCTTTTGTTTTGTTTTTATTTCAATCCCCTCGAACTCCCCAAAAAATATTTCTGACTCGTCAAAAAGCGCCATGCAAAGGTGTTAAAAAATTGTGATCAGTTATTATGGGTAAATAAATTGCCGAACTAATCAAAATTATCCAAAAATATTTTTTATAACCTACATTCCCAAAAACATTTTACAATTTACTTTTGTTACTTAACCTTTTTATATACAAACTTAAATGTCAAAGCAATAACCAGCGGTAAAAAGATTTGTAATATCATATATTTAATGTTAATTTATTGTGCATTTGCATTTCCAGATGCCGCAGATAGAGCTTTTAGCACGCAATTTGACCCGTCAGTTAAGTGATTTCTGGTTAGATAATTGTAACGAGCTAGTACACGAAAAACAAAACATTTGTCCAAATGGGATGTAGTTTTGTGAAAATTAGTATTATATTAAAAATTATATCATGTGGCTTGAAACACTCAAAAAAAGATCACATTTAATTAGTAGCTTATTGATTAATTTATAAAATTACACTTTCTCAGTTTCTTAATAATTATACATTGGGTATTTTTTTTTATGGCAATCGGCTATAACAATAAACGAATATTTTCCAATTTTGATTTATTTTTGTATATTGCTTTAACAACTTCATATTACTTGCGATTTTATTGATTATATTGTTTTTATTAATTTAAAACTGCATAGGGCAGACTTCCCATTTCCTTTATTATGTTAACCATCTGTTTAAATGTAATCGTAAAATGTAATATATAAATACTAAAATAGTTTCTCTACAATAAACAGTGACAGATCACTGGACAAGGATTCGGGGATGTTTTTTTTAAGTTTTAAGTTTTATTTTAAGTGTGGTGGCCCATCATGCAGTGGTGGTTGGAAAAGGGCAGAACTTCAGTTGGCAAGAAGCCACTGGTGGATCAGGATGTTGCCAAGCGCCGTGCACAATGTGAGCCTGGTTTACGCCCTGGTGTGGACCATCGACAACTACTATGGCACCGCGACGAGCACCCCACTGGCGGTGGTGCAGTTCGCCACCAGTGCGGAGAGTCGGGGACTCCACAACGACCTGATTGACGCCGCCCTGGGCAGGTCCTCGGGCACGGGGAGGATCCAGTTCGTGCTGGAGGATGATCGCGTGGAGAGCGCGGAGGCCACGAAGGAGCTGCCTCCGCCGAGCGGATTGACCGGCAGACCCATGGCCATTTGGTTCCTAGACAGCCTGCGATCATACTTCAGGTTGGAGATGTACCTCAGCCAGCTGGGCAGTCCCTACAAACGGAACGGCTTCTTTGTGGTGGTCTACACCGGAGTGGAGGATCGGCCCATGGAGTCGGTGAAGATCATGTTCCGGCGGCTGCTCAACATGTATGTGCTGAATGTGAACGTGTTCCTGCAGAGGGAGGGAACGGTCCAGCTGTACACCTACTATCCCTATGGACCGCATCGCTGTCAGTCCTCGCTGCCGGTTTACTACACCGCCTTCCAGGATTTGCCGCCGCCGGCGACGGGATACGGACTGACCAAGCCGCTCTTCCCCAGCAAGCTGGCCAACCTGCATGGCTGTCCCCTGGTGGTCGTCACCTTCGACCACCGGCCGTATGTGATCATCGAGGATGATCCCGAGGTGCCGGGCGGCAGGATCATGCGCGGCATCGAGGGCATGATCTTCCGTGCCCTGGCCGAGCGGATGAACTTCACCCTCAAAATGGTGGAGCGACAGGACAAGGACCGCGGCCAGATCCTGCCAGATGGAAATTTCACGGGCATTCTCAAAATGGTATGAAAATATGAATCAAATCATTCTTATTTTTATATCTTCCAAGGTCATTTTCCTTACACTATTTATTTAGTTTTAAAGAAGATTTAAAAATTTTGTATTTCTCTTTAAATTTTTCACTTAATTTTAGAGATGTTCTATTCAATATTAATATTCATTAATATTCATTAATAGTTCGCAAAGAATAAGAAGGGAAATTTTATAAACTGTAAGCTATTTTTGGCTAAAGTGAGAGTAAAACAAAAAAAACGGATTTATAGCCTAAGAAAGTCATAATTTTTGGTTAAACAAAAAAAAGGATTTTTAAAAAAGAAAGTCACGATAAGATTTGTAATATGTTAAGTATATAATTTTATATTGTTCCCCATAATAAGTGCCATCCCCTGTTTACCGGTCGTATACGTAATGCCAACCAATTTAATCAAGCATACGCATGGTAATCCCTTCAGATGGTCGATGGCGAGGCAAATATGACGTTCGTGTGCTTCATGTACAACAAGGCGCGTTCGGATGTGATGCTGCCCAGCATTTCCTACACGAGCTTTCCGATTGTCCTGGTGATTCCGGGCGGTGGATCGATGACGCCCATGCAGCGCCTGACCCGCCCCTTCCGTTACATCATTTGGTCCTGTGTCCTGGCCAGCCTGCTCCTCGGCCTCCTGATCATTGCCCTGCTGCGGATCAGTGCTGTGCCGCGTAGGCTGCGGAACCTGGTGCTGGGCCGGCACAACAATGGTCCGTGCCTGGCCATGTGGAACATCCTGCTGGGCGGCCTGGCGCTTTTCAATCCGCGCAGGAACTTCGCCCGGTACCTCCTGCTCATGTGGCTGCTGCAAACCCTGATCCTTCGGGCCGCCTACACGGGCCAGATGTTCCTCCTGCTGCAGGACGTGGAGGTGCGATCGCCGCTGCAGACGCTCTCCGAGGTGCTGGCCAAGGGCTACGAGTTCCACTTGCTGCCCACCTTGCAGATCGTCTTCCACGACTCGATGCCCAGCACCCATGTCCGGGTGGTCACCACGCAAGAGGCCTCACTGTACCGCCTGCGGGACGAGGAGGATCCGGGCATTGCGGTGCCGGTGCTGCAGCCCACCGCCTACCAGTTCGACTACCGCTCGGGGCCAGGGGCCAGGCACCTGACCACCCTGCCCGAGCCCCTGATGACCGCCCCCCTCACCCTCTACATGCGACCGCACTCCTACCTGAAGCGCCGCATCGACCGCCTGCTCATCGCCATGATGTCCTCGGGCATTGTCTACCGATACCGCCGCATGTACCTGGACCGCATCGAACGGCTGGCCAAGGTAAGGAACATGGAACCGAGTCCACTGACCATCTGGCGACTCGGCGGCGTCTTTGTCTGCTGTGCCGCCCTCCAGCTGCTGGCCACCCTCGTCTTTGGCCTGGAGCTTTTTTCCAGGAGGCATCCGCGGTTACGCAGCACTCTGAATGCCATCAATCGGTACACGGCATAGGCTCCCTAACAATTATAGCAGGATTGCTACCTATTAGTATGTATAAGTTACTGTATTCCTTCGTTGTTGTTGTAAAGCTTACTCTCGCTGGGCTCTCTCTCTCTCTCTCTCTTGCTCTCATCGCTCTCAAACTCTATCAGAGAGTTGGGGGTTGGTGTGGGTTGTGAGCGGAGAGCGAGATCAGTTGATAGCCAGCAGTGATTGTGACCAGGACTTAAAACTAAATAAAAGCTATAAATTATATTATATGTATCCATTAAACGGTGTTAAATTGCATTACTGGGGATATCTGTATCATACCCCTATATAATACAATTTATTCATTTGCTAAATATATACTGGCAGAACCATCTATTAACAAAGATTGGGATCTAAATAGAGGCAAGCTACGACATACAAATATCTTTTAACTTTTGGGGCAACAACATTATTTTTTCAGATCTCTGACAACATAATAAATAAACAAAATGATTTGGAAAATTGTAAAAATTAAATTTCTTAAGCTTTGCATGTTTTTAAAAATGTGCCAGTTTTGAGTTTTTTTTCGTAAAATTTGTTTTTTTAACGGATCAGCGCTAAGAGACCCTTACAATTGCATTATTTTTGGCCTTATTATTATAATACAAAATAATCATAATCATATTCATGTTTAAAATACTGTTAGTTAGCTTTTTTTCATCAGAAGCTGAAATAATTGACAATTTTAGTAAAGAAATTGTATTCTTCGTTCAAAAGTAAAGCCTGTCAGAATAAGAAAAGGATGTCCAATTAAAATAAGGCTTTAAGAAGGTAAAGGAAGGCTTCATAAAATAATTAAATATTTTTGTATAACCTTTTTTTTGTAAAGTCAAATCCAATTATCCTCAAACCCTCTCCATTAGCCAGGTCAATCTCGGCCAGCGCCGCGTGTGACCGAGGTGCTCCAGTGCAAAAACGGCAATGGAAACGCAGAGGGCTGCCATCAAACAATTTAAGGCGGCCAGGACGAAGCCCATGGACCTGGCGAATCCTGCGCCCGCATCCTCGTGGGCATATCGAGCCGGTTTGTCCGGCGCATCCGAGGTGGTGGGCATGCTGTTCCAGGCGAGGATCTGCGAATGGTGCTGGAACAGGCCAAAGCTACGCATTTTGAAGAGCAGGGTACTGATCTCCCAGGCGAAGTAGGAGCCGTAGGGGAAGTACATGCAAATCATATTGTCGATAATCTTCTCCGCCAGAATGACCATCCTGTTGCGATGGTTCCTATGCCTGACCAAGTGCTCGGCCAGAAAGGAGCGACTGGTGAAGGCGCCTGTTTTCGGCGGTGCCTTCAAGAGGGCATGAAACACATCCACCGGTTGTCCCGGCGAGATTGTGGTTCTCCCCTGAAAAGCCGGAAATTTCAAGGTCATCCGGTAGGTGGCATGATCGGTGATAAACCGATATCCTTGACCAAACATTTGCTCCAAGGTGCGGGGTGATGGCTTCTCCGGTGAGTTGTGTAAGAAGTTGAAAACAGAGGCCTCGTAACTGGCCCTGATGACAAAGATCCAGAGCATCCAGCCGGCCAAAACAGGAGCCGGCATGCACCACCATCGACCCAGAATCCTGCGAAGGCCCAGAATCAGTCCCAGCAATAGCCAGGTGTATCGCTCGAAGGGAAAGAGCATTATTTCGTAGATGCTGTAGCCACTTCTGGCCCGCATCACTATTATGTATGCTATCTGGCTGTAGGGCACCGTGGTCGCCAAGAAGGTGGATCTCTCCGGCGTACAGGAGGCACATCCCACGGTGATGTTGGCCCTCCTCTCGCGGAGCATTCGATAGGCGCCCGTTAAGGTGCCGTTCATGAAGCTGGCTCCACCCACCAGTCCCTTCGGTTCATTGGGTACCAGTTGTAGCGTAAAGTTCATCTTGCTGGCCAGAATCCCCAATATCCGGCCATCCAATCCCTCCAGTCTGCTCATGGGATCACTCCGCTCCCAATGGACCTTCACAAAGGGCGGTATGTCCCACACAATCACGCTCAATGGACAACCATGGAGGTTCTTCAAGCGCTCCGGATAGAGATCCCGTATGAGGGAGTCCTTCAAATCGACTTCCACCGGTTCCGTGCTCGTGCAACTTTCGGCAGTGTACGGCTGGACATTATAAGCCCGGACTCCCTGCAAACTGGGCACAAGGATCACCACGTTTATGTTGTATCGCTCCTGCAGGAAATGGGCAAAGATCGTGGACATAATACTCCGTTTCTTCGAAACAGGCAGCGATGATAGCAACACAACAACGCACAAATAGTTCTTCTCCAAGTCATCGGATATGGCTCTAAATTGGAAATATAGATGACCCATATTAACATTTTGTATAGCTAATAATTAGAAATTAAGATAGTTCATTTAATTTAATTTAGATAGCAAAGATCCCAGTTCTATTATTCATACAATTTGTATTTCTCTGTCCTTTTAAACTAACACCAATTTGAAATTTTTATTAGGTATGATATTTTTTATAAAAATGTGGCCAATAGATCTTAAATATATTAGATTTCGTTTTAAACTAAATTCCAAAATTTATTAGAACATTCATTAATTATATCGACTAAAGAAATTGCCAATTTATTATTATTTAAATCGATTTCATATTGTAACTTATTCTAGTTCACATGGTGATCTAGTTCACATGGTGATGATCTAAAATCAGCTCCGACGGTTTTTGATAAGTTTCGAAGTCAGAATCTAAGATTTTCGGAACAACCTTAATCTTAGACTGTTGTTTAATAAAAATGAAGACGTATAATACAAATTTTAGAGGATTTGGTGACCCCAATATTTCATTTTGGTTAAACATTTGGTTGAAAGAAATTCATTGATAAATAGTATAAATACTAACATATCTTAGGATATTCCAACTTACTTGACCTGGTCGACGCTCTGAACGAAGAGCAACTGGATGGTGACGTGGGGTGCGATCTTCCGGTTCATTCGCGAGGCCAGGACGACGGGCACTGGAGAGTCCAGGCGACTCAAGCTGCGATCCAGGACTAGATGGATCAGCTGCACCTGATCCCTGTCCATTGTTTCGTAGGCGGTGCTAATGACGACACTTAAATTTAATAGCGCAAAGCTTTTGGTGAAGATCTTCTGCAGAGCGGCGGCGATCTTCGTGGCCAATTGCTCCTCCAGAAGTTGCTGGTCCGGACACCAAATGGCCTCCACTTGAAAGTGAGCCAGGAGCACCAGAAGCACAGTCACCGCACATTGGAGTCGCATAGCGAATAGTGAGAAATTTGGCAGCATTTTTGCGAATTTATTTGATTGAGGTTTCGCCATCCAAGGGACATGATTTGTTTTGGTAGGGGACTTTGTGCACTATCAATTTGTCAAAATCTGCAGTACATACAGTGGGTCTCAAAAGTATATTTCGCGACTGTTTTTAACCACATACAAAGTTATCAATAAAATTGTTATTAAAATTATTATCTTATTGTTCACAACTAAAACTAATCAGTCTCTCTTTTAAAAAATGTTTTATATATATTTTTTCTTTAAGAAAAAGAATTTAAATGTATTTAATTTGTACATTGTAATAATTATAAGATTCCCTTCATTTTAAAAGCCATTTTATGTAAGCAACACTATTTCCAAATAAATCTTCTAATAAAAAATGGTATAACTTAATAAGAACCTTAATCACACTTTTAGAATTATTTTCTATGTTTGTTTACATTATTTTACCAAGGGTTTTCCCAGCGGCACCTCAGACCGGTTATTTGAATTTCCCAAAAATCTAACCCCATGCGATACAAATTAATTGTAGGATTGCGCCTGTAAAGGTAATGCATTAACAAATCCGTGTTCATCACTTAAACTAATTGCTGGTTCCAGGCGAGTACCCCCTGGCCACCACCCAACCACCCAAACACCCAACCACCCACATGACCCACCGTTCCAGAGTCGTGTGCGTGACAGGTTTCGGTGTCAGTATTATGCATGGGGCGCATAACCATAAATTAACACCATCAGTGGCACAGACACACACACCTGTGGGTTGGGTGGGTTGAGTGGGTGGCTTGGTGGGTGGGATGAGAGTGGTGGGGGGTCGGGAGTCGGGAGTCGGGAACACCACGTCAGTGTCAGGTTCATGCAAACGCCATGTCGCCTGTGAGAGGTTTACAAATAGCTGGATAATGTCCTGGCCCCCATCGAAACCGCACGGCCTCTGGAAGTCACCCACACTGGAAACAATAGTCAACCTTACATTTAGAAAATTCGTGTTTAAAAAAATACATACTTAAAACATAAGTAATGCAATGTAAGCTAATAATTGAAAAATTACAAATTACTAAGTTATTAACTCAGCAAAAACTAAGCTCTTAAATTTTTAAGTGCAAGTTTTATGTGCAAAATCAGGTTGCATTTTTTAATAAGGAAAAACAACATTTCAAAAAGTATGAGTACAACTTTTTAAATTTTAGGACCCTGATTTTGGGTATTCAACTTTTGTTACTTCTCTCTAGGCATTTATTTATTGTTTAAGAAACCTTATTTTCAATAAACACACAATTTTTATCATAACGGAATAAACACACTTGCATATAAACTAAAAATTCTGATGATGATACTAAATAGAACAAAATAAAGATGTAAATGCGAATAAATTGGCCAACAAAATATAAGAATCTTAATCCTGCTAAAATAATATATAACTATTTATAACTATTATACCCTTGCAGAGGGTATTATAATTTCAGTTAAAAGTTTGCAACGCAGTGAAGGAGACATTTCCGACCCTATAATGGTGATGCTGAACCAGGAAAAATGGGTCAAAAACTGGACCAACGCTAAAATGAAAAATTTTGATGCAGATTTTTTGAAAATCAAATTACGAGTCTTCAGAGGTATACCACTTTGAAATCGGATCAAATTTGGTAAAGTTATGGACTTCGGAAATCCAGTTGTGGGCCAGCCATGTCCGTCTGTCCGTCCGTCTGTCCAACCGTCAGTCCGTCCGTTTCTACACAAACTAGTCGTTCAGTTTTAAAGCTATCTGCTTGAAACTTTTCCAAAAATTATCCTTCTATTGCAGGTAGTATATAAGTCGGAACGAACCGGATCGGACTACTATATCAAAGAGCTCCCATAGGAACAATCGGAAAAAAAAATTGAAAACAATTTTAACTCTGTTGCTTTTAGTTTTTTTTTTAATATAGCTGCTAAAGAAACGATGGCAAAATGCAGCGAAAAATCGACATAGCTTTATTGTTTTTAGTAATATAGGCATAGAAATCGAAATGTAGTCGATTTGTAATAAACTAAATCTTGCCAAAGTTTGCTTCTTTTCTTTTTTTATTACATAATTTTTTTTTGGTTTTTCTGCATTAAAAAATTGTAGGATTGTAAAAAAATTCGTTTTACATATGTGATTATTTCTTTAATAAATATTAATACATTAGCGAGCTTTTCTCCACAAGTGCGACGAAAATAGTTTCCTCAAAAAAAGCGAACGCTGAGATGCGAGTTCCAGGAGAAAGACGACCAGGCCGAGTATCAGGCCCACCATCACCATTAGAAATATGGCATACAGCTCCATGATGCCGAAGATCTGGAAGCTCTGCTCGTAGTGCAGATAGCTCTCGTCCAGCTCCCACATGGCCCACACGGTCAGCAGACCCACCGACCGCATCCACATGATCTCCTCGTTGAGCTGGTCGATGAGGAAGGAGTGCTTGCCCAGGTACATGGTCAGCTGCATGCTGATGATGTCCTCGGGAACGATCTCGAAGTGGGCTCCAGTGCCCTGCCCGCCACTCCGGTGGATCCGCTCCGCACTCAGGCGATTGAAGTGGATGAAGATGTCCAGGGCGGAGGCGGTGACGTGCTGCCGGAGCTGGTGATTCGCCTCCAGGAAGTAGAGGGGATCCAGCTCGGAGGTGGCCTCTAGCAGCCGGAACTTCATGTGCTGCACACTGGGAATCTCCTCCAGCGCTTCCTGGACGATGGGCGTCAGCACCACCGTGTAGTTCCTCTGCACCAGCGACTCAATCGTTTGTGGCCATCGATTGAGCTGGTGGGTCCGGATCAGGTGGTACAGCAGTCCCTGGTATATCGTCCGGATGATCAGGGTGTACATCATCAGCAGTAGGCAATAGAGACGGGCGGTCTGCGATCTCGGCGTCTCCAGCAGCGGCATGCCCACGAAGATCAGCTCCAGATTGAGCCAGGTCCGCGATCCCTGGCCCTCCCGCAGCATCCTGTCCACCGCCAACTGGAGGAGCGCGGACAGGAGCACCACTCCGAGGATCCCCAGCCAGATCTGCAGGCGGTACGGGTAGAGGAGGATGTCGAAGGTGCTCAGTTCGTAGCTGGAGGCCAGGACTCCGAACACCTCCCGCGTCTGGTGGTAGTTGTTCGTCGAAGTGGCCACCAGACTCCTGCCCACCGTCTGCCGGATCCCGCCCAGAGTCAGGTCCGCCTCGCCACGTTTTAGCTGCAAAGTGCCAGATTAAGTTATCCTATTATTGTTTTAGCTCTAGATTCAATTTAGTTTAATATACCGAAGAGCCAAGTATCGGTCTTAGAAATGGGTTCATCGATCATTTGATATAAGTTGGTATAATGGTTTTTGAACAGAAACAGAATAAATGTTTTGACATTCAGATAATACCTTGGTTGTATTTTTACAACAATTATTCTTTTAACCTGGAACAGTTAGGCTAAGATGGTTTAATGGTTCCTTAATTAAATGTTTAAATTTATTACAAATAATAATCAAATTTATATACCTTATACAATTTCATTTTGCACTGTGGTGTATAAACCTTACTAAAAGCTCTCAAATTGTTGGGGAACTATTAATTTAGTCTTAAACATTTATCAATACAAAGAAGTTGACTCGTAAGTACTGTGCAATTATACTTTCGAAACAACGTTTACAGCATTTTTTATTTCAAAACCGGTGGTAAATTTCTTAAACAATTTTCAAAAACAATGAGATGTGTTTGTTGATTTTTTTAAATTTCGAATGCAGATCGATTTAAGAACTCACCATCTCCAGGGCCTCGTTCCTCACATTCGCATGCACCTTGCGCACAGCGATGGTGAAGTTCATCTTCTCGGCGAGCGCCAAGAGCAGGCGACCCTCGTAGCCGCCGCTCACGACCAGGACGTCCTCCTGGTCCTCGGCCAGCCCGAGGAAGGGCGGCACATTCCACAGGGCACAGCGCAGGGGACAGCCGAAGAAGTTTCTCAGTTTTCGGGGGAACAACTCCGGTTCCACCAGCATGCTGCCATTATAGCGATTGATCAGCTGCGGCTCCATGTCCGAGCAACCCCGCTCCCCAAAGGGATAATAGCTGTAGAACAGGATGTCCCCGTTGGACTTCTGCACCTGAATGCTGCAGTGGATCAACTGGTATCGCCAGCAGTAGTCGAAGATCAGCCGCATCTCGCCCTGCAGCAGGCGATCCCGCGCCTGCAGGAATATGAAGTAGTGCTCGTTGTAGTTGTACTCCCGGGCATAGTACTCCATCCGGATCTCCTCGAAGGCGGCAAAGGAGTCGGTGAAGATTACGTTGAAGTGCCGGCGACCCGGAATCGGACGCCAGGGCACATCCCGCTCCACATTCACGATCTGCACCGGGGCCAATCCCCACTGCCGGAACAAGGTGTTCATCATCTCGTTGTAGAAGTTGCACGTGTGATTGCTCCGGCAGCAAAGGGTCAACACCAGCGACGGGGTCACGCTGAGGATGTAGTGGTGGATCACGTGGAGCAAGGCCCGGGCCACGAACTCGTTGATGTGGTTCATCTGCTCCCCGGACAGGTCGTAGTACGAGTTGAGCAGTGCGCTGATGTTCATCCCGCCGGGACATGGACTCCAATGAGGGTGCTCGGAACTCCGATCAGGTTCTACGGCCTTAATCACTCCAGAGTTTTGTGTAACTTTGCGGTTAATTGCCCGGAAAAGTTGGATGATTAATGGTTGCCCAACTAAGTGCCTGAATGGGTTCTCTTAAAGGGAAAAATAAGGTCAATACCGCTTCAAAACAGCTCTTTAAATGACTAGAAATCAATAGGATGTGGCGCTTCCTGGCAAAAACATAAAAAATGTCAATTTCGTAACTGATTTTAGAAACATATTTTAGTAACTTTAAATTCAAATTAAATTTTTTTTATTTTCAGAAACCGACTGAAGCTTCAGCCACTTGTTAAATGTGTTTTTCTCTTTTTAACAAAAACGGGCTTAAGGTTTTTTGTATTCGGACTTAATATTCCTTGAGATCCTCTCCATGTTTTAACATATCAGATAATACAAAAATTAATATAAATAATTGTGTAAGTTGAAGGTGCGTTTGTCGCAGCTTTCTTGCGCGTTTATTTTTATTATATTTTTAAGTTTTAAAATGCAACTATGAAATGACACACTTTATAGCGATACAAAATTGATAATAATAATTATAATAATTAATCGATAAACAAACGAATTTCTTATGTATTATATTTTTAAATATTAAAAAAAGTATGCTTATCTTTTGTCAAAGTTCAACAAATTCATTAAAAAATCCATTTAATTTTTACGAGATATATATATATATAAGATTTAAATTTAAATCAGATTTATCATTATTAATGATTATTCTGGCGCGACAAGCTTAGACATATATTTATAGCTATAGGCACAATGGTTGTATTATTCCATCAGGATTTAGCTTTCTTTAGGTTCCTTCGCCAAAGGACAAGCTCTCCGGCGAAGACCAGACCGGCCAGCAAGTACATTCCCGCCATGACCATGTAAATGCCGGAGAGCTTGGCGTGGTTGATGAACCGCCGGCTGGAGTGCTGCACCCGCTCCCTGCGATGGACGAAGCCAAAGGAGGCGCGACGCCAGGCGAGGATGAAGCCGGCGGCATCCAGTCGCCTGAGTGCATCGTCCACCTTCTCGTAGAGGAAGGAGTGCTTGGGCATGTACATGCCGATGTACTCCACGTTCACGGGTTGTTTGACCACGTGATAGGCACTGGGATGACTGGAGGAGTGCAGAAAGGACCGCGTAATGTCCTGATTGACCACGGCGAATATTTTGCGATTCCTGTTCTGCTGCAGGGCGTTCAGCACGTCCCAGTCGGAGGGCGTATCCAGGGAGTGGAACCTATCCGGACTGCGGGCCACCTGCGGCATCTCGAGCAGCAATCGCTGCGTGTTCGCCGTGCAAATCCCCTGGAAACCCTCCGCCAGCAACTGCTCCAGGGAGAAGGATGGTGTGCTGTACAGCTGCAGGCGGATCAGGTGAAAGAGCAGGGATTGGTAGGAGATCCTCAGGGGTAAGCTGGCCCACAGCCAGTGGGCGGCGATGAAACGGTGCCTCCAGGGGCGTGGCAGGCGGGCCAAGGAGGCGCCCAGCAGCAAGCCCACCACCTGCAGCCCTCCACCTCCTCCTCCTTGATTTTCTACCCCTCTTCGTGGCAAATGGATGCCCAGGTGGATGAGGAGGGCCAGGAGCAGGAGCAGCCAAACGGGCAGCTCGAAGGGAAAGGCCAGCAGGGCGAGGGAGCCCAGACGATAGCGCTCCAACTGGAGGACGGCCACCAAGTTGGCCGAGTAATAGGACATGGGCGTGGTCAGCAGCCCATTCCGAAGCGCCGTCTTGCGGAAATAACCCAAGCTCACATTGACACTGTGCTGCTGGAGCTAAAATATAAATGGAGGTTAATATAATTGGACTTTAGATATTAAGATTAAAGCTCCTTAGAACTTTCACAACCCCTTTAAAGTTTCAAACATCTGCAACTTAAGATGCTTCATAGAATGTAGCATTCTCATTTTATTATTACTACAAGATTGTTGTTGGTGTTTGAAATAAACTTTGGGTATGCTTAGAAGCTATTATTATATATGTATATATTTTCTTGTGTATTATGGACATTCTGGTCACTGATTCAAAATCCTATCTAGAGCTTACAAAAAGTTATAAGAGGTCTGAAAAGTCCTTACAGGCTTACAAGCCCAGCGATTGAAGGACTAAAGGCAATGCGGAGGTTTTCAAAATGCCTAAAAAATGGAACGGACGAATATGGCAAAATCGACTGTCTAGTGATGCAGATCAAGAACATATTATATATACTTTATAGGGTCGAAAAAGCCTCCTTCACTGCGTTGCATTTGTTTTCTTTTTAAGAAAGAATATTACTTAAAATGTGGAAAATGCATAGTCTTAATCATATTTTTACTCACCCTTTCTATGGGTCCTCTGCTGGCACCATCCGCCAGGCGATATGCGTTGGGCGGCAGCAGCGCAATATTGGCCAGCTCCAGGCTGAAGTTCATTCCGCGGGCCAGGTGCTCCATCAGCTGGATCTCGAAGCCAGCTGCCCGGTGGCTCTTCGCCTTCGGATCCCAGAGGAGCTCCACGAATGGCGGCTGGTGCCAGGTGAGCACGGTGAGGGGACAGCCGTGCATCTGGCTGAGCTTGTCCGGGAACATCTTCGCACTCCGCATCCAATGGCGGCCATCGAAGGTGTTCACCAGCACGGGATGCGCCTCCTGGCAGCTGGCCGCCGTATAGGGAAAGTAGGTGTAGACCAGTACCTCCACCTGGGCGGTCTGGATCATCACGTTGCAGTGTAGCCAGAAGTGGGCCAGACAATGGTCCAGGATCAGCTGCAGCTCCTTGGGAATGAGGTGATCCCGCGCCTGCAGGAAGATGAAGTAGTAGTCCGGGTCATCGAAGTCCGCATTGTCGGCCGTGATGTTGGTGTCCCTAAAGAGGGAATATAGCATATATGTAGATTAAGATTGCAAGTGCCTTTTTCAGGCGAGCTCACAGTAATCCCCCGTAGGAGTCCACCATGAGCAGGTTAACCCGCTTCCTTCCCGGCACCGGATTGGACACCAAGTCCGGCCGGAAGCCGAGCAGCTGCACCGCCACCATGCGCCACGAATCCATCAGGATGTTCATCATGTACTCGAACCACGTGGCCGTTTTCAGGTCGCGCGTGGAGATGGTCACCACCAGGGTGGTGCTCAACTGGGCCAGCACGTTCTCGATGACCAGCCGTAGTGCCCTGGCCACATACGCGTTGGCGTCCTCCGCCTGCATGTCGATCCGCGAGTGCTCCAAGTAGCTGCTGTAGATCGCATGGCCGGATCTGCAGCTCCAGCTGGAGTTGTTGCAACTGGTGTTCATGGCGCGCCGTTGAGGGCTCAACTGTGAGGACGACGAGCACCTGGACTGGGCTGTTGGGCTTCCCGGTGTCTCATGGTCAGATCTCAAAGGAGATTGCGCTAATTAAAAACAAATAAATGGAAAGGTTTACTCTGGGAATGAAATATAAGAATAGGGAAAAATAGGGAAAAATCTTTAAAGCATAAATTCAAAGACCCAACTAAAAATAAATATATACGGAAATAAGTTTTTTTTTTAGATTTGTGAATCTGTATGAAAACTGTTTTTAAATGTTTTATATTTTTATATTTTTTAATATTTTTCTATTAGAAAACTAAACGAATTTAAATTGAAATTGTATAATGTTTAATGTTTAATAGGAACAATCGGATATAACTTGCATGAATGGAAGATATTTCGCGCAGTGTAAAAGCTTTTAACATAAATCTTTCCAAATCTTATTTTTTATGCATACCTTGATCAGGGTTAAAGCGCTTGGCGATCGGACGTCTATATCCTATAGCTCCTATAGGAACAATAGGGTGAAATCGGTTAAAATGTAATGATTTTTAGGATATTTCGCACAGTATATAAGCAATTGACATGAATCATTCCAAATCGTATTTTTTTATGCATACCTTGATTAGGGTAAAAGCGCATAACGATCGGACGTCTATATCCTATAGCTCCCATAGGAACAATATACCTTATTCCTTTCGCTACTTTTTCATTTTTAGCAATTTCGGTTAAGTCTGCAAGGGTATTTAAACTTCGCCTTGCCGAAGCTAGCTTCCGTCCTCGTTATAATTAGGTTCTTACATTATTTCCTGTAAAAAACTTGAAGTTCAGTGTAAAGATACTAAAAATGAGTATGAAGTGCGTAGGGTAAAGAAAGAAATCGGAAATTCTGGATAACATCAATCAAGGATATAATAATACCCACCACCTTATATATAGAACAGACCTGCAAACCCATAAAGTCACACGATTATCGACATCAGTTAGGTCAAGGCATGACCACCACCTTATGGGTAATATTATTTACGAGTGACCACCAGCTGATGGATGAAATCCCTGGCTAATTGTGCACCTTGGTGCGTGCGTGACACACAATGGTTTTGTTTGACTTAGGACCTAATGAGATGCAAACAGAGACCGCATTGGACTGGAATTCGCCACGGGGACTAGGCAATTGCGGCAGTATTCTTCCCGGTTTTGGACGGACGGACATGAACGTGACTAGCCTGCTGCATTTCGAGTCGATGAAGTACATGGGCGCCCAGACGCAGGCGGCGGCCATAAATCAGCACGTGGCCCAGGCCCTCCGCGTCTTCATCGAGGACTTCTACCAGCGGATTGCCCCCGCCTTCATCGTGATCCTCTCCTGCCGGCGACCCAGTCCCATGAACTTCTACCGCACCATCATGCAGCTGCTCTACGAGAGCGTGGACACCATGATCATCCAGTTGGTCCTGGTCGATCTCGGTCGTCCGCGGCGGATTGCAGGACCAAGGACGCACAATCTGCTCCTGGTGGACTCGCTGGATGCGCTACTGTAAGTGGGTTGCCCAGGAGGATATATGAAGGATTAAATTCATCAGGGCAAATGATATGTAAAGGAGCGAATTGAATGACCATAAAAGAATATTTCGATTCCGATGCTTAGAAATCCCAAAATTAAAACCAAAAGAAAAGACAGATTTATAGAGCATTAAGCCACAATTATTTAGAAAAATGCCACTTTGAAATCGGATGTCTGAAAGAAATGTTATGGGCTAAGAAGTGCATTTTTTGGTAACTTCTCTGCAAAGTCATTTTCGGAAAATTTGGAAAGGGAAAATGATTATATCATCAAAAATGATGAAAAATCGACCCAAAAAAAAAAAAATTAAGTAAAAATACAGATTTTGAGACCACCAAACCACGATCATTTTGAAGTATGCCACTTTAAAATCGGATGTCTGTAAGAAAAGTTATGAACTGGGAAGTGCAGTTTTTTACCACTTTTCTGAAGGGCCATTTTTAAAATTTTGGAAATGTAACCATTATTAAAATAACGAAAAACCGACTTAAAATTTAGTTAGTTAGGTAATTAAACCACGATTACTTTGAAGTATGCCACTTTGAAATCGGATTTCCGTAACAAAAGTTATGGGCTTAAAAGCTCAGTTTTTGGACACTTTTATGGAAATTACGAAATATCTGACCTAAAATGCAAACCGAGACTTAACGCAGATATTAAGAGTATTTTCAATAGGGTTTTTTAAATATATAAAACGATTCTTAAACGAAATACATTTTGTACCCACCAGAGACATCGAAATCCACACGTACACGGCGCAGTCGGATGCCAGCGAGTACTACTTCATCTTCCTGCAGCAGAGGGATGCGTTGATTCCGCAGGACATGCAGGGTGTTTTCGCGTACTGCTGGCGCCACCAGCTGATCAACTGCAACGTGATGACGCAGAGTTCCGGTGGTCAGGTGCTGCTCCACACGTACTTTCCCTACGCGCCTGGCCAATGCAACGACTCCCGGCCCACCAGGATCAACCAGTTCCTGGGTGAATCCTGGCAGCATCGCGACTACTTTCCCTCCAAGCTGCACAATCTGAATGGGTGTCCTTTGGTGGTACTGGCTAGAAGAGTGTCGCCCTTTTTCGAGCTGGATGAGGGACAACGGGAGCTGCGGGGCCTGGAGGGACGACTGCTGCATGAATTGTCCTGCCGGATGAACTTTAGCATTCGGTTCGAGGGCCTGCAGGATCAGAAGAGGAACCACACCACCTGGTCGGAGATGCAACTACTCCAGAAACTGGTGAGTTTACTCTTATGGGAAAACCACCTTAAAATGTAAACCTATATTTAATATAAGTATGCCTTAATATAAAACTAACTTAACTTATTTAACAACAATATCGTTTCAGTACCTTCACAGCAAATATAGCTGTTTTTAAATTTAAAAAAAGTAACACTTTTAAAAATAAATGTAGCGTTGAGAACAATTTAAATTAATTATTTCTTATTTATTATATTGTAATTATTTATTATTCCCGCAATGTCGCAATGTGAACTACAAATTAGCTATAGTTTTAAGGTCTTAATAATAAAATCTATTAATTTAATAACAAAAATATTAAGCATAGTTTTGTTATTTAGTGAAAATTCTATAGTAATAATACATATATAAACCGTTTTAAAATAAATTCATAAGGAATTGAGCTATATTTTAGATATAAAATAAAAAATAGCATATATGTATCTAGAGCAACTTAGAATATTAACCTTTGAAAGTTGAAGTTTATTATCCCAATTTGATGTCCATTTTTCAGGTGCAAGGACACCTGGCCCACCTGGCGATTGGTTACGTGAGGAAGCGCATCCAGTACTCGTCGAACCTGACGCCCGTCTTTCCCCACTACTCCAACCGCCTGGTGGGATGTCTGCTGCTCAACGCCCACAACCTGACCAGCCGGGAGATCTGGTCGTTTCCGTTCCAGGCGCTCACCTGGATCTGCCTGCTGTCCAGTTGCCTGAGCATGTTCTGCCTGGTGCTGCTCCACGGACGCGGGCCGGTGGATCGGGTGGCGCTCGTCCTGGCGATCTATGGCGCCGCCCTCGGCCTGCCCGTCGATCCTCCGGAGCGTCCCTCGATGCAGTTGCTCTTCGCCAGCTGGCTGTGCTTCGGCCTGATCGTTAGGTCCATGTACTCGGCTCTGCTGTTCCTGATCCTGCGGTATCATCTGCACCAGCGATTGCCGGAAAGTCTGCAGGATCTGGCCGAAGGTGGCTATGGAGCGGTGATGAGTCGGGTCACGTGGCAGGATCTGAGGGAAGTGCCCAGCCTGCAGGAGCTCCTCGGACTCAAGTCGCTGGTTGTGTCCTCGGAGAGGGAGGATGAGGTGCTGCGCCAGTTGGACAGATGTTCGCTGCGAGAGGGCAGCGGCTCGCATGCCCTGTTCTTTGGCCTCCTCTCCCAGGATGCACTGCTCCATCTCACCCAGCGGTGCCATCGGGCGGGATCGTATCACATTATCCCCCAGCACGTTTTGGAGCAGCAGCTGGCCATCTACCTGCAGAAGCACTCGCATCTGGCCGGTCACCTGGACCACCTGGTCATGTCCATTCGATCCGTGGGCCTGCTGCACCATTGGGCAGGTGAGCTGGCCAGCGAGCGGTATTTCCGCAGCCGATTCCTCTACCGGGAGAAGCGCATCCAGCAGCCGGACCTCTGGGCGATCTACCTCCTGGCCGCAGGACTCTATCTCCTTTCGCTGGTCGTCTTTATCTGCGAACTCCTGGCCGCCAGACGAGCTGCAAATGGAAGGCTCTAAAAATATCTATTACCTTTCCTAAATAGCATGTTACATTTCAATAAAACATTGAAATATTTTAAGAGTTGAAATTATCACTTGGCAGTTGGTTTTATAAAAAATCCTTGAAGGACTTAAAAATCTAGACAAAATAGATGGCGGTTAAATTTAGCATACCATATATAATCTTAATTGAAGGAATAGAAATTTAAACATCTAATTGAACTTCAGAATAAATTTCAGTTTACAACTATTCCAAGTAAATTTAGCTGTGATTAATCCGAATCTAAACTAGAAAATATATTCATTATTTATAACATTTATAAAAAACAATACTAATTCAATAAATTTTAAAAAGTTTTGAAACGGCAAACACCAATAATATAATAATATTTACAGTACAACTTATATAAGACTGTTCATTTTGATGTTCATTTTTTTCTGATAAATCATTATAAATAACACATTAAGATGTATATAGAACCCAATATTCTTAGTGCAATAAAACCGATTTTCAATTTAATTATTCACTGTTTCATAATTTTATTATGCAAATCACAAGATTTCGATAAATGCGGCTAGGGCACAAAGAAGACACTTAACAATTTAAAAAAAAAACATATAGCTTTCCACGATCACCGCCATGGGTCCATAGTAAATGCATTTCTGGTTGAGAGTAGTCGGGTCGCCAGGTGACCTTACAGCTTCTCGAGGAGAATGGAGGAGGCTCCTCCGCCGCCATTGCAAATGGAGGCGCAGCCCAGCTCGCCCTTCTTCAGGCTGTGCGAGAGATGGGCCACCAGACGAGCGCCGGACATGCCAATCGGATGGCCAATGGACACGGCTCCGCCATGGACATTCACCTTGGCGGGATCCACATCCAGTTTCTTGATATTGGCCAGCACCACCAGGGAGAAGGCCTCGTTCACCTCCCACATGGCCACGTCCTCCTTGCGAACGCCGGCCCTCTTTAGCAATTTTGGAATGGCCAGAGCCGGGGCGATGGGGAAGTCAATGGGATCGGTCTCGGCGTCCTGGAAGGCCACAATCCGGGCCAGAGGCTTCAATCCCGCCTTCTGGGCCGCCTCGGCGGTCATCAGGACGACGGCAGCACCGCCATCATTCAAAGTGGAGGCATTGCCAGCGGTCACAGTGCCATTTTCTCGCTGGAAAACCGTAGCCAGCTGTCCGAACTTGTCGAAGTTCACCCGCTTGTACTCCTCATCCTCGGAAACGACTACCTCCGGCTTCCGCTTCTGCTGGATCTTCACGGGGGCAATCTCATCCTGGAAAACGTTATCGGCCCAGGCAGCCGCGGATCTCTTGTAGGACTCAATGGCAAAGTCGTCCTGCTGCTGACGAGTGATCTCCAGTTTCTTGGCCGTGTTCTCGGCACAGTTGCCCATGTGGAACTTGTTGTAGACATCCCAGAGGCCATCGAAAACGATGCCGTCGGTGAGGTTAACGCCGCCGTAGGGAGTGGAGCCGCGCTTCAGGTAGAAGGGTACATTGGACATGGACTCCATGCCGCCGGCGACGACCACATCCGCATAACCGAGCATCAGGGATTGGGCGCCCAGCATCACGGACTTCATGCCCGAGGAGCAGACCTTGTTCACCGTGGTGCAGCACACATTGGTGGGCAGTCCGGCGAAGATGGCGGCCTGCCTGGCCGGAGCTTGGCCCAGGCCGGCTGAAACCACATTGCCCATAATCACCTCCTGGACATCGGTCTTTGCAATTCCTGCCTTTTCGATGGCCGCCTCGATGGCTCGGGCTCCCAATTGGGTGGCCGTCAGGGGGGCCAATTTGCTCTGGAAGCTGCCAATTGGAGTGCGGGCGGCAGAAACCACCACCACTTCGGCAATCTTGGAGCTGTATGTGCGCTGGGCGCTCCAGCGTCGCGTGGCCTGCAGCAGTCGGGCGGACATCTTGGAATTTAATTAATTTTATAACCTAGCGAAGCAAGAACACTTGGAAATAGCTGGAATCCAACCGGAGTCCAATCAGAAATCACACCAGAACCTGTTGCTTGCGTAACGAACCAGTAATCGGCCTATCGATAGGCAACAGCTGGCGTGATGACAGTGTTGACAACAGTTGAATAACAAAACTAGCAGAGGGCGGGAAATAGCTTGTCTTTTTATAGCTTAAAATTATTTTTTTTTTATGTTTAAATTTCTGTTAAAATTGTAAATAAATATATATAATTTTTTCTTGATCTAATTATTAAATTATTGTGATTAAAAAAATAATATATTTTAGCAGGCACTTTAAAGACGAATACATATATATAATTGCAATTAATTGTAACTGATATTATAAATTTTTACGGATTTTCAGCAGAAATGTTTTTCCATCATTCCACTAAGGACGACAAATGATATATCTATGGCTCTCAGTTTTATAATTAATATTTTCCTTATCGTTAAAAAGATATATAAAGTCTCTTTTTAAATGTTTTAACTCTTACTGCAAAAACAACAATTGATCTTGTTCTGAATATCAAGATTATTTTAAATTTAATGAAATAAGCTAACTTTTATCAAATATTTTAACCTTTCACAGCACTGAAAATGCACTACTTGAATTTAACGGAACTTGACATGAATGCTTAATTTTTGTAATGAAACTATCTCCAGAATATAGCTCCTATTTTGTTCGTTACTTTATCCTGTAAAAATAGTACAAATAATAAATAAAAATTAAAAATCATAAAATAACGATAACAAATGCAATAATTTGTTATAAATGTATATATTTTATTTAATACAAAAAACATGTATACCTAGAGATGTTTTTATAACTAATGCAAATTGCACAATGAATGGCAGCGATAAAAGGACAAATCTTACTGCTAATAATACACATGCAAAATATGGCGATAAAAAAAATTGTGTATAAAAAAAAGGATTATATATTACGGAACTTATTCCACATCACAACGCTCGTAGTTTCCATGGTTTCCATGGCTCCTGGACTCCACAATCTCCAGTCGACTGCTCAGATCACCAACTGGTCACGCGTCGATAGCTTCTGATGGCCACTGGCTACCACCAAAGATCGTCGCATTCGATTTCGCTGAAGAGTGGAGTTCCGCTCCCTCACAGATTGCCGCAGATGCTGGCGACGTGCTCCTCCTGGCCCGGATCCGCCGGCTGCTCCTCCAGCAGCCTCCCTCTCCGCCGCATTCATGGCCGCCAGCAGCTCGAAGGCTTGTTTCTTCTGCTCCTTGGTCCAAAGATTGGCCACCGGAGGAGCTGCTGCCGGCTGTTCCTGGGTAATTGGTTGCTTGAGTGCCAAAGGAGGTCGCTGAAGTTTATTTGGAGCAGCCTGAGGCACTTGATTCACTGCTGGCAGGGATTTGGAGGCCGCCTTGGACCCGCGACTTAGGCCGAAAAGGGAGAGAATGGACTTCCTGCGGGTGGATGAGGCTTGGCTGTCTCCGGAATCATTGCTGGACACGCTCATCTGCATGGGGACAGCAGCTGGCGTGGGATTCACTGTCGGATTAGCTACCGGAGGAGGCATATTCTCAATCCCATATGTGATAAACTTCTGGGGCGATTGGAAGGTGACCTTACGCAGAGTGTTCAGGGATTTGGGAGCCGGCAGAGTAGCCAAATTTAGTTTGGCAACCGTGGGCGATGTCTCATTGAGTTCGATGGTGCAGTAGGTGTCATCGTGATGAGACTTCACCGGCTTCCGGGGCGGGATGGGCGGAGCAATTGGTTGTCTGCAACTGCATGTGGGCTTCTCCTGCTGGATGAGTTTTTCCTGCAGCTGACGCTCTAGCGCTTGGACACGCTGCTCGGCCAGCTGCAACTCCTGCTCGCGGGCCTGCAGTTCCTCCAGCTTCTGCTGCAGCAGAGATTCCTGGGCGCGAATGGCATGGAGACGGGTCTTCAACACCTCATCGAAGATGTTTTGGGTGAGGGCACGAGGACTGCTGGTGGCCTCCTTTAAATGATCCTTCTTTAGGTTTTCCTGGTCCCGCTTCCGCTGCTCCTGATCCTTCTTGCGTCGCCGCTCCTCCTCCAGTTCCACATGTCTCTCCTCCGCTCGCTCCTCTCTCCTTATACTTTCATATAAAGCGGGATCCGAAAGCTGTAGCTTCTTGGAGGGAAAGATTTTTCGTTTGGCGGAGTAGAAGAGTTCACTCCTCAAATCAGGTGTAAAAACACCAGTGACGCTGAGTCTCCTTTGTCCGTAGCCCTCATTAAAGCTATACTGCTCCGTAAATAGAGTGCTGGATAATTCTGGCGATATCTCCTCCTCCTCGTCCTCAAAAAGTCTGCCGCCCGTGGGCAGCGTATAGAAATCTTCGCCGGCTTCAATTAGATTTGGAAACTTGCCATCCAGCTCACTGATGTTACGCACTACCAATGGATGCCGGATAATGACTTCGATGCCGGGGCGTTGTTCATGATCCACAGCCAGCATAAAGGCGATGATCTCTTGAAGATCGGCACTGTAGATCGCTGGAATCCGGCTAAACTCGCCCTGGGCGATCTTCTCAGACAACTGGTCGAAGGCTCGACCGCGAAACGGTGGACGCAGGGCGCACATCTCGTAGACCAGACAGCCCACGGCCCAGACATCGCTCTTCCGGTCGTACTTCCTGCCCCTTACCAATTCTGGACTCATGTAATGCGGCGTGCCCACAAAAGAGGCGGCAAAGCTCTGATCCCGTCGCAGCATCCTGGCCAGACCGAAATCCCCAAGTTTGGCATTGCCAGCCGCATCCAGGAAGATATTGGCTGGCTTGATGTCGCGATGCAGGATAGTGCCGTTGGGGATTTTGTTGTGGCATACCTGGAGAGCCCGGCAAAGTTGGAAGAGCACCCGCCAAATGTAGGGCTCCTCGAATCTTTGCCTTTGGGACCTCGCCCGCTTGACAATCTGTGCTAGATCGCCGCCGGCACAGCACTCCATCACTATATATACGGATTTGGCCTCGCGGTTGACCAGGTGATGGTAGTACTGCACAATATTGGGATGCTGGAGCTGCCTCAGAACGCTGATCTCGGAAACCAGGGCCTCGCACTTCACATCGTCCAGCTCATCGTAGTTCATTCCCTTCCAGGCGAACAGCTCGCCGGTGCTTTTGTCCCGCACCTTATAGCAGGTGCCGAAGGATCCATTGCCCATCACGGCCAAAACCTCATAATCCTGAAGCGTTTTCTGCGAAAAGTCCATGCCGGCAGATTCCTCTCCGCTCATTTTTGGTACAATCTATATCTATCCCACTTATTTTGATTATTCCGCCGCCCTTTTCTTTCGATCCGCTCGCGTTAAAAACCAAAATCGAATTGAAACTGGTTTTTGGGACGCAGGAGTTTTGGACTCTCTGGATTTCTGGAATTCTCATTTTCGGCACCCACACACACAAGCCAACTACCTGAAACCACTGGAGAGAGCAACAACAAGTGGGCAAAGGAGATGCTCAAGTGCTGAGCACTTGTCGTCTGCTCACTAGATCTGGCGGGAAAGTGTGGAATATATTTTTAAATAAATCGGTAAAAAAGAAAAAAACAAACCTTAAATATCTTGTCCTTTAAAAACACTACCAAAAAAAAAATTGGTAAGACATATATTTTAAAACTTTTAGCTGATATAATATTTGTTCAACATTTCTTTAATAGGTTGCTTCTTAATTCTGCAATTTATGTTTTTATATTCCCCTTTCTCGAAATATTTAAATATTTGTATAGATGTACTAAAGTACATAGTTTGAAAGCTCAAAAATAGCATTTCAGCATTTTCTAATTTTCTTCGCTAGATCAATTTAATTCAGATTTAGCGGAGACATTAGAAGACAGTTAACCCTGACCTTCATTTTATAAAACTCTTTTACACCTAGTTGCTAATGTGCAATCTAGCCATTTATCCGACAAGATCCTCCATCACTATCCTGTTATTCCAGCACGTCTACATCTTTCGCTTCCTTCCAGGAATGAGGATCATGCTGCCCTCTCTCTCAGGCAAAGGAGGAATGACCATGCACTTGCAAATCTCAAACATGTGCCTCTCGCTCACACTCTCCCCCGCTGTGAGAGAGTACTTTTGTGCGGCGAAAATTCCCCTCCCCCAATTCGATCCCACTGCGCCTGTGTACAAACTACTGACCATTGGAAACAAAGGGCAAGAAAGAGGCAGCACGCCCAAGAACATAATTCTTGCAATTCATCACGCTCTATCCTAAACCTGATCCCAATTCCGAACCCGAATCTGATCCCAAAACCCCTAACCCTGGGCCATAAAAATAAATTATTTTTGTTGCATTGGCATTTCAATTTGCTGCCTTGTTTGGAAAAGTGGAAATGTCCTCATCCGATTTCATATTTGAAGAGAGCAGTCTAACGGTTTCGGCTGGAAGCACTTAAAAACTCTAGCAGTGGCGTGCGACGGGATACCTTTGGGCACCTTTAAGTACATATTTGTTCATATATTTTTATACCCGTTACTCGTAGAGTAAAAGGGTATATTGTATTCGTGCAAAAGTATGTAACAGCTAGAAGGAAGCGTTTCCGACCCTATAAAGTATATATATTCTTGATCAGGGTCACTAGCCGAGTCGATATAGCCATGTCCGTCTGTCCGTCTGTCCGTCTGTCCGTCTGTCTGTCCGTCTGTCTGTCTGTCTGTCTGTCCGTATGAACGCTGAGATCTCGGAAACTATAAAAGCTAGAAGATTGGCATTTTGCATGCAGATTCTAGGAGTTCCTACGCAGCGCAAGTTTGTTTCAAAACGGTGCCACGCCCCCTTTAACGCCCACAATCGCTTAGATACGATTTTAAAAATTTAAATATTTCGGAAAAGTAAAAATGCAGTTTTATTGTGTTTATCAATACCTATCGAAATGTAAAAGAAATTTTTCAAATCGGACCATTCGTTAAAAAGTTATGCGTGATCAAAGTTTCTATCTCCATCTCCCTCGCACTCCCTTTACTTGAGTAACGGGTATCTGATAGTCGGGGCACCCGACTATAGCGTTCTCTCTTGTTTTAAATAATTTAAAATAGTTATCAGTTGGTTATGATTAAAGAAAGAAATACGCTGATTTAACATTTCTTCTGTGTGCTTTAAAAATTGCTAAAATATACAAATAGGGATAAATTAATAATGTCCAAAATGATTGACAAAACGTTAAAAATTTGATAAAAATCTGAACCATTTACATAAAGCAATTAAACATAACTCTTTTAATAGACAACTTTTGAGTAGCCGCTTTTTGATATGATTTATGTGACATACTGAAGAAGACATACAATATATAAAGAGAGTTTCGAAGTCTGCAAATCCTCTATAGAAATATCCTGCCTACGCCCCTGATCCAAACGAAACAGAACTCACATATCTGCCCTCGCGCTCACTCCCGCCGTGATGTACAGGTAGAATCCCTCGAAAAACGAGTTATCTCTTCGGATTTTCGGGCATTTCGGCTTATCGTTAGCCGTGTGTTGATGTTTTTATGGTTTTCCTGGGTAAAACAAACAATGCCACGCAATCCTTGACAAATAAATCACGTTCCTAACCGCAGATCTCCTCCTTTAAGCAGGTAAACACATACGATTTTTCACATTTCTCCGGTTTATTGGTTAACAGTGAGGGTGGAAAAAAGAGAAGATTGGCCGGGAACTACCAAGAAGGCTCCTTATCCCCACTGCCGGAACTGCCGTACAGGGCGCTCTTGTCCCGGAAAAGGGTCATGCGTTCCGTCTCCTTCTTGTCCAGGAAGTGCCCGATGGCGAATCCCAGCAGGGGCAGTGCGCCCCACAGTGCTCGCTTGTCCAGTCCGAAAACCATGTCTCCTTTATATATCCCCTATCGCTGATTCTTCAGATGTGCGCTTTGTGCCAACTGGAGCTGCTGGCGTTTCCACTCGCGGGTGTGCGACCAATCTGCGTAAATCGATCCTACTGCAACAGTGGGAAAGAATATCACTGCGCCGTACTTTCGAGCCAATTGCACCACAATCCCACTGCCCATAGGTCTGCAAACAAGCACACGATATATGGATTTATGAGACACAAATGTGTTATGTTCTGGGTAAATTGTGTTAGATTTGTCGAATTACGTAATGAAAATGACTGATATTTCCCAAGCGGTGTGTTAATTTGGTTGCTTTTTCAAAACGCTCCTTACGCCGTGTATGTGAGTAGTCTTATATTGCGTTTTTGAGGTGTTTTTCCTCGTTTTTTGACTCCAATTTGCTAAATTAGATTTGTTTTCAACTTACTTATAGCATCGATAGCACCAGGGCTGTCGACTCGTTTTTAGTTAAATGGAATTATTATTATCGATTGCATAATCATCGATGAACTGTGGCAGCGTTGCCACCTAAGTCTTAGAACCAGCTAGAAAATAGCTAAATTTTATAATTAAATTACAATTTATTCAAAACATACACTGCTTAAGAGAATATATGTTTTATTTTATTTATTTATATAAAATGTGAATATTTATAAATAATTTAACGGAGATTGAAACATTGAAAATGGGTTTCGGGAGCTTAGATGCAGAAATCTGTAATACCACATCCGAAAACCGAAGAGGGATTTATCTTAAATTTAAAAAAAATAATAAAGATCATTTAAATTAAAGTGGCTTATCGATAAGTGAGGTGCACCTATCGACCTCAGGCCACCTCTAAGCCGCCCGTCAATTGTTTTCATGAATTGACGTGTCGTGTTAAATGCAAAAAAAACTTAATATACCGTAAACACACTCGCATGGAGTTCCTGAAGAGCGGCATTAAGACGGTGCTGGGCGGGACGGAGCCGGGCCAGCAGCCGAGTGCCGCCGAGACGGTGGAGAAGCTGGTGGACCGCGTCTACTCTTCGACTCTCCTGGAGGACCGTCGGGATGCGTGCCGGGCGCTGAAGGCGTTGTCCCGCAAATACCGGATCGAGGTGGGCGCCCAGGGCATGCCGCCGCTAGTGCAGGTGCTCCAGAACGACGGCCAGGATGCGGAGATAATTAGCTATGCGTTGGATACACTGTGCAACGTGGTCACCAGCGAGGAGTTCGACGAGGAGGCGGACAATCCCACGGTTTCGGTAAATGTGGGCGAGCAGTTCACGGAGATGTTCATCAAGACGCCGGAGCATGTGACCGTGGTCATGGGCTACCTAGATGAGTACGATTTTCGTGTGCGCCGTGCAGCCATCCAACTGATCACATCCCTAATCTCGAACAAGACACGGGAACTGCAGGATCTGGTGCTTGTCAGTCCAATGGGCGTATCCAAGCTGATGGATCTGCTGACGGACAGCCGCGAGGTGATCCGCAATGATGTCCTGCTTCTGCTGATCGAACTGACCAAGGGCAACTCGAATATCCAGAAAATTGTGGCTTTTGAGAACGCCTTTGACCGCCTGTTCGAAATCGTTCGCGAGGAAGGCTGCTCCGATGGCGGCATCGTGGTGGAGGACTGCCTGATTCTGCTACTGAATCTCCTCAAGAACAACTCCAGCAATCAGCAGTTCTTCAAGGAGGGCAGCTACATCCAAAAATTGGCTCCGATGTTTGAGCTCTCACAGGATGCTGAGGAGGCGGGCTGGTCGCCACAGAAGGTCTCAAACTTCCACTGCCTGCTGCAGGTGGTCCGGGCACTAGTCACTCCCAGTAATCAACAGCAGGTGGTGACCGCCTGCCAGCGTGTCATGCAAAAGTCACGGCTGCTTCACGCTCTCTGCGAGATTCTGATGAGCAGCGGTGTGCCGGCGGATATACTCACCGAGACGATCAATGCTGTGGCCGAGGTGGTGCGCGGCGATCGGGACAACCAGGATGATCTGGGAAGGGTCATGGCCCCGAGCAGTCCTCCCAGACCGGCCATTGTGGTCCTCCTTATGTCCATGATCAATGAGAAACAGCTGCTGGCCCTGCGATGCGCCGTGCTCTACTGCTTCGAGTGCTTCTTGTATCGCAATGCCGATGGCCAGCGGGCGGTGGTCCAAACGCTACTGCCCTCCAGTGCCTCCGATGTGAGTGCCCTGTCGACGGGACAGCTCCTTTGCACCGGACTCTTCTCTACAGACGCACTGGCCAACTGGTTCTCCGCCGTGGCCCTGATGCACTCGCTCGTGGAGAATGTTGCCCTCAAGGAGGAACTGCTGCGCGTCCTGCTGGCCACGCCCGGTGGCCAACGGCCCATCACGCTGCTCGAGCAGTGCACCAATCTCATGCAGCAGGAGCGCTACCGCTTGCAGAGCAAGGTGGGTCTGCTGATGCTTCTCAGCCTGTGGCTAGCCCATTGCCCGGGAGCGGTGAAGGCTCTGCTGGAGACGCAGGGCACTATGGCCTACCTCACGGCCCAACTCTGCTCCAACGAGCACGACGAACGCGAGTTCCTGGTCCAGGGCATGTGCGCCTTTCTCATGGGCCTGTGCATCCAGTTTAATGACAACTCGCTGCCCGGACAGAAGCGCGAGGACATCAGCCAGCTGATTATCAAGCGAATCGGGCAAGAGAGCTTCTGCAGCAAACTGGCGGAGGTGTCACGCCATGAGGCTTACAGTCGGGCCTGCAAGCAGGCACAGATTCGGGCCAAATCCGCAGGAGAACTACTGCTCGACTATGAGTACTGCAAGCTGTACAAGGGATTGGAGGCGCTGATTGCCAAGCTGGTCAGCGGATTCGATGTGGATGGCATAGAACTGACTGAACTCACCCTGAGTTCGGAGGCTTCTGCTTTGGTTTCCCAGTACAAGGGAATTATCCGCGGCATGGATGCCCAGATCCAAGCGCTGCAGCAATCCTCCAAAGAACTGGAGCAGGAGAATGCCGAGCTGAAGGAGAAACTCGGCGAGGAGCAGTCGCTCAAGGCGCAGCTTTCGGATCAGAATACACTGCTCAAGGCGCAACTGGGGGCCTCGGCGGGTCAGCAGGCCCAAGCCGGCCAAGGAGCGGAAACCACTCCGGCCAACCAGGAGGAGCTTAATGCCGCCCGCTACCAGGCCAACATGTACTTCGCCGAGAATATCCGGTTGACAAAGGAGCTGGAGACGCTACGTCAGCAGTTTTCGGCGGAAAAGCAGCGGGCAGATGCGGCGCAGGAATCGCTGGCGGCCACGCAAAAGGATCAAGAGGATCTGCTCGAACTGCTGGCCGACCAGGAAGCCAAACTCACACGATACGAGGAGGCGGCCACGACGGTTTCCTTCCCAACTTCTAATCAAGCTCCGAGTGGGATAGCAGCTGCAGTTCCTTCGCCCGACGAGGAGAGTCCCATCCCAAGCGGCACCGCCAGCAGATAAGAATCCAGGACGAGTTGCTGACGACGTATTACAACTGGAATTTGCTCGACTGCCCTAAAAAGAAACCTAACTAACATATATACACACATTCTACTTGTTTTTATTTATATATATTTACTTACGTACAGAATATACGTCTTAGATCGGAATTTAAACCAAATCCGAAATTGTTTTTGGCGGGAACTGCAGCAAATCGCAAGAGATAGCTATAGAGATAACACGTTGTCCTATTTCCATCTCTTTTTAATCTGCCTTTAACTTTTTGTTTGCAAAGGTCAACTATTTTTACTTTGGAATGGCCATATATTTGATATCTTCTAAAAAAGAATATATTAATAGTGCTCACTTATAACTTCTAAGACCTTAAACTTTTTGTTATTTTATAAGAATACTCTTTCAAAAGTTTTTAGACCCAGTTAGTTACAATTCATTAGCATGTTCCTTATTTATAAGTATGTAAGTAACATACACATATATTCAATAGCTTACAATGCCAAACCATGTTTCAACTGAACTATTGTCAGAACTCTTTACCTGACGTAAAAATTAAACAAATAAATGAAAATCAGTATTTGCACATTAAGAACCTTGATGAAGAAACTTAAGGGTAATTTAAGTGAGATTTGAAATCTATCTTATCATGGAATACTATTTCGCTTCACTCACACAGTATAACCCTAAACAGAAGTTATTATTATAAATAAACTACTGCACCATTACATATTTATATGACGAATATATCCCCTGCACCAACAATTAGCACAATCTGTTGATGATCTTACTGATCTTGTCAAATTTGTAGATGGAAATCACTGCACATCTGAACAAACCCTACATCGTATCAAAAAACAACACATCACAACACATTGTGTACCATTTTTTCTCATTTATTAAACATAAATGGTTACAAAGTTTTCTTTTCTCCTCTCGTAGACCATGTGGGTCTGATCTACGTTCAGTTTCTGCTTAAACGAAGAATGTGGGTTCCGTGTCGGCGGCATTTACTTCTTGTCGCTAGAGATGGAGCTCTTGGACTCGCGGATGGAGGCAGAGCGGCGGCGCTTGGCCTCCTCGCGCTTGGCCTTCGACTCCTTCTTGCGCTGGACCAACAGCTTGGCGTAATCGGCAGCAGCCTCCTTGGAAGCGGTCTGGCGCTTCTTCTTTAGCGCAATGCGACGGTGCTTGCGCTGCAGCACAACGGGGGTGATCAGGCGCTGGATCTTGGGGGCCTTGGAGGTGGCCTTCTTGTTGTCCTTGGCGGGCAGGGGGCGACGCACCACGAAGCGACGCACATCGTCGTCCTTGCTCAAGTTGTAGAGCTTGCGGATCTTGCTGGCACGCTTGGGTCCCAGGCGACGGGGGATGGTGGTGTCGGTAAGACCGGCGATGTCCTGCTCACCCTTCTTCAGCACAACGAGAGCCAGCACGGACATGTTGGCGTCCACGATGCATCCGCGCACAGACTTGCGCTTGCGCTCGCCAGTGCGGCGTGGGCGGTAGCACGAGTGTCCCTTCTTCAGGAGCAGACGCACACGACCTGCATGATGGTAAATGTGTTTATTAGGGATTTACTTTTGGGGTTTAGAGATATAGCCAGTGATTGGAATGTTCCTGAGTAAGATAGCTTAATTTCTTCGAATATTGAACACGCGCTATGCTATTATTTAAATTACGTTTCAAAATTTCTTACTATATTATAAGTTAGCGACTTTCTTTAAATGTTTTAAACATAACATTGTTGTTAAATTGGTTATGTTTGGAAATGTGTTCTTATAATTGAACACTTTTAAGAGGATATATATGCTTTGAAGAAGAAGTATATGCCTTTAAGAGGAAATATATGCTTTTAAGAAGTTCCCTATTTGAAAAGCATAACTTTATGACAATTCACATTTTATACTATCAAGTTACCGAATTACTACCATTAAAGGGGTTCAAAACTAAATTTAAACCACACATAATCTAAACTGTATTATATACAAATTTAAAGGGGTATGCACGACAAATTTATGCATGTAATGCTTAGATATATGAATCAAATTAATATTTCCACAAATTTCATGTTGCTAACGTAGGTTATGTTTGAAAACTTAAAGAGTCGCAAAGGCAAGTCGCTGGGATGCTTGTATCGGATATGTATCATATAGAAACAAAGATTACTATACATTTAATGGAAACTGAGTTTCTTCGAATAGACCTAACTATGAGTTACCAGCTACTAAGCCGGTTGGGATACCCCAAGCCAAGTAGCCAGATAAACCCACCTAGGCCCCTCCAATCACTGTATATCCCACAATCTCACAGGCGAACTTACCGTGGGTCAGGACACCCTGCTTCATGGGGAATCCCTGCTTGTCGTTGCCACCGGCGATGCGCAGCTGGTAGCCCTTCCACTCGTCTCCGAGGATGTCGGCCTCCACAACCTGGCCCATACGCTTCTCGTAGAAGACACGCAGCTTGTGCTCGTCGACCACCTCGAACAGCTTTTGGCATCCCGTCGCGGGATAGGAAACGTTGAGCTGGAACACATAACAAAAACGCACACACAATGTAGATGTTGTATACAAATCGGATTCGCATATAAAATATCATCTACTGATCCAAACGCAATCACTGGTTATTTTCGCTCGCAAATGTATCGGACCACCGGACCAGTGTTTGCGCTTTTGCATTTTCGCAATATTTTCAATGTTCACCGGGCTTATCGGTTAAAATTCACAAATTTTCAGCACACCTTCATATTGACGGTCTGTTTGCACGCAACGCAGAAAAAAAAAGAATCGGCCGAGGTCTGTTGGCTGTCAGCGCAGGGTTGGAAAAGACCGATAGGAGGAAGTAGAGAGGGGAGCTTGGCTGATTCGGCACTTATCGATAGTTTGCAGTCACGGTGGAGAGTCGCGGTATGATATATTGTTTGTTTACTTTTTGCGTATACAAATGATTAACGTAAAAAGTGGCATGAAACTGAAAAAAATTTAAGGAAATTTTGTTTTTGGCTAAAAAACAGTAACACTAATAATTATTATATGTATATGCAAATAAATGATTAGTAATTGTGGTATCCCCAAACAAAAAAATTAAACAATAAAGTTGTATTACATCTATCTAAAGTGAAATAAGCTATGGAAATCATGTTAAAGCACAAAGTTTTTGTTTAATATTAAATTAAATTTAAATTTGTTTATCAAAAATCATTTAAATACATAATACATTGAGTGCGTTGCATATATCAAGAACATAAATACATAATAAAAGACGGTTTTCTGTCTATTGGAATTTTTATATTGTTTTTGACAAATTGGAAAACATAAAATTATTCTGTGTTCAGTTTGTTTTAGACTAATTCTGACATATAAGCAAATTGGAAATTTTACAATGCCGTCTTGAATCATTTTGCCCATCTCCCATGTATTTTTCAGAGTTCAAACATATTTTCAGAGTTTAAACATATTTTCAGAGCTCAAAACTAAAAATAAGCGAGAAAATAAGAACCTAAACTTGGTTTCTTATATGAGTAGTTTGTTTTTATTTGAGTAGTTTCATATATAAATATTTATTTTTATGAAGTCACGGAAGTGTCCTAAAATCGCAGTCACCGTAACAAATACCATACCTAGGTAATTAAACCTATCGAAATGGCAGCCCTGTCAAAACCTTGCCAGACGGACGGAAAATTTGTTTTGTTTTTCGAACTCCCATGAGCTGGCAACGCCACTGCTTTGTTGCAACACGTGTAGTGATTAGAATTTTTTGGTTTTATTGATACGATTCATATTTAAGAATATTCGGGCAATATGGGCAAGCCGAAAAAGGCCAATGTGGCGACGATCAAGAATGTGAACCTGGAGAAACAGATCACCGACGGCAAGGTGGCCAAAAACAAGACCAAAGATAAAGTCAAACTAAGGGCCGAGGAATCAGCGGTACTATATTTAATTTAAATCGCATTTCGGCTTGAAAACTAAATATTTACATTACTTTCCACAGAATATTGATGCCAGGAGCAGCCAGAAGATTCTGGCGGCGGCCAAGTTGCAACAGTTGGAACTGGACGAGGAGAACTTTCCTAGTTTGGTGACCGTTAAGAAAGTCAACTTCAACTTGAGTAAGTGCATCACAAACCCAATTCCGATAACGGGTATGGGATATACCTATCCGATTTTATATGATAAATATTTATGTTAGAAAATGTTGTCTTGATTGTTCCTATGAGAGCTATAGGAAAAGACAGTATAGGGCGAACGGTTGAAAAACCAGATTAGCTTATGTTCAAAAATAGAAGATTGTGAACGTTTTAAGTCAAAAACCTGTAAACTGAACGACAAACTATTGAACGTGTTCTTAAATAATTAAGAATAATTATTTCCTTGACCACAACTAACTCCATATTATTAATCCCTGCTCCGCAGACGATGGCAAGGCCAAGGAGGATGAGGAGGTCAATGAGACTGACTTCATGGCCGACCTGGACATGGACGACGACGATGTGGCCGCCTTCGAGCGCTTCCAGCAGCCGGCGCAGGAGGGCAAGCGCACCCTGCACCTCTCCAAGATGATCATGCAGAAGATCCAGGAGAAGGAGGCCGACATTCACACCAAGATCTCCGATGAGGGCTCCCTGAAGATTGAGGAGATCGACCCGAAGGTGAAGGAGATGTACGAGGGTGTGCGGGATGTGTTGAAACGCTATCGCAGTGGCAAGATTCCCAAGGCCTTCAAGATTATACCCAAGTTGCGCAACTGGGAGCAGATCCTGTTCATCACAGAGCCTCATAATTGGAGCGCTGCCGCCATGTTCCAGGGCACAAGGATTTTCTGCTCGGTGCTGTCGCAAGCGATGGCCCAGAGATTCTACAATCTGGTGCTGCTTCCACGCGTTCGCGACGACCTCTGCGAATACAAGAAGCTAAATATGCATCTATATAATGCTTTAAAGAGGGCTCTTTTCAAGCCGGCGGCTTTTATGAAGGGCATCATTCTGCCCCTCCTGGAGGCTGGCGATTGTACGCTGCGCGAGGCTATCATCTTCGGCAGCGTGGTGGCGCGCAGCTCCATTCCCGTCCTGCACTCCTCCGCCTGCCTGCTGAAGATCTGCGAGATGGCCTACTCGGGCGCAAACTCCATCTTCATTCGCTACTTCCTGGACAAGCGTTATGCGCTGCCCTATCGCGTCGTGGATGCCGCCGTCTTTCACTTTCTCAGGTGGGTTTTGCTCTTTCGATATTGCATATATTACGGTATATATAAGTATATTTACTGATAAAATCCTAAGATTCTAGTTTTACCATTTTCTATCAATTCATAATTCATTTTATATACAAGTAAAGTTTGTTAAAAACTTTATTATTAACTGATAGTTTGCTAAACTTTATTTTTAAGACGTTTAGCTTAATATATTAATAGAGATTCTATTTTATTAAGGCACTAAGGCAATGCGTTAAATATTTGCTGAACATTTGTCTAATTAATTATCACTATTTCCATTGGTGGTTTAAAAATATAATAATATGTAACCTATGAACCTATTAAAATGAGTTCCATTAATATCACCTTTTTCTATTTCCAGATTCGAGAACGACAAGCGGGAGCTGCCAGTGCTATGGCACCAGAGTCTGCTCACCTTTGCCCAGCGCTACAAGAACGATATATCCTCCGAGCAGAGGGATGCACTGCTCCAGCTCCTCAAGTGAGTAAACCAAACCTATTAATAAGCCAGTATTGAAACTAACACTCGCAATTGCAGGAAGAAGAGCCATTTCAAGATCACAGCCGATGTGAGGAGGGAGCTGCAGGCGGCCACTTGCCGCGATGTGGAGATGATGGAGACGGATAATGGTCTGGCTGGGCAGCCAAGCAAGCTGTACACGGATGCCGACGTGGAATACGACGGCTGAGTCGGGATTAACTTAGGATTAAATTAATATGATATTGTTTTACTATTTAATAACGCGAACAACAGTTCGTTTAGACTTTATATATGTAAATATACCTACATATGCAGTGAAAATCAAATTCAGATGTTCGTGTTCAATGGGGAATTGAAAAGCACCGTTGATGTTTTAAATGTTTTAATAGAAAAAACAAATGTGTTCGTGTGGTTTTATACAATTTTGCATTAATTTTTAGTTGCTTGTTTGTTGTTTGACAATGACGGTATCTTTTGGGGCCGTCGCAGTCGCATTGGTTATTGACCAGAGGACGTCCGCGTAATACATTATGTATGTATGTAGTTTTATAATCTCAATTTTAATTGTAGTAATTATTAAATATAATTCTGTAACCAAAATCTTTCTAAAAGTTTCGTTTCGTCACTTTCTTTAGTCTCTAAGTATTGTTTCGTTATCTCACTCCAACATTTTGTTTTGTTTTGTTTTTCTTTTGTGTTATTTAAGGGCATACTCCAAGGATTCAGACCAAGGACCGATTTGGGTCGGGATCAATTTGAATAATTTACAATAACTACACTGGACCATTTGAAATTAGTTTACCCAAGTACTTGGGCCTCGAGCCCTATCAATATTTTCATTTCTTATGTTTTTTGTTTTTTTGTGTATTCCAAGCTGAGCTTTGATTTCATAATACAATTTGTAAAAAGAGTGTATATTAACCGATCTTGAAAGCAATATGAATTTGGAAAGCCGTCAGTGAGTAAGAATTTTGAAATTTTTTTTGTGTTTTTATAGGCGCTGATCGTTTGAAGCTAAAGCTAAAGACAAATGAATATACTCGCATGTGGAGGGGATACAGTGGGCACTGGCTGTATGAACACCGAATGATTGTTCCTCACCTCGCGCCCAAAATCGAAAAATTAATATGGAAAATATCCATTTGCTTCTTGTTCTTGATCGTGATTTATTTCACTTAATTGAATTACTCTTTAGTGTTTTGGTTTTGGGACCGTTTACAATCAAACAATCAAGTATTTACCCATTGGTCCGAGTTGTGTTGTGTTTTCGATTTTCTTGCCAAAAAGATACAAATACAAATATACAATTATTTATAATTTCTTCTGCCTCAAATGGTCATTGGTTCCGCAACCGAATTAACAACAATTAAACGATATGTATCCATTTAGAATGGCACAGTTATGTTAACGTTAAACATTTCCTAAGTGTTTGTCTTCTTTAATTTCTACATTTTTTGCTTTCAATAAATCATGGTATAACTCAGGCAAAATCTAACTTCTGATCAAGCTCACGCATTCGTAATTTTATGGAATTATTTCATAAGTTAAAAACAAATTGGTTTTTTGTTTTGCTTCCTAAACTCTCCGGTTATCATCATCAATGGATTCAAATATATTTCAATCTGAGATAAAGGGCAAAAAACGAATCAAGGATGAAGCTACGATTTCGATCAGTATTGATTATTATTACGATTAGAATGATCCCAACTGATATGCTGTTTGATTTCAAGAAGCTACAACCATTTTTCTTTAACAAGGCCTTGGATCGGAGGTGTACACTATATGTATATGGGATACACACGAGCGTTACGGGGGATTTGATTAGACGACCTTTGGAAGGCGGTTTTTCGAGCGAGAAACAATTAAGCTTGGACTTGTACTTGGACCTTACAAATCTAGGTATTTCCATAATGACGTGGAGGTAACAAAGAGCTAAATATGGATAGATAGATGCGTGTATGTATATAAGATCAATATGTAGCCAACAAAAACACGGCTGTTTGGTAGTACAATTTGATTTGATTCGATTATGATAATAATTTTATGTTCTAGCGCTAAAAATCAATTTCTCATCTATATTCGCGTACGCCCTTACTAATACGAGTTTTCCTTTTCGTTTCCTTTGTTTTTCTTTTTGTTTTTGATCTTTCGATTTCCGGTTTTTAAATACATTTGACTTAAGTTTAGTATTCGGTTTATGCTATGTATCGTATGTTAAACAACCCATGATTAGAGTAAAAGTCGAAAATGCAATCCTGGACAAGATTCTTTTGGTGTATGCATTTCCCGCGCCACAAAAATGGAATCTGGGATCTAGGATCCCTGCTTCCCGTCGCGCCGTCATCGTCCCATTCCCCATCCCCATCCCAATCCCCGTCCCATTCCCAATCCCAATACCCTACCGATTTCGGAAAAGGACATTAGAAATAACACAACCATTGTGGAGGCGTTGACCTTTTGGCGGCTTCCATTCGCATGCTGCATGGCGGCGGGCTCCTCACCTGAAATTTCGGGTTATAATTAATACCACATATCGCCGCCAATTGAAATCACCACCTACCGTTCAGCACATGGACCACCACCGTCTCCGTAATCTCATTGCCCAGCATGCAGGTGTAGTTACCGGTGTCCTGGCGATTGGCATTGGCGATGTACAGGCGACTCAGCGCTCGTCCTGGCAGCATGTCCGTCTTCACACTACAAGTATGCAAATAGAGCAATATTATCAAGGATTCATAGAAAGTGGAACACTTAAAATATGAGCTTAATAAGTTTTCACTTAGTTATTATGATCACTGATCTAAAGCCAAAACCAAGTCGAATAAGAGTCAGTACATATAGGTATATACATATGTAGTATGTATAAGCATATTGGAAGGCTTATCTTAATTAAGTAGTTAAAGAACAAACCCTACAGTAAGACCGCTTATCACAGTGAAAATCCAATAAAAGTCTTTATCAATGGCATTTGTATAAGAAAGAATTTACCCAAAAAAAAACTTATTTAAAATTAAGGAATCTCCCATAAATAATATATATATTTTCTATTTAAATTAAAAATTTAAGCAGAAATTGTAAAATAAAAACTGAAAAAAAACTACAAAACAAATTTTCGTTTACATTGTATAAACTTTACTTTAAATGAACTCAATGTAACCAATAAATAAGAAATTCTTCACATATGAATGTATTAGTAATTCAAAAAGAATAAGCTTTACATTTTAATATTTTCTGAGCACCTCTTATCCTTTAAATGAAATGTATATCTTTATATGGACTTTGTATATTTACATTGACTCTATAGCTATTTAGGGTCCATTTATCGTTGTTAAAAATTAATATCTATATTTGAAAAATACATGGACTTTGTATCTTTTTACGGGCTTTTTTCGTTATAAGACTTTTATGCCTTTACAAGAACCCCATATCTTAATGAAAATTCTACCTGATTCCACCGCGACTAGTGTCGTAGTTGAGCAGACGCGGTCCGTGCCGCCAGGTGATGTAGGAGGAGGGATGCGGAATCTTGGAAATGACGCACTGCAGCTCGATGGTGCTGCCAGCCTTGTAGTACTTCTCCGGCGTAGCCGAGCCCCGCTCGTCGAGGATCTCCACGTGAGGAACTGCAAGGAGATGTATATGTAGACGGTACAGTGGTCCTGGCCAATCCATCTGCTCACCAATTATCGTTAGATAGACCAGCAGGACGAGCGGCGGATGCGAGGACACCTGGCACTCGTAGGGACCCTCGTCCCGCTCGTTGGCGAACTGGATGAGCAGCTTCCAATCGTTGGGCTCCTCGAACTCCAGCGAATACCTGGAGTCGCCGCTGTACGTGTGCTGGCCAAAGGTGATCAGGGTGAGGTCCTCGCCACGTCGCCGCATCCAGGACACCGTCTTGCCCTGCAGATCGTTCACCCGGCAGTGCAGATAAACGCTGGACGAGAGCTGGGTGCTGATGTTCAGGGTGGTGTACGGATCGGCGAAGAAGGGGAACGGCTCGTGGGTGGTCGTCTCGGTGACCTCCAGCTCCTCATCCTCGGGCGTGTCGGTGAACGGCGACGAGAACTCCTGCCAGAAGTTCTTCGGAAACGTGTCGAAGGGATCGCCAGCTCGCGGTCGTTTTACTGTTTTTTAAATATACAAATAGATATATTAAATTAGTCTTTTTCTACTTTAAAAATCAATACTAAAAAATCAAAATATATAAAAAGTAGTCTAAATTTGAAAACGTCATTATTACAAAAATGTCATAAATACATTGCTTAAATGGAAACCAAAATTAAATAAAATTATATTGTTACTGATATTTTAAAATATCAAGTAAATACTTTTGTGATTATTACATTATTATGACATGCAGAATGTATTTTTTAAAGATTACACACTTTTAAAGCTTGTTTAAAAACTTACAAAAATAAAATAATATATTTTTTTTCTGATATTTAATAAAAATCAAATAAATGTTGTTCTGCCTCTATTAAAAACCCAGACAAAAAATCATATTAAACTTGTCACAGGAAGCAAGAACAAAACAATTAAAAATGTATTAATACAAACAATTCATTATTTTGTTTATAAAAACGTATTTTAAACGTACACAAAATTTTGTTATTTGTTAGTGAGGAATCAATATTTCAAATGCAATAAGTTAGCCAAATAAATATTATCCAATTTTCAAGTTGTTCAGAAGTTAATGCTGGCTTAGGGATTTGCGGATGGCAGACTCACATGTGGTCGACGTGGAGCCCGATCCGATGTGGTGGAGTGAGGAGTATATAATCGCCAGTATCCAAAACAGCCTCGATCTCATCACTGCAACAGAGTATCTGGGTATGCCGAGATACAGGATATGGGATACACCAACTGGCGCCACTCACCGCAGGATATGCACATATGAACGCGCCTGTAATCTGTTCTATATCGATCCAACTGCATCAGCGTCCCACTGCATTTTTTGGATTATTCTTTGGAATGCGACACGTCTACGGATTGCACTGCTTATCGATTGCGCTGCGGCAATATATTGGACATATTGCACTTGAGGACGTTATCCGGATCTGGGTTTTACATTTCCCAGACAGTCCTTTTGCGAATATTTTTGTTTGTCAACTTTTCAGCGCATGTGGCTGGGGGGAAAAAAGTCGCAAAATTGGAAAATCGGAAAAGCGTTTATTAATCAGCTCGTGTTGCGTGTGTATTTATCTTTTTGCAACTGCTGCTTGGATGGCCAATAAGCGAGAATGTAGGTCAGGACATGCTCTGCGCATGGCCAGCATCCGCATCCCTATTATCCTATCCGTAGGAGCCGAATCTAAACGAAACGAAAGCCCCCTCCCAAACGCAAAAATAAATAGGAGACTCACCTCTCAAGCTCAAACAATTACAAAGTACGAGTTCTTCTTAAAATATGGCAAGTATATTGCTTTTGGCAGCTGAGTTTCGCATGAATTTGGCCAAGTTAAAGCTCTTTTCAGATCGACGGAGGGTTTGAATTTATAAATACGGCCGTACAGACGCGTTTGCCGGGCCGTAGACGTTGTTGTTCCCTCACCCACAATTGCTGCGGCACTGAATCCGCTCCGAAAAACCAGCATCTCTCTCAGCATCTTCGGAATCTAGAGATTTCCACCTATGTACTAAACATGGTCCATAAATCCGTTACGTTTTGCATGAAAAGAAAACAAAAGCTTTAAGTATAAATAAAAAGAATGTGTTATTTAGTATTTAGAAGAAATTAAGAGCTAAATTACCATTCTTCTACAATCGAATTAGGCTTAAAATTCAAAAAGCGATTAAAAACCGATAGTTATCGATAGGCAAAGGATTTTTCACGGAAGTGGCATTTCTAGTGCCATCTCGTTTTCTCTCAAAACTACCGTTAACTTAGCAGGCGTTGCTCAGAATATCAGGAATTTAAACGACTTTAATTACCCTACAGCACAGCAACTAAATAGTTCAAGTTAAATTGTTTATCGCACTTATTGATGCTTCCTGCGCATGTGCAGTATAACTGTAAAACTAATTCGGTGGTTGGCCCCAAGTTGGTGTGTATTGGTGAGAACATAGAACTTACAGTGATTGCTTAACATATGCGACTAAAAAAACATGGCAGGCGCGAATTCTTTATTGTTAACGATTTTTTAAAGGGTTATTTTATTTAAAATGGTTTTCATAAATCTTACAATATTAAATCGATTCTAAAACCAAAACCGTACCTTGAAATTTTTAAAAGCAAATCTCAATTTTAAGCTTTCAGGGTCGTAAATTTGATAATTTATCCTTTACATTACAATTTTTATTACAAAAATTTAAATTAGTAGCCTATTTTAAAGGTTTTCAGAATTCATAACCTGGAAAAGGTTTTTCCTTTCCCAAAAGTGGTAGGTTCTATTTTCATCCCCTTTTCACAGTCGCGCAATGCAACATAACTGTTCTTGGGGCGATTATTTTCGCGGTCACTGTTTGCAGCCGCCCTTATCTTTGCTTTTATTGGGGTGTACGTGTGTGCGATATGAAATGACATAAGTGGCGCACACACACTAACAGAAGGGGGCACATGCCGAGATATATATGTATATAGGAAAAGAACCGTTCATTTGCTTTTGTGCCGTGGACAATTGACATTCAATCGCTTTTTCCATTTGTTTTTATTTTACCCTTCTACTTTATTTGATTCTCCTTTCAAAGAAAACGCATTTTGAATAATAATCAGGAGAGACCGAAAGCTACCAGTACTAAAATCGAGAAATCGAAAATCACTGCTGATTTTGAAGGGTGTGTGTTGTGTGGAATTGCTGCGATACAATACGACCACAAATACAATTGTACAAACGCAGCGCAGTCGGAAAAGGCAGAGAAAAAGCAGCGTCGTCGGCATTTCGGCATTTCAGCTGAAAACCAAATCGGAGAATCAGAAACTAATCAGCCGGCAGAGGCTATAGCCGAACACCCGATCGCGGTATATAGCAGCCAAAAGAAACAGGAAATACATAATACTCATCATGGAGGAGAATAATTCTCGAGTGCTGAGCCTGCTGGGCGGTCTGGCCATCGGAATCGTGGGCTTCCAGGTCTTCCGGAAGGTCCTGCCCTGGATTTACGCCAATGTGGTGGGGCCCAAGGTGTTCGGATCCTCCGTGGATCTTTCCAAAATGGGCGAGTGGGCAGGTGAGTCGGTTGCTAGGAAAAACACACCGGAAAGGAGTGGTAAAAGGGGGCCATTCAAGTGCACAGTGAAAAAAGTAACCCCTACCATTTTGTCAAAGCAGCAGCTGGAAATCATATTTTAAAACACAATAAAATCATGTTCCTAAATATATTCCCAATTCTCAAAAAAATTATAAACCTTATAGTAATATTGTTTTTGAAATATTCCTTTAATATTTTCACAATATTATATGAAATGAATATATAGTGATTCGATTTTTATATTTTAACAAAGCAAATAAATCTAAATGTACATAATTAATATATATTTTTCCCAAAAACATTTTAATGTACAAAATATGGTTTTTTTAATGCTAGTTACGTCCATATTTCAAAATAAAAGCTTTAAAGTTGCCAAAAATCTATGGTTTATTCAATTAGAATTTCCAATAGAGCTACTAGCTGGGTGTAATTTTTTTCACTGTGTGCGATAAGAACGGTCCCCACGCCCCACAGACCACTCCGCTGATAACCCTTGGAACCTTTGGCTAACTTGTATAATTTGCAGTTGTCACCGGGTCGACTGATGGAATTGGCAAGGCCTATGCTAAGGAGGTACGTAAACGTCGACATGGTGCTGACCCAATCTTGGCCAGCAAGCAAAGTCCGTTCGCAACTAATGACTTTTGCAAACGGGAAGCGGGTCAGAGAAACTTAATGAATAATTAGTAATTACTAATTACCGAATTGAGCATCGCCCACAATGACTTGGACATTGGTTTTTGCGCCGCCAATGCATTTGTCAAGTGAATCTGCACTTTGAAATCGATCTCCAGTCCCCAGTCCGGTCGCAAACATTCCCTAATGGTGTTTGCTTGACTGAAAATTGCTACATTTGCAGGCTTAGCACTTGCACTTTTCATTATTTATTTTTACAAAGTGCAGTCGCAGTTGTTTTGTTTTTTTTTTTTGGAAAACGGGCGTTTCCCAGTTTTTTTTATTTTATTTTGTAATTCTCACTTGGAACGAAGCTAGAAGCTGGAACCTATAGGAAACACGTGTCGCCCGAGTGGGTATAGCGCTATAGGGCCCCGCCCGGAGCTTCTGCTAAATTAGCATTCGGCATGCGTCGGACGCACTGGAAATGGTTCAATGTTCACTCCAAATTTATACGCGGCTCCCCCACGAATGGTTTTGTTTATGTAAACAGTACGCAGAAATAACTCCCAGTTCTTCTCTTAACTTGCTTACTTAGTTTTACTTTCATGTTTAGAACCTAGAAGTCTTATAACATAGTCGTGCAAGCCACCATCGTTGACTTTTCGATTGGATTTAATGTACAAAAACGTATTGTCCAAAAGTCAGTAAATATAACTAGGCTTGCGATATTTAATATTAGCAAATATTTTGGCATTTTTATTAATGATAAATTAAAATTATGCCTGTTTAATTATTACACCATAAATCAAATCATTTTTCTAGTGAATAGTTAAAGTAATAGTTTTAAAGCAACATTAAAAAAAAAATTCTCAACCTTTATGCTTGCTGTATTATAAATTAATATTTATTTAACTCATTTTAGCTGGCTCGCAGGGGACTGAAACTTGTGCTGATCAGTAGATCGTTGGAAAAACTAAATTTAGTGGCCAAGGAGATAGGTAAGTCAAGTCACGAAAGGCGTTTAAACGCTCTAACTCGTTGCTGCATACTTTCAGGTGATAAATACGGCGTGGAGGTGCGTGTAATCGATGTGGACTTCACCGGCGGCACCGAGATCTACGAAAAGATTCGCGAAAAGACCACTGGCCTAAACATCGGAGTGCTGGTCAACAACGTGGGCATCAGCTACAGCCATCCGGAGTACTTCCTGGACTGCTACAAGGCCGATCCGAAGTTCCTCCGTGACATTGTGGCTGCCAACATTCACTCGGTGACTCACATGACCGCACTTTACCTACCGGGCATGATTACCCAGCGCCGCGGAGTGATCATCAACCTGTCGTCCACCGCCGGAGTCATTCCCAATCCCCTGTTGAGCGTGTATAGCTCCACTAAGGTAAGGGTTTTTTCAATCTTAAAGAATGCCATTATATTTAAAATACCCTATGCACTCCAAGTAACATATATATTCTTAAACCTTGTTATACAGTATTACTATATTGCTTTGAGCTCTATCAGCGCTCTATCTTACAAAATGGGTTATTTTATCAGTAGTTTTTATTGCTGATCCTCTATGTAATTTCTTATGTAAATACCTATGAAATCTATCAGAAAATTCATTAGTTTATAATGCCATGCAGTGGTATTCTGTATATGATAAGTTTATGTTTTAAACTGACTTTAAAGTAAAATCCTTACTAATTGAATTTTATTTGCAGGCCTTCGTGAACAAATTCAGTGACGATCTGCAGACGGAGTACAAGGAGCACGGCATCCTCATCCAGAGCGTCCAGCCAGGCTTCGTGGCCACCAACATGTCGAAGATCCGCAAGGCCAGCGTATTCGCTCCCTCGCCGGAGACATACGTGCGCTCGGCGCTGTCCACCTTGGGCATTGCCACCCAGACGGCGGGCTACCTTCCACATGCCCTGCTGCAGCTGGTCATCCATTTCACGGAGGCGGTCTTCGGCGAGCAGTTCGCCCGCAGCGTGGTGCTGAAGAACATCCTCGGCACCAGGAAGCGTGCACTGCGCCGCCTGGCCAAGGAGCAGTAGAGGATTAGGACTCTCTAGAGGAGCTGGAGGCATTTATTTTGAGTCGGTTGGGGTGGAGAGTTCGTTGGGTTGTGGGGGAATCCGGCTAGTCATTCAGCTTACAAAAGCACCGCGTGTCATACGAACAAACAAACAAAAAGCTTGAAATACCAAAAATGTTTCCCAAATAAACTAAGTCTAGTTAGTTTTTGTCATTAAATAACAATGGAGATTCGCAAGCAGCCATGTCATGTAAACAATAAAAAAATGTGTGCAAACACAAAGTCACTGGAAATATGTACATATGTACATATATCTAGTTTCTTATGACAAACAATGCCTTTTAGTTCGGTGGAATTTTTTAATTAAAAAAATGTTTTATATTATTTAAAAATGACGAAAGAATGACTTTTTTTGTTTATTCTTAAACGCCTTTTTATAGACAGACAAAACTTGGTTTTGTGTTTTTTTTGTTTTAAAAAAAAGCTACTTTAATTTTTGTTTGTGTAAGATTCGACGGTATTTTGACGTTGAAATAAAATACTTATTTTACAGAAAACCAAATTGGCTTCCGTTCTTGCCAGGTTATGTCTTATTTTTTTGAGCTGATTTGACAATTGATTTTCAATATATATACTTTATATTAATATTCGTAAAATATAGATTTGCCCATTTCCCTCGAAATTAATGTTTTTCCGTTATCTTAACTAGCAATTTTTCAAATCCCAATTAGATTTTATTTCATTTTTAAAATCTAATTTGAATATTCATTTGAACTTGAAGTCGATAGTCGATATAAAACTATCGATGGGCCACCGATAGGAGTGCCCTTAGGTCTATCGGTGAGGTAGGGCTGGATATGCATATACATATATGTTTTTATAAACACAACAGTAAAGATAGTGGATATAGCCGGGCATGACGTACTATCAGGGCCGATAAGCCCTTGAACCGATCCCAACTGCGCAGCGGCAGCACCAGCGCCAGCAACAACAATCAGGCAATCAGAGCAGCTTGTTTTGATTTCCTCGGAATCAAAACTCCGGATAAAGCTGCCAATCAACTTGTTGCGGGATCCGCAGCGTCGCCCAGTATTGATTTGGCACATATAGCTGACAGTTGTGATTCCGATTTCGATTCCCAGACAGCTGTCTCTGTATCTGCCACAATATATTTATATACATTTCATATACGACGCTACGCTTTTCCAAAAACCGATACGGTACCATATTTGTGTTCGGTTTTCATTCGTGGAGGGCGTCGGTGGTGGAGGAGGAGGAGGAGCTGGACACCACACCAGAGCAAAGCGGAATTGACGCAATTGTTGAGAACTATTTTTAATGGCCAGCGGGTCGGAAATGTACGAAACTCATCAAATATTCAGAAGTCAAGCAGTCAATAAGGAGAGGCAGTGATTGCCCGGAAGCGGAGTCAATTGGCCGATGAAATCGGAGGAGTACGCAGCGGACGCCATGGAGAATCGCCGCCGTTTGCCGCTGTTCCCCATCGAACCGGAGCCATCCACAACGGCTACGCAGCGCCTCACGCTCCTGGCCACCCGGTAAATTCAGAAACCCTTTATTACAATCCCCATTTTTAAAGATAACTAACCAAAAATCCATTACAGACTACTACGTGCGCTGCAATTAAATTGGAGGATTATTGTTTCGGGCATCACGCTTACACTGCTGGCCGTCATCTGGTATTATCCCACCTTCTTTCTTTTCTTCGCCTTCGTAGTCTATTCTCTGGTCTTGGTCTTTGCGGGTAAGTCTTCCGGCACGCCTCCAGGCCGTTGGAATATATGGTTGAATGAGTCACCTTATCGCCAATCGGTTCCGAGCGAGCGCCTAATTAAAATTGCCAAATATCTAATTGCCCTTATCTCTCCGACAGCTGTGGCGGGCACCGTTTATATCCATTATATATTCACCACCAACGAGCCGACGCCACCAAGTCGCGTGTCCTCGCGACTGCTCTACAATGCCACCAAGTGAGTTCCGGACTTTGCCCGGCTTACTTTACACACGCTCTATAAATTCATCTCCCCTTACCCGCAGGAGCAACATCTTCGATCTGCCCAAGCCCATCAAGAATCCATCAAATCTGCCCCTGATTTTCGGCAAAACAGTAGACCTGCAGCTCCAACAGATCATTGAGTATGTGCTGCGCGACTTTATGCTGCCCTGGTTGGGGTGAGTTCACCATTTGATCCGGGGAAATATAAACTGATAGTTTACCTGTGTCCTAGCTATGTGGTCACCAAGCCCAAGCTCATCAACGATGTGGTGCGCGAGGATCTGTGGAACGCCATACAGAAGATTCATGAACGGGCTACCAGGATGGACGCCGCCAAGATTATCGCCGTGGACATGGTCAACAGAGTGACAGTGCATCTGGAGAAGATTCGCATTGCTGAGGCCAGAGCGTGAGTTCTTTAATTTCAAGTGTTAATGCTAACATTGTAGCTCAAGGATCAAGAAGCTGATAAGCTCATTGCCCGTACAAATTTAAGCTCATTTTATACATACTAGTTATACTTACGAAGGACTAAGTATCTTTAAGTGTCTTTAACCTTTTCAATCAAAGATATTTTAAATTAAAATACCAAAATATCCCCTGAAATTGTGAGATTAGAATTAACATATTTTTTAATAATGCTTAAAACAAAGAAATCCAAGCAATAGTATTTTTGATAAGATATAATAAGATATAATTTGAAATTCGATACAACAAAGGTTGTATGCTTTTGCGTTCACAGTAATTTATCATGGAAGAATGCGGTGCGCAGAATTAAGTGTAATTTAAATGCGTCAGAGAATAGTCATTAATCGCAAATCATCAAGTTGGTAATCAATAAGCGGAAATCGCCTATTGGCAATACCATTGATTACTTTGCATTCTATTGTTTTACGATTATAGAGGTTTTTTTACTATAAGATTTTGTGTTAATTTTTTTTGAATAGTAGTTTTTATAATTAATAGTTTATTAACTACGTATAATCCTTGACTAAATTGGTTTTCATTCTCTAGGGCTGAAACAAACTCGCCGCCAGTTTTTAGTACCAACTCGTACCTCGCCGATGAGGAGATGGAGATGGAATTCCTGCGCAAGCTGTGCGAGATTATGGTGATCCTGCTGCTGCCGCGCGGTTACTCCCTGCCCCCATTAAAGGTTCTGCTCAGCGAGATTCTGTCCTACAAGAGTAAGTAGCGGTCGGAATCACAAAGATATCCAATTTACCAATCTATCGCATCCATAGTATTCTTTCCCATGATCAAAATGCTGACCGCTCCGGATTACATCAACCAGAAGGTGGTGCAGAACATTGAGACTCGATTGGCGGCGGCGGCGATGAGCAAGCGTAGCTACGAGTACGCAGCCAGCTTCGAGGACTTCCTCAAGATCATCAACAACTCGGGCAACCTTGAGGAGCTCTCGCTCATCCGCAAGAGCATTGTGAACGACCTGATGCATGCCACCACCATGCAGAACCTACAGCGTGCCAAAGGCCTAGATCCGGACCACGAGGACCACTCGCTCTCCAAGTCAGAGCTCACGGCCGCCGTCCGGCTGAAGCGCTACGTTCGCCAACTCACGATGGCCAAGGGCGAGTGCGAAAAGAACCTTGCCAAGTTCGGTTGGAATGGCAACTATTCCAGCGATATTGTAAGTAATCCCCTGTGGATAGTTTGCGTTGCACATATTTGTTGATGTATAATAAAATAAGTGTAGCTAATTATAAGAATTGTAACTTACACTAAACAAATTCGAAATCGTTTGTTTACTTGTAGTTTATAAGTTATTTTCTGCATGAAATCACAATTTGTTATTGCTATATTATTTTTAAAAGTTTATAGTACTTTTTTAATATGAATAATACTTACATTATTACTCTTGGAATTAAAAGCTTAGTTTTCAAGGCCCAATTGTTAATGGCTTTATCCAATTTATTTTTATAGGACCTGACGCTGGTCGAGATCCTAAACACTGCGGTGGGCCGTCGCTACTTCACCCTGTTCCTGGAGCCGCTAAAGGCGAGTGCCCTGATTGGTTTTTACCTGGCCGTGGAGGAGATCAAGCACGCGCACAAGTCGGTCAGCCACCAGCTGGGCACGGAGATCTTCTACACATATATCCGGGTGCCCAAGTCCGAGATCCAGATCGACAAGCACGAGCGCAAGCTGATCGAGACGTTCCTGCTGGGCGACGCTGATCCGGACATCTTCTTCGACATTCAGCGCAACGTATTGCGCACGCTGGAGGAGAAGTACTATCCGCCATTTGTGCTGAGCGATCAGTACCGCCAGCTCAAGGAGGCGCTGGACTCCAATGAGATTGCAGATCCCACTCTGCTGATGTGCCACACCATTGGCGACGCTGCGGAGCCGCTGGCGGATGAGCATTCGGGCGGGTCGGATGGACTTAATGGCGGAGCCGGTGGCGCCATCGATGTGGCCGCCCACACGTCATATGCACGTCGAAAATTGGAACAAATACAGGAACGCATTGACAAGAAGAATCAGGCGCTGGACGCCCTCAAGTACTCGGTGAAGCCGGAGTCCAAGGTGCTGTCCATTCTCGAAAAGGAGATGGAGTGGCTGAAGAGCGAGAAGCGCCAGACTGAGGCGCATTTGCGGCGCACGGATGCCTGGACGGAGCACCTGGGCAAGTGGAAGGCCACCATCCAAAGTGTGGAGGTGAGTATTGGGGTTTTACCAATCAGAAGTACAGCTAATACCGTCAATTTATTTCTCCCCAGGTATCTGATGAGAAGGAATCGTTGCAGTTTATGATTCTGGTGCATGTGGACGAGGACATAAATGCCCCAGTTCAGCCGACATCATCAAAAAATGGCGACGGCGGTCATGCAAATCTCCGCAAGCGACCCTCGGGCATCTCCAGCGGCTGGGTGGTGATGCGCTCCCTCAACCAAGTGCATGTGGGTATTTAACATAAGATGTATATCACCATAACTTACGAGTTTGTTATTTTTAAAGGAGCTGCAGCGGAAACTGCGGCACGTTAGCTCCAACTTGAAGGCCATCGACCTGCCCACGAACTTCAAGTTCTTTTTTCTGAAAACAGATCGACATGGCCAGGAGAAGGCCAGGGCACAGATTCAGAAGTTCTTGAATGTAAGATAATGTTTAAGCCATTGCTTAGACAAGTTTGTATTGATATACTCTTCTGCCCACTTAGTTCATCCTGGAAGACGACCATCTGAATGGTAGCGAGGCCATCTACACGTTTCTCAGCCCCAGCTCGGACCACCTGAAGCAATCGCTGCCTTCGCCGAAGAAGTCCAAATTCTCGTTGGCCACGCTTTTCCGCAGCGATGCAGGGAAGGCACACGAGGCCTCCAAGGCCACCGATCCCTTTTGGGGGCTGCAGCGCGACGACGAGGACATATCCACCTATCTGGATGGCGAGTCCGGTGGAGAGGCCAAACTACTTGCTGCGGATCTGGACAGCAAGGACTCAATAGCTGAACCAATGTACGCTCTGATGGGCGAGATCTTCGACATGGGCGGTGTGTTCAAGTGGCTACGCAAGAGCCTCATCTCCTTTGTACAGATCACCTACGGCCGGACGATCAATCGGCAGATCCGCGAATCGGTGGCCTACCTCTTCGAGGAGTCCATGCTGCACAACTACTTCTCGGCCATCCTGAAGTCCTTTTGGCCGGGCGGCGTCCTTGCCTCCGCCTATCCCACGCGGTCGGAGGATATGCGAGAGATGACAACCACTGCGGCCAAGGCGCTGCTCACAGACCACATTCCGGAGGTGCTGTGCAACCTGGTCGGGGCCCAGGCGGCCAAACGAGGTGTCCTCAAGGTGTTCGAGGCGCTGCAGAATCCCGCCTACAACAAGCAGCTATTCTACGTGAGTTAACGCTTTAACCATCTTATATCCATTGCTTTAATACAATATACCAAATACGCTATTGATTGTATTTTATTTATTATCCTCAGGAGCTGCTGGAGATACTAATGATTGAGTTCTTTCCTGAAATCCGTCAACTGCGGGTGAACAATGCCAATGGAACCAAGTTAAATACGGCCACCGCTGGAGCGGCGGCTGTCTCAGCTGCAGCGGCACTGGTGGCGGCCACGGCATCCGCGTCGCTGCCGTCGCTAAACCACAGTGCTGGAGGTCACGGTGCATCCGCGGGGGGGCACCAGAACCACCAGGGATCCTCCTCGACGGCGGGCGGATCCTCGGGGGGAGGAAGCGGCTCCCTCGGCGGTGGAGCAGCGTCGCACCACCAATCGCACTACCATCACGCATCCCACCACCACCAGCAACAGCACCACCACTCACAAACGGGCGGCTCCAAGTAGAGACGGTGCCCGACATTGTTTTACTTTACTTTAACTTAGGTTTATTTTTTATTTATGTTTTTCGTTTGAGTTTATGATTGACGTTTAATGCTCTATCTCTTTCTGAACGGTGGATGTTGTTGATTTAGCCGAAGGAAGGGATTACGAAAAATAGTTCTATAGAACACAACACAACTCAGTAGTTACCAGTATCATTCCCTGTACAAATGCAGACTCCAAAACCGATTGATTTTAGTCCCCTGTTAAATCGTTTGTCCCCCACGTCCTGTAGCCAGATTTGTTTGTTATGTGTATATGTCTGTACATAGGTCAGTATTAAGCGTTGTACCAAATTGTTGTTTATATACTCGTATAGTGAAATGTGACACTCAGCTTTGATTGATTATAAATATAGTTTAGTAGCAGATATTGAGCCCAAAGATGCGTCTGCAGCTGGCAGCTTGTAAGTCGGTGCTTGTGATCCCCATTCCGCTCCAGCTGCAGATTCAGCCCCCCACAAAAAGATTATAGATCACAAAACAGGTGAGATTAGTTTGAGGCAAACTTGTAAGCGTATTAAACAGTGCGTTCCATGGCCGTAAGGCAAGTGTTGAGGTCACAACTTTCGTTGCTTTCATATTATTTTAAAAGTTGGATTTTAATGATATTTATTTCATTTGGTGATCCTTTAACGATGGGATTTTATCTGTACGTTATTATTTCTTCGATGTTTAAGGCTAAGATTTATTTTTGATATCTATTAACTCTGTTATTTCTAATTTATTTTACAACTTTCCTTATCGGCCAAAAATTGTATTCTTTTTCGAATTTGTATTTTAATTAATTATTTATTTGTAAATCACCTTTAATTAACAATTTGATTTAAACTTTTCCTAACTGACCAAAAATTATACTTTATATTTTATTTGGCATAATTGTTAAGTGCTATGGTATTAAACCTTTATGACTAAGTGTTGGATTTAGCTGTCTTAAATACAGTGCGTTTGATAACAATAAAACAGTCGTAAGTGAGGACTTCAAAGAAGTATTAATCCTATAGCTTTTGGAGTCATCTAAGTGCATTTTGATACCAAATTTAAACACAAACCTAAATTATTAGATTAAATGATGGCCGAAAACTGTTTTATGGACCTGAAACGCCCAACTCACAACACAAAACCCACACCCACTCCACCACTAGGCAAAATGGCACTTAGACGATTCATCCCAGTGAGCCAAACGTATCCCACTTAAGACCCACATCCAGGCAGAGTTTCTAGGCGCTTTTAATCTATTTATGTATTGCAGTTGTACAATTTTATGTGAAAATGCGAAATAAAGATCGCTATTTATGTAGATTTCGCCAGTCTTTTTTTGGAATATGGTATTACATCTAGAACGCGGCCACCTTCTCGACGAGCTTGCCCAGGGGTATGGCTTCCATGTCGACGACTAGAACCACGAGATTATTGCGCATTCCCGCGGACTTCTTGACCAGCAATCGTGTCTCGAAGTATTTCAGCAGGATGCTCCACTTCAGCTCGCTTTTATCACGATCCGCCAGTCGCTCGAAATCATCCGCTTGGAGACCCAGAATCCGCTCCGCCGGATTGCCAGCTAAACGCGCCTCGACAAGGGTGCCCGTATGGTCGGAGAACTGAATGTTGATGTTGAAGTAGCTGGTATATCTAGGCCCATCAAGGCCGAGCAAAAACTCCATTTGACAGGCATCCGAAGCGCAATCCTCCAGGTTTCGCGGTATGAGCCGTTGGCAGGCGGTGCTGAAATGGGCCACGTTGTCCCTCATTAATTAATTTTGTATTTCATTTTTGTGGTTTTAAAATAAAAGTATATTTTACGAGCACTTTTCATTTGGATTGTAAAATGATAATGCTTATTAAACCAATTTTATTAAACTAAAAAAAATTATGAAAAAAATTTTTTCTTTGAATGATAATGACAATACAAAATCGGTTCTAAGTTATTGAAATAGAAAAAACACTTGCCACTTCCTGTTGATGTGCGTTGAAAATCCATCCAAGTCAAATTTGGTGACCATGCCGTACAGCACGGATGTAAACTGATTTGTGGAAGCATCCTGCAGTTCGCCCTCGGCGCGGGAATATATCTGCCTCACCGTCATCTGAGCTTGAATGCTGGCAGCTGCAAGGGAACCAGAGTAGTATAGTAAAGGACCATTAATCCCTGAGCACCACCTACCTGCCGGCAGGTTGTCCAGCTCCGCCTGGGCGCAGCCATCAAAGCTCTTAAGCGGCACAGTGGCGGCGAGGGCCAGCAACAGTTGGCAATCCTTACCAGTTGCCTGGGGATTCTCGCAAATAAGTGTACAGTTCGAATGGGAAAGCACAGGACAACGATGAAAGTCCGAGTAGGAGACCCGCACACCCACCAAATGGAGCAGAGTGCGACGTGGCTGCCACTGCTGGGCACGCCGTATCCAGTCCGCCTGCCAAACGGAGAGTAGCATGCCCTCCGGATAACTGGCATCGATCACAATGACCTCCAGGCAGTTCAGCAGATCCTGGACCTTGCTGTGGATCGCCGGCAGCTTTCGCTTGATCTCGCGCACAGGGCGCACTGCAACCACGGCCACCAGTAGATCCACATAGGCGGTGATCATCTTATCGGGGGACTCCAGCCCGGAACGAACATCGGCCAGTTTGAGAGCCGCGCCAAGTGGCTTGGTTGGACATTGAAGCAGCTGCTGGAGGACCATTATGGTGTCGGACTCATCGCTGTCATGCCGCACCACATAGCCGTATCCCTCATTGACCACCAAAGCGCAGGACAGCGTTGTCTGTGGATGGTAACGTTGCTCACCCGGCAGGACCTGCGGAAGGGACATCACCTTGGCGCCCACTATATCCACCACATGACCGATGTGGAACATGGCCGCGTACTCGTCCACCCAGGCCCTTTGGCCCCAGCACTTGCAATTGGTCAAGTCATTGGGAGAGTCACGGATCGTTAAGGTGATGACTCCCCGCTCGAAGCCACTCATCTTGTCGTAGAATATATTCGGCGCGGATTTTGAAACGATCAGCGCCACTGTGGAAAAGTGCGTCATCGTGGGTTGCATCTCTGCAAGGCGCTGGAATTTTCCGCGCTTTGCCATTGGTTTATATTTTTACAATCAAAGTAAATAACGAATTTTGCCAGCTTGCAAGGCGATGCCCAAGAAAACCGTTACATTAAAAAACCGCCAATTCGATTAGTTTCAATCGATGATTTTAGCACAAGGCGATCACGCAAACTCCTTCACTAGATAAGCGATAGTTTTAATAGGGTGTTGATATAACGTTAATTACATAGGAATATATATTAAACTAAAAGGGCCGTATATTGTGTACGAAATTTATTCAATAAAAAAAGGATAACAAAGATTAAACTCTTTAAATATACAATGATACGGCTGAACCTTTTAAAAGTATTTTAGTCTGCTAGAAAACTCTGCTTTAGCCACTAAAATATAATTAAGTAAAATACTTTTCAGCCTTATTAATTTGACAAATATTTAAAAAGTAAAAAACAAAATGATCTTTTGCACAATTCAGATTCAAACTATATTAATGATGTATATATTTTACAAATCTTTAAAGGGCTTAACGATTACATTTGTTTTTTCAATTAAAGCATTATTTATGACTTTGCGTTAAAAAGTGTTTTTTTAGGCAATGCTGGAGCTTTTCAACTTCAATTGCAGCTATCGATAGTCATCGTTTCGGAGGGCCATCCCCAATTTGAAGGCTGACACACCACCATACAATACACACATAGCCATATACAGGGGACGGCACAGATTTACTGCGTTAAACAAATTCACTTGTCGTACTTTTCCACGGATGCCAGCGCGCCCTTGCTGAAACCCACCCGCCGGAGCAACGCAGGACATTTCAGGACAACGCAGTGGAGTCCGCCCAGAGCCATAGGATCCAGCAGCCCACTTCAGTAGTTTCGCAACCCGCAGATCAGATCGACGTAGCCCCGTAAAAATGGTCAAGCTGTTCGCGTTGAGCATCTTCCATAAGGGAGCCAGCGAGGCGCGTCTCCTGAAGACAACCGCCGACCTGCAGTCCTTCTCCTTTTTCCAACGTGGCACCGTCAACGAGTTCATGACGTGAGTATAACCGCGCAGGCTCAGAGAATCACCCACCAATCCCCCTTCTCCGCCCACTTGCAGCTTCGCATCCAAGACAATTGTGGAGCGCACACAGCCGGCCCTGCGGCAGTCGGTCAAACAGGACGCCTACATGTGCCATGTCTATGTGCGGGCGGACAATCTGGCCGGTGTCCTGATCGCCGATCATGAGTACCCGCATCGGGTGGCGCACACACTTATCACAAAGATTCTGGACGACTTTACGGCCAAGGTGACGGCGGATCAGTGGCCCAATGGAACGGAGGCTACCATCTCGTTTGATTTGCTGCCAGCTTTTCTAGCACGCTACCAGAATCCCGTCGAGGCTGATCCGCTGACGAGAATGCAGAACGACTTGGACGAGACGAAGATCATCCTGAAGAACACCATCGAGGCGGTGCTGGAGCGGGGCGAGAAGCTGGAAGACATGGTCAGCAAGTCGGAGAATTTGTCGCTGCAGAGCAAGGCCTTCTACAAGACGGCGAAAAAGACTAATTCCTGCTGCAGCTTTGCTTAGGCAGGTTCCAACCATCTCATTCCCTAATCCTATAATCCTCTCAAGCAAACAGGAAACAACACCAGATAATGCAAATCAAAGACCACACAAAGGGATAAAGGATAACACCAACAAACAACCAAACAAACCAACTGCTAGGGAGCGGCGTGGCTTGAAGTTTGATGATTGCTTTTTATAAATGAATTAGTTAATTTTATATACTATACTATATACTATACTGTACTGTACCGTACGAATAGGAGGTCCAGTTGCCAGTTATGTAAGCCCGCTAACCCAATGTTTACTCGTCTGTGGATCTTCGGGTCCTGTCTGTATGTCTACGCTTTGGATATCTGGATGTTAATTAATACCAATACAAAATATGATCTAAACCTGTGTTTACCATAATGTTCTCTTATCTGTTACGAAGGTCCAAAATTGACTCTTCGCTACCTATTGATGTTGTGGGCTTTGTTATCGCCTTTCCGGCGGATCTAAGAAGTTGGGAGGCAGCACTTATACTCACGCAGTCGCATTTTCGATCTGGGCAACTGGCAATCCGATCTGAATTTGTGGGCGTTTTAATAAAGAAGTATTATGGGAATTGTGATTCGAATCGAACGTGTTTTTACTATTTTATGGCACTACAAATAACCCCTGTTCCATGAAATTTGTATGTCAGTTTAAAGTTAATTTCGTTTTTTTTTATATACTCTTTATGTTAAAGAATACTATTAATTCAATTCTTATACCCTTGCAGAGTTTTATAATTTCAGGAAAAAAAAATTCAACGCGGTGCTCGAGACATCTACGATCCTATAAAGTGTTCTTTATCAGCATCACCAGAAGAGTGAAGAGAATCCATGTCCGTCTGTCCGTTCGCATTTCGAATTCAAGACTTGAATATTTCGAATCATATGTATATATATATGTAAATATACCTACCACATTATTTTCCTTTTATTTAAGTAGGCTTGAAACTTCATGAGAACTGTAAATATCATGCTAAAAAAAATGAAACTAAAATATATTTTAATTTAAAAGTGATTTTTTGTTGGCGTTTATTTATTACATAGAAGATATCTATTCCGCTTTTTGTAAGGATTTCCGTTACATATTTCATAATTATGCGTTTTTTTTTAGGTTTTCGTGTTTAACATTTTGGGGTTTTGGGCAATGGGAGTGGGAGCTTGGTTGTCCGATTTCTAGATGGGGACAGGGTATGCTTATGGGTTCGTATAACCTAGTATAAGATAGGTAAATTGATTACAATTTAGATTTCTCCGTTAGTTTTCACCATATTCCGTCCCGATTTCTTTTGTTTTTTCGACGGAAGAAGTGGAGGCGGTGCATTATAAATATATGCATTATATTGCATACCTATATTGTTCTGTTATAATTAATATAATATTTTGTGTGCTAACTTAGCTTAAGCTGCAAACATTCATTCAAACGTGTTTGCTTGGCTTCTCGTTTATTAATTAGCATTATCTTGTATGCATATATATCGTCTGATTCCTCAGTTGCATATTGTGTAAGTGATCTATAGTAATATTTAGAATTTATTCAAATGGTTTGCTTTGAATATATGCAAGTGTATATATTTGATGTAATGTTCTAAATGCACGCTCCTTCGAAATGGCTAAGAATTTGCATTTGAGTTTTCTGGTTTTCTTCTTTTCGCTAAAATTTGCATTGATCAACACAACAATTGAAAATCAAGAAAAGTTGTTCTCCTTTTTTTAAATCAATAAAATACGTGTGTATGTGCGGCTGGGTGAGTTCTGTATTCGTTTAAAAACTAGTTTGGATAAATTGTTGGCTTGCTTGCTTTTGATTGAATTTGTATTATTTAGGACTTAGTGGGGGATCCCCGTTTTATCGAATTGCAATCGAAATACAAGTAAAGTTCTAACGTGTTTCGTTTACGCAGCTGTTATCACAATGGGTTTTGGTTTAAACTTTTTTTTATTATCTTTAAGTTAGTTCCGTCTTCTGCCGATGGCAAATTTAGCTTATAACTTACGATCTGGCTGCTGCTACTAAATGTTTATGCCCAACAAGTCTGGTGTTTATTGGTTTTAGAACCCTCAAAAGCCGCCCCTAACTTTGGCGCTTAAAAGTAAGCTTGTTTTTTTGTAGGTCTTGTACATGCAGTGAGCAATACGAACACTTTAAAGTCCACTTTAAACTTTTTTTTGCCCACTGTAAATATGTAATATGTTCGTTTGTGTTTGTATCATCTATAAGAAATTTGTGAGTTTCGATGTGTCTCTGTGTGTATGTTTGTTGTCTGTGTGTGAGAGTGCGTGGGTGTGTGCGGGTATTTCTTTTGCTGCATTTTTGGCACTTGTGCGCGTCGCACTGTAACGGTAAATGCATTAACTTTATCGCCTACGACATAGATACATATGTATGCCCATACATACACATATATATATATTTTGGATAACCAACGAAAAGCTTAAAACGAAAAACAAAAAAGAAAGTAAAACAAACGCAAAAACAAAAACTAAATCAAAAACGCGTATGTGTGTGTGTGGGTGTGTGTAAAAGATTTTAGTTTTCTAAGTAAACGAAACAGAAAAAAAAACAGCTATACAAACTATCGAAATAACGGCACTTCGTTGCTTTTTCTCCGTTACTTTCTTGTTCTTGCTTCAAACAATTGAATTCATTTTGTTTTTGGCTTTAGTCTTTCGTCTTTATTTTTGGTTGCATTTTTTCAAAAGTTGCAATTCTATACTTTCAAAAATATATGTATATGCGAATTTCTATCGTTTTAAATCTATCGTTTTTAAGAGACTGCGAGCGAGAAATATATCGTATAGGGGTGAGGGGACTGAGAGATAGAGAGAGAGACAGATATAGAGCGATCGATCAGGACTTAAACGAAGGACGTGCCTCAAAAATTCAAAGGGGACAACAAATTCGCCGCTTCCCCTTAATTTTATCGGGACTTCGGTTTCAGTTACTCTTAAATTTTATCAGTTTCAACTTCTTTTGCTCTTTTTTTCTCGTTTTTTTCGTTTTGTTTTGGTTTTGTGTGTTTCCGTGTTTTTTTTTGCTTTTTTTTTTTTTTAGTTTGTTGTTTGGTTTGTTTGTTTTTCGCAGTGTGTACACAACAACTTATAGATAAATTCAATACAAATATCGCGCTCTATAGTTTTATTTCTTCAAAAAAAGAATGTATGCCTCAAGTCATCCATAATACATTATATAGTAGCCATCAGACATTGTCTATAAGCGACAACGACAACGACAATAATACAAATACATAACATATATTCATATTCCTCTTCTGATTCAGATACTGATTTCGATTCATATTCAGCTTCAGTTTCAGCTGCCTCTGCTTCAGTTTCAGTTTTCAGTTTTTTGGCCTGGCCTTTTTGGGGGCCCAGCGTTTACTTCATTTAAATTGGTTATTAATTAGTATTTTTGTATTTTCGTTTGTTTATATAAGTCTATCACATCATCACAATTCGGTTGCATCGAAATCATAATTAAGAAGTAGGAAACTATTAAAATAAAACCTTTAATTCACTTGGTAACTTTGCGTATACGCCTAGAGTACATACAAAAAATAATATTATTTAGTTGTAGTTCCCCCATTCCCGTCGTCTCAAATGATTTTCAAAATGTATGACAAAACTAAAATCCCCAAATAAAAACCCAAATATGAAATGAACTAAAAATTGACTTTTTTCTTTAAGAATTATAGTTCTATAAAAGTCGAGTCTTCGCCCTTTTGCTTTAAAAAGAGATCCTTGTGTTGACGATATACCATATATAAATATTCCCTCTTGTTTCCCAGATTTTTATTTGCTAAAAAGAAACCGTACACGTAGAAAACTAATTTTAAAAAAATATGAATAGAAATGTTCCTTTCACTCTCCCCGATCGGCTAACAAATATATATAATATAATCTACATGATTTTTATCTATTTGCTTTGTGTTCCCACACATTTCCTCTGTAGAATAGTTCCCTTGTGTCCGTTACGTTTTCCCAAAATTCTTATGCTTTTTGTACTGCTTTCCCATGGCGGAGGACAACGCACTGCTTGCAACAACTTGGACAACTGGTTGGACAGACGCTATTTGGATATTTACTGCTAACTATATAACTGGAGCTGCCAATTAATGTTACTACTACTTATTTACTCGTACTGAACTCTGGCCAAAAATATTCGGAAGAGACAAATCAGGACAATTAAAAAAAACAAAAAAATAAATCAAAAATTAAACACATGGGGAAACGGAAAAGAGCTTTTTGGAATAGTCAGAAGTATGCATTATGTTTGCTGTATTATTATTATCATTATTTTCGTGTGGCATTGCTTGGCATTATTCGATCTTCTACCCTTGCTTTGTGTTCTTCCTCCTAATCCTCTTGTTTCGTGTTCGCTTTACTTGTTTTTATGGATGAATGTGGCGTCTTTTCTTTTTTCTTCGCTTTTGTTTCTTTTCTTTTCAACTGCTTCTGTTCTTTGGTCTTTGAATAATTGAAAATGTAATTGTAATTTCCTTTTTTTCAAGTATTTGCATAGAACTTTTGAAAAAACCACGTTAATTTATGCGAATGCTGTGTTAGGGGGATATTATTATCGAATTCTATAAAGTGTCTTAAACAAAATGATTTTTGTTCTAATCTCCATTAAAAATCATATCCATATAGAATACACACATATATGTATTAAAATGGGAAATTAAATGATAATTGTAAATTTGCGTGTCCTTGTTGTGTTCGTGGTGTGTGGTTGTGTGTACGTGTGCTTGTGTGGGTTCTATGTGGCTGTGTGAGTGTTCTCCCATTGCTTCGATTGTTTTTTTTATACTATTATCAACTGTATTTTGTTAGTTTTTTCTTTTACATACTTCCTACCAAAGCAGCGCTGCCCATTCCCTTTACTACTATTTTGGATTTGGCCAAAATATATATATCTCAACCATTAGCTGCGTTTTCTTAAATGGAATTTGTATAGAATTTTGTCAGTTTTCCTTTTGTTGTAATTGTTTGTTGCAAATTTCGCTCGGATATATGTATATAAAATAATTAAACATGTATTTCAATGTGTGTTATTATAAGCAAACCGTTAATTTCATACCAACCAAGTTAGTGAAAAGGGTTTTCTCGATCCCTTCTTCTTTCGATTTAACAAATTTTTGAATTCAAATGTTTTTTGGTTGCGTGCTCGTGTTTTCTGTTTTTTTGTGTTCTTAGCTTCGTGTACGGATAAATACACATGAATAATAATATATATATCACTTAACTAACAGTGTCTGTTTGTCTCTAGTTTTAAGTTTCGCTTGATTTTGCTTGGCGGAAAAGAAATAATAATAACCCTACTTAATTCTTTTTAAACATTCGAAGAACATGCAACTGTCAGTGTGTGTGGAGAAAAGCTTAAAAACTACTTCAAATTTTCAGTTTCGAGGTTTTCTCGTTTTTTGTTTCGTTTTACCTTACTTGGAAAACATAAAGGGGAATTTTTGGGGGCGATGATCCATGCGAAGGCTGTGAAAGAGAAAAAAAAACAATTATAAACTAGTTTTAATCCAATAACGTAGGACAAACTCACCCCTGGTTTTTGATGTTTGCGGCTGTTTGCCCAAAGAACAGTAACGAATGAAAGGTCGGGGGGTGTTGTTTAGAGGTCAAATTGTATCGCAAATACAAACCGCGAATGCTTGAATAAGCGAGAGAGAACACAAAAATACTAATAATAGTTGTGGGGAGAAGAAAAAAAAAACAAACAAATTGGTAACTTTTTCGCTTTAAATTTAAAGAGCAACTGCGCTCTTGTGAGTTCGCAAATTATATCCTTTCTTTCTTTCTATCATTTCTCATATGCATTTGGATTTTATGACTGTCGTTGGTTGATTGTTTGTCCATGTCGTTGGTGTTGTTGTTATTCATGTTGCTGAAGCTGCTGTTGTTGTAGCTCTCCACGTTCCACTCTCCTGCCTCTTATTGATGTCCTGTCTGCTCGATGGCCTGTCCTGGTCCTGGCCCGGGTCCTGCCACGGCTGGTGCGAACTGGTGATGCTGGGCGGCATAGTAGGTGGCCGGCATGCTGAACTGATTGGCATACGGATTGGTGCCCGGCGCCGCGGCCGTGGTCAGCACTCCGGCCGCATCGTACATGTAGGCGGCTCCGGGGGCCGGCGCCACGGCGGCTGCCCGTCCGGCGGCTGCTGCAGCGGCAGCAGCAACGGCCGCAATCGGTGGCGAATTGGCCGGCGTGTAATGCACCAGCGAGGTGGTCACCACAGCCGGCGGCGGCGGTGGAGCATACTTGTTGCCATCATCCTTGAGCGGCTTGGGCTGCTGGCCAGCCTGCGGCACCTGCTGCTGCTGCTGTTGCTGATGCTGCACCGCCTGCTGACCGTAGTGGGGCACTCCCTGCTGCTGGTACTCCCGCTTCGGATACTGCTGGAAGCGTGGTGGCATCCCACCGGCTCCGGCTCCCTGCGGCACAAACTGTCCGCGGCCACGGTACGCCTGCGGCATATACTGACCGCCTTGCTGTGGTGCCATATGCGGCTGGGGTCCACCGCCTACGCCGGCTGCTCCGCCGACACCGCCTGCAGCGCCGCCGCCGCCCTGGTGGCCCATTATGGCACGCGGACCGCCATTGTTGAACGGAGCCCGCGGGCGATAGGTGTTCCCGTTCCGCTGCTGCTGGCCGCCATCCTGTCCCATTTGGTTCATGCGGTTCCAGTTGCCGCCGCCGCCACCAGCGCCGGCTCCATTCTGCTGATAGCTATTGCCGCCAGCGGCATACTGCTGGTAGCCACCGCCAGTGGGTGGGCCGCCACGATTGTTGTTGTAACTGTTGCCAGCCTGGTAGTTCAGCGGGTTGCTGTTGCGCTGCTGGTAGACGCCGTTGTGACCGCCAGTGTTGCGATCCCCGCCACCATTGTTGTTCCAGCGCTTGTTGCCGCGATAGCCGCCCGAGCTAGGCATCGATCGAGCCAGATCCAACAGAGCCTGCGAGGGCGTCTGGCCGGCCTCCTCCAGCACCGAGATCAGCTCACGCGCCTGCTTGGCGTTGTCGGGCGTGAAGAAGGTGTAGGCAGTGCCCAGCTGCTGGCAGCGTCCAGTGCGTCCGATGCGGTGCACATAGTTCTCCGAAGAGTTCGGGTAATCATAGTTAATCACGTACTGGAGATCCTCCACATCAAGGCCGCGCGAGGCCACATCGGTGGCGATCAGAATGTTGGACTTGCCATTACGGAAATCCTTCAGCACCGAATCACGCTCATTCTGGGTCTTGTCGCCGTGAATTGAGGTGGCGGTGTAGCCCTCGGTTCGGATGATCTGTAAGATGTCCTCCACCTGAACAAAGGCAAGGGAAACAAAGAAAATAAGTAGGGTAACTTGATAAGATTGGAATTTGGTTTGCGTTGGTTTCTTATTTCATACAAAACAATTTTCTCTCAGTAGCAGCTACTTGATTACATTAAACCAAACCCGGCAACATAAAATGTTTACAAAAGACATTCCGCACTATATATGAAATATAATCATGGTTCCTTAAAAAGAAACCAAGAATACGCAGAACAATTAGTCAGTCAAAGTTAACCGATGATTATAAAAAAATACCATGATAATCTACACTTAATTTTACCATTATGAAGCTACATATATAAGGTAAATTTGAGGAAATGGAAAGTTATGTTAAAGCCATTAAGAATAAAACCCGATATTTTGCAACAAGTAAGTTCTACAAACTATAAAAGCACGTGAAAATGTTGTGACCTTACCTTGATCTTGGTCTCTACAAATATGATGATCTTGTTCCCGTTGTTGGCCGAATTGTTAGTCGGTGTGATCTCCTTGAGCAGGCGCACCATGCGCTGCGGCTTCTCCATCTCGGTGCAGATCTCGACGATCTGACGGATGTTGTGGTTTGCCGACAGGCTCATCGAGCCAATGTTAATTTGGATGTAATCGTTTAGGAAGTCGCCGGCAAGAGCCTGCACCTCCTTGGGCCAGGTGGCGGACCACATGACCACCTGGCGGTCGGGACGAATCTGTTCGATGATCTTGCGGATCTGCGGTTCGAAGCCCATGTCCAGCATGCGGTCTGCCTCGTCCAGCACCAGGTAGGTGCATCTCTGCAAGTTCGTGTTCCGATTCTCGAGGAAATCAATAAGGCGTCCGGGTGTGGCGATGATCACCTCCACGCCGCGGTCCAGATCGCGTGCCTGCGGCACCTTCGACGAGCCTCCAAAGATGCAAGTGTGACGAATCTCGGGCTTGCACAGGTGCCCGTAGTCCCGCACGACCGACTGGATCTGCTGGGCCAGCTCCCGGGTGGGGGCCAGCACCAGGGCGATGGGCCCCTCGCCGCGCAGTATTGGCGGCTGGTTGCCAATGTGAACGATGGCTGGCAGCATGTAGGCCAGCGTCTTGCCGGAGCCGGTTTGGGCAATGCCCACCAAATCGCGGCCACTTAGGGCTATGGGCCAGCCCTGCGACTGGATGGCTGTGGGCTTGGTGAATCCCTGGCGCTTCATCTCTTCAATAACGTGGGCGGGCAGCGAGCTCTCCTCGAAACTGACCACGGGATGGGGCAATTCGTTGCCCGACACGGTAATCTCCAGTTCGCGACGTATATCGGCAACCTGCTGCTCGGACTTGGCCAGGGTATTCGGATGGATGTTGTAGAAGTCCTTGTGGAATGGCTCCAGGTTCTCCCACTTCGGCTTGACCAGATTGCGCCCAGGATTTTTGGCCTTTTCGCGTTGAATCTCGGCGCGCTCCTCCTTGGACAACATGCCTAAGGCGGCAGCATTGTAGTTATTGCTCTGGTAGCCACCGGCTCCTCCGGCGCCGCTATGCGGCTTCTGGTAGCGCTGTGCGTAGTTGGGATTCTTGCCACGAGGTCCGCCATAGCCACCGCCGTTGCCTCCAGCTCCTCCGGAGCCAGCTCCAGCTCCTCCGCCAAGGCCATTTCCGGCGAAGGCCACTCCGTTTTGCTGGCGATACGGATTACCGCCACCGGCACCGGCGGCGCCCATGCCCAGTCCATTCTGGATGCCGTAGGTCATAACGCCGTACGGCTGGCCAAAGTGCATGCTCCCAGCGGCACCGGCTGCTCCATTAATGGACGCTCCTCCGGCGGCGCCGGCAAAATTGTTTCGCGGATAGAAGGGACGCTCGTGGCGTGGGGCACCATTACCGCCGCCTCCAGCGCCTGCAGCGGCACCATTACCATAGTAACCGCCGCCCGTGTGCTGCTGAACGCCGCCGGCGTTGGGTGCATATGCTCCGGCGTACATCGTGTTAAATCCTGCCAAGAGATGGAACAAAAAATGGATTAAAATGTTGTCAGATGTTTGTAAGTACACATATTTATATTTAATTTACTCCCTTAGTTTATAAGCTAGGCCCTTGAAACTTTTGCTGAAACTTATTTTTCTTATTCTTGAAACTTATTCTTAGAAAGCGTGCAGTTAGTTGAAAACGATCAAATACAAAATGTCATTGTTTTTAATTACTTTACCAATCGTTCCCTTTTTGTGTTGTTAACATATGTACAATTATTGTTTTAGCGAAATCGGATGACTTTATCACTGTAAGAATGGCGAAATTTACCTAATTTTTTTTCTTCGTGTGGGGAAATCAAAATTGGATATTTTATATAGCTCTCATAGGAATGATCTAGCTCACAATGGAAGGGTGTATAAACTTCGGTTTGCCGAATTTAACTTATTTTTCGCACACACACACAATTACAAAGACTTTGCACTTTTGAAACTGTTTCGAGCTGTGGCGCTCTCTCGTACTACTAATGCTGCCGTTCGGGAGTGTAAATAAAAATAGAGAAACGATTTCGACTGATAGATCGGGGGGTTGCTTTGGCAGGGGGGAAATGGCCGAAGAGCGGGGGCGGTTCCACCACCCACCCACTTTCCACCACCGGAAAAATCAATACAGCATCGCCAATGCACACGAGACGCGGAGAGCGAAAGCACGCGCGAGAGAGGGACAAGCAGAGTGCACCGCGGAGAGAAAGAGCACAACGCACACACACACACTCAGATAACCGAAAAATGCATTGCATTTTCACGCCTTACGCCTCACACACACGAACTCACCTTTTTTCCTGTTGCGACAACTACTGCTTTTGTGTGTGTGTAATTTTGGATGAGCCTGACTTGTGCAGGGGGCTTAAATTTATGTATTTATGCGCCGCAATTTGACATTTGCTCCCTCGCCAGTCGGATTGAGATTTGGGTTATAGTTTTCGAAGCCTCTTCGATTTTCACGTTTTCCTGCCTTCAGTTTCGATTCGATCCTGTGCCGTCCTGTTCGATTTGGTTCTGCTCTCTCGCTCGCCCGTCGTCACGCTCACACGCCTCTTGTTCTCTTCTCCGTTTTTTTTGCTTTGCGGCCGAGAGGTAATGGTAATTATTTGCAATTGCTGCTACTCTATTTCCAGTCGTCCTCGCCACGGGAAACTAACCGTAAAGCTAACTAAACTTGGTTTGGTTAAACACTAGGAGCAAGTTAACTAATTCTAATTCTTGTATTTTAGATTTTTACAACAAAAAAAAACGCGTTTGCAGCAGCAAGTTGAGTTAGAGCTGAACCAAAAATCGATGCTTATTCGCTACTATCGATGTTTCCGGAAAATTGTTAAATATCGATGTTTTTCTGTAGCCATCGATTATTCATCGAATAATAAAATAGTTAATTAATTTTAAGCTTCCGAATATTTTTATTAATAATAATACTATTTAGGAAACCGAAGCATTAAAATTGTAATCATTTGTTGGCTAAGAAACGTAATCTGAGCGAAATGTGTTATCAAGTTTGGAGGCCTGTTTTCAAGGTAAAGCTTTAAACGTGTATCGAGATATATTAAATATATTAGAAAATACATTTGATTTATAATTGACAGTGTTGGGACTACTCAGATATTTGTACCTTGGTACATACCTAGATAACATTTTATGGGTAATACCTTTTAAATCACCTAGGTAAAAATAGAGACTTTTACCTTACATATAATTTTAGGAAAATATTTAAAGTCCGCACAACTTTATATTTCAGAATCCGTGTTTTTTAGAGAAATGCTAACGAATAATTAGGTTGAAGTTGGGACAAAATACATGCCCCCTGAATATTAAAACAAGATTGGGGTTCAGGAGTTTTCGAAAGTACAACCCAAAATGAAATGTACATATTTTGTACTTTTTACCCAGCTTGGATTCTTGGAAAATGGTGTATCCTTAACCTTTCATAGGTAATTACTTTCGCGGATACCATGTACCTTACATAGGTAATAGGAAATAGTAGTACCAGTACCAAAACTTTTCATTTGGTATAAAGTTCAATTTCCAAACATCAAACTGAGCTCAAAGCGTAAAAGTTCAGTTCTAAATTTTAAAAATTTTGAATAAGAATCCAAAACAGGTCTTTTATATACCTAAGAATAAGAATCATAAATATAATTTTTTTATTTTTTAGCCAAATGGGAATTACAATTACTATAAGTAATTTGATTGTTTTCAGCTATATACGTTTTATTACGACGTATATGACAGTTTTAATATGCAAATACTGGGTTAAAGAATACCAGAAAAGGGCGGGAACTGAAAAATAAATGACCACCAGGTGGCGTGCGTTCAGACCCCCTTAGCACAGACACCGTGTTGTTAATCTCATAAGGGATTAGGGGCGCACATTTTAAATACAAATTTGTGTAGCACACATGACAATGTATATTCTTTGTCCAGCATTTTTGACAAAAATATGAGAAAATAAGAATGTCTTCTTAAACTTTAACCTTTTAACCAACTGCAATAAAGTGCATGTACAATATTTTAGACCAATTGATAACAAAGGTAAGCCAAGGCAATGTTCGTATATTTTAAATGGATATCATATACACATAGCCAATTCAAAATAGGTTTATGTCGCTGCTAGATTTAGAGTACACACAGAAAATTATCGATAGCCGAAATCGATTTGACTGGCAGCGTTAGCCAAATCGTTTCCTTCGTCACTATTTTCAGGCACATTTTGTTTGTAAACGGTTTTTGGCAGCACAGCACGACGGTCACACTGTCATACAGCTACAAGCAACCACCGCATTTTGTTGTTGTGTTGCGTTTAAAATTCTATTGTTATTTTTTTGTATTTTTTTTTTGGCTCGAACGACAGTTGGTTTGAACAACAACAATAAAGCCGGGCCAAGTGGACCGATTAATGTTGAATTACTAAGTGATTATTAAAGCGGATCGTGAACATATATATACAAGTTAGACAGAGACGGGGCGAAATATCAAATAAAAATACTGTACTGTGTGTGTGAGCAGATACTAATACTAATAAACGAAAATGTGCGTGTGAGAGAGAAAGAGAATGATGGCGAGCAAAAAAAACCGATTTTCTTTGCGGAAAAAGGAGAATGAATATTATTGCCAACACGAAAATCTGTGAATCCAGGCCAAGAAAACCAAACACGGGCTCATCATGAATATATTGCAGAAAATCGGTCAGTATTTCCTTCTAATTTTCTTAGAGAGCGCAAAGATGACTCTCTTTGCGACTCCTTGCTTTTCCCTTCCAATTTCCACATTTTACCGTTTGCATTCGCCTCCATCGTTTACACACATTCCCGCTGCCCCTCCCCTTCGTTTCCGCCTCCACCGCCTTTTGTTGTTGTTGCTACTGCTACTGCTCGTTTTGGGAGCTGTCAACAAGTCTATTTTTAGACCTTTAGATGCTGCAGTTGCAGTTGCGCCTCTTCCAGAAGTGTTAAACATTGGAAAAGAACTCTAGGACGGCAAACAGCAACAACACAGTCCAAAGATTTCCATTTTCATTTTCAATTCCTCTTCCTATTTTCATTTTCCACCTCCCACTCTCTTGTCTCTAAAATTCCTTCTAAATTCACATGGTTTGGAACACGACTAAATGCTGTGTTTTTAATTGGAATTTTATCCTGTTGTCTATTTCATCTGTATAACCAGGAACTAACCATGTATATATATAAATAATTGACGCCTTTCATCCATATGGAATTCTATGGTTAATTCCTGGAACTATCCTTTTGCATTTGACCATTGTTTACCTTGTTGTTTTCCTTTGTATTTTAGTTTAGTTATTGTTCTAGGAAATGCCAAATTTACTAACTAGTTTTGTGCTATAGGTTTAGGTAAATTAAATTAAATTAAACTTAATGAATCAAAATTTTCAACAAATGTGTTTTTAGTTGAAGTTCGTTGTATATTAGTTTCTTTTTTCCACAAATTAGTCTATGACCACAAACTAGTAACCTTTTTTTATATAAATTGTACATTAATTGATCTCCCAAAATTTTCAGCATTATTTAAAATGTTGTCTATATCATTTTGCTTTAATCCAGATAGATTTACTTATTATTCTTTATAGGGCCTTGCAAAAAAGTAGGCAAGCATTTAAAAATGTTTAAGCAAGTTTCATATCATATTTTGCATATATTTATGGCTTTTTTCGGTTAACTAACTATCCCAAGATATCGAATTTCTTCGAAAATTAAACCTCAAATGTCGACTAAAGTCTGATTTATAGGACAATGCAGACTATTTAAATGCAGTTTTACCTGTATTTACATTTTAATTAATTTTCTTAGAATGTCTGCTTTTGTCAGATGATTCTTTTTTAAATGGTCCAAATTGTAATATGGATTGCTTGGCAATTCGGCACAGTTCACATATTAATTTAATTCTGCGAATTGCAGCTTTCAATTGGTCTTTTGTTAGATTTTCTATTTCGCATTCGCATCCTGCTGATTCTGGTTAAATTAAGTCAGCTTTGCTTTTCAGGAAAATGCATGTGCGTTGGCTAACTATTGTTAAGCAACCTAACCATTTTAATTGAATTCATCAAAACAATGTTTCGTTTGACCTGGAAATTGACCAAAATTCACACATTAAATTGTTCTCGGGAACTTCAGCTTTTTGGTTATCCTTTGTCTACCTTGGCCTTATCCTGTTGATCCTGTTCAAATGAAATGCAACGCCTTGGCCTCTAATAAATGTACAATGCACCGGGCTTTATCGAAACCAAATTGGATTTGTATTAATTAGGCAAGCATTTTAAAATATTTTAGTAAATAAATCTTGTTATACCCTTGCAGAGGGTATTATAATTTTGGTCAAAAGTGTGCAACGCAGTGAAGGAGACACCTCCGACCCTATAAAGTATATATATTCTTGATCAGGATCACCTCCTGAGTTGAGTTTGATTGAAAATGCCATAACTTTGGTGTTTATAAAGTTAGGAAGTTGGGATTTTTTATGAGTATTAAGAATGCATCATATGAATAATTTTGGAGAATATATATTTTACAGATTATTCTGCAAGGGTATATCAACTTCGGCTCCGTCCGAAGTTAGCTTTCCTTTCTTGTTTTGTATGTTTTTATCTGGCCTCATTTAATGATATATTTTTGGCTTATAGCCATTTTTGGTAAGTGCAGTGTTGGATTCAACATTCCCCCAAAATGTTGAGTTCCTTCGTAAATGAAACCTTACCACTTCATGCACTAATACCCGTATTTACTATTTAATTAATTTTCTCAGAATGACTGCTTTTGTTAGGCTTTTGACTATCTTACCATCTTTGTGTAGAGATGTGAAGTGAGTCCTTTGTAAAGTATCCTGTTGATTCCGGTTAAATGAAGTGGAAGTTGAATTTGCAGCCAAGCTGCGATTTGCACTTTTTAATTAATTCCCGGAAACTAGAGCTTACTGTTAGCATTAACCTTGGCCTTATCCTGTTGATCCTGGCCAAGTGAAATGCAACGCCTTGGCCACTAATTAATTTACAAGGCATTGGTTTCCGGTGAAAATGCATATTGATCCCCGCTCCCTTCTTTTGAACCCTACTCCCATTTTCGTTGTAATTAATTCTTCGAAATCGCAACTATTCTTGTCTAGCATCCATTTTTAATTGGACCTTTGTTTGCTTCACCATTATCCTGTTGATTCTTGTCCAATGCGATAGCAGCTCTTTGCCCTTAATTAATGAGCAGGTTTCCGATTTCGAGGAAAATGCGTATAAACTTGTTGCTGCCTAGTGAACTTGGCCTTGAAGGGCTTTTCATTCGAGGTTTGTTTACTTTCATGCAATCCCTTACCAAATGCAAGGCAAGCTTAAGTCTGAATCTTATTTACTTTGACATTTTTAAATACGTTTTCTAGCTAAATGTAAAATGTGTGCGCAAATTGTGTAGGCAGGTTTAAATAACTTCACGTATATTGATATATGTAGAACAATCATCTACATTTTAGTTTATGGAAATTCAATTGATATTTAATTGTTATTGGTATCGCCTTGACAGTCAATTGTTTCTTATTGGCAGTATTCAGAATAAAAAGAAGGTGTTCTATTTGATGGCCTTTTAAAAAAATTGGTAAAATGTTCTACCAAACAAAAAGCGCCATACAATATTTCCAAATATTTTCTGTGTGGATTTCATTGTTTTGGCATCTCTCTTGTTGATTCCTTGGCATGAGCACTAATTCCCTATTCAAAAACCCAACAGATTTTTGACAACGTCTGTCTTTCTTTATGTGCTCAGTACGTTGGGTGTTTACCTTTTTTTTTAACCGAGTGCAAAA